AAGATGGGGCCCATTGAGGTGAGACGCGTTGAAAATGTCGAACAAAACGAGCACATACACACCAGCGACTGCTCCGTAGTGTGCAGCGTTAAGTTCCGCTCCTTCTAGAGGTGGCGTGCTCCGCGTGAGAGGTTTCGCAGCGCGAGCGCCCCTCTGGAACAACACTCAGACAAAACGGGGAGAGCTCGCCTTTCATGAGGCGTGAGAGGCCCGACACGGACTCCAAGCACCTGAAAAAAAAAAATTCTGGGGCTGGCGGCGCATGATACATGACGCCTAGAAGGTGCCAGACTGGGAGGCGCGCCCGCATGCGGGAGTTGATGGGACGAGACGGAAGGGAGAGGAAGAGGGCATCCTGAGAGCTGCTGCCACGGCACGCGCCCGCGAGCTGTCATCTCCTCGGAGTGACAGGCTCGTCGTGGTGGCGTGACTCGTGACCCGCGTCGCGCTCCGCTCGCTCGGGCGTCCGTCGCGCGCACACGGGAAGGTGGGAACGCAAGGGAACGCAAAGGGACGCAAGGGCCGCTATCGGATGGCCCCATTGCGAGATAGCGCACGCTGCCCGCGCCGCGCCGCGTCTCGTGCTGGGGCCTTCGCGCCTGCTCTGGGGAATTGTAGAGGCTTCGGACATGGCGGCCGAGCGCCACTAGTTTAGCTGAAGACAGAGGCGCACGGTCTCACGCCGCGCGCGAAAGGCGAATTTATCGTGATCTACGTGCGTCAGCGAAGTCTCGTCCCGCGAAGCACGCACCGGAGCACTTGGATATTTTCAGGCGACGGGCATGGCGAGGCGCCGCAAAGTGAATCTGCCGTAAAAGTTCCAAAATGTCGTCACAGGGGGTCGAGCGTCCAGAGCTTTAGCGGCGGGCTAGTATGAGAAGGTATTCTCATCTTTCCCTTGCCTCATCATAGTGATGCCTTGAAACTTTTTTCATCGACCGTGCTCACGAAGTAAAAAAGGTCAACCCCGGCGCTTGGTTACGTAATGTGGTAGGGATCTTACTTAGGACGGCTGAGCAGCAGAAACTCGAAAGGACGCTAAGAACCTGATATACCGTCCAATGAGAGATCGTAAACTGATAGCAGTTGATGTAGGTTAATCTGAACGGCAGTGCGTCCCTGAAAATGAGCGACGTTGCGACCTCGTATCCGTCTCGGTATCCATCGGAAGCTTCCTCCGGTGCGACGGCGGAGGGATTTTATACGGACGAGCACTCGGGCTGACCAGCACCAACAAACGCCGCAGGCTATCTGAAGAAAACCAACATATCAGCCAGCTCTCACACTTACGGCAACGCGAACATGCAGGACGACGCCACAACGCCGTGGTGGTTCGCAGCAAGCGATAAGCGCCCACTACTTAGGCTTTTGCTTCGCAGTATCTGACTAGATGCCTTGAAAATTGTTGCAGCATGCACACATCACCACGTTCTTGCCGCATTGCCAGCACTATAAGCTTTCATTACATAACGAATAAGATATCGTCCCACACATCTACCGCGTGTAGTACGGAGGTCGTAACATAATTAACCGCGCAAGACCAAACCCCCCTCCCCCCTCCCACGGGAAGCAGAAGGCACGACGAGGCACGGCGAGTAGAGCAGGTCCGTGTAACGTAGGCCTCGAGATCCGAGGTGTAGGAAAAAGTATCCGCCGGGTGCAGTTGAAGGCTACCCGACAGACGATTACGAAAAGAGGCGAGCACGCCAACGGCGCGGGCGACAAGAAATCTGGAAGAAAATGCAGGGGAATGATGGTGGATAAGAGATAGAGCGAGCATCGAACGAACGAGGATCCAGCAGCGCATGTACGGAGCAATTGACACGATATGGTTAGACATGCAGGGGACGGATGGACGTGAGACAAGGAGGGATGGCGTGTGGGTAGACGGGGCGATGTGCAGGAGGGGAAAGACGAATGTTGTGGAATGCAGAAAGGGAAGGGGGGAGGATGTGACAGGCATATGTGTATATGCGAGGCAAGGCGAGATAGGACCACAAAAACGTAGGATGAATTGGATGAGTTATGCAATAGGTCACTACGAGGCGTATACAATGTGAGAAAAATAATATGCACGAATGATGCTAATCTACTTTCGGTGTATGATGGCAGGAGGAACAGTAAGAGCAAATGTCTTCTTTCTAGAGTTCTCTCCTCCGGATGCTCGGCTCTAGGATGCCTTCGTTCTCGATAGCGAGCGGCGGCACGCGTCGCCAGTTCGAGGGTACCTGGACGTACGACGGCGCGCGCATCGTCTCGATGGTGAACTCGGGGGTCTCGGGTGCAGGCGACGGCAACGGCGTGACAAGTGTCGCGATCGCGCTGAGGCTCTCCGAGACGGCGTTCAGGGTCTCTTGCTGCCGGGTGCGCGATGATAGCGATGACAGCGAGGATGGCCGCTGGATGAACAGCCGCTTGGCCATACCGGTAGGGGCCCGTGCTGAGGACCCACTGGAGACAACTCCCGCTCCTGCCAGCGCCACCCCCTCAGCCTCTTCACTGCCATCAAGGCACAAAGGCGAAGGCGGTTGAAGCGCAGGACTTGGCAGGGCCTGGAGTTTCATCTTCGTGACCACCGGAGCTTCCACTAGCGCGTTTTGCATCAGGCCGGGACACACCGGGATCGCGGGAAAGTACGGGTTGTGGCTCGACGTCAAGTTATGAGGATGGAGCTCGCTGTCGAAGGCCTCGGCGTGAGGCTCCAGCGTCGCGTGCGACTCGAAATAGTGAGCGAGGTCGCTCTCTGCAGGCGAGGACGGGCATGGACTGCTCACACTGGGCGTTTCGCTCTCAGTGTCTGTATCGCTAGCGGAGCACAAGGACGGCGTTGACATGCACGACCGATGAATGTTCAGCGGCATGTATGACGACGGCGGCGAGCTGATAAGGTCGTGCTCGGAATGCTGCAGATCATCTTCTGGCGGGGTCTCGTTCTGAGGTGTCAGCTCCGCAGGCGCGTCGAAAGTACTCGAAGTATCTGACAACGACTCCTGCGAAACTTTCGGGAGATCTTCTGGAGGGAGTAGAGGGACGAATGTCATGTTGAATCTCCTTGCCGGGGGCGGAGGAGGAGGAGCAGCGATTTCAGCAGGGGCCTTAAACTCTTCCCGCACAGGCAACAAAGGGACAAAGGCGAAGTTCGGTAAGTTCGGTCTGCGCTTCGTAGGGGTATGCTGAGGAGCAGGGATAGGAGATGCAGGGGGCGTCGTGTCGAAGGAGAGGATATTTGAAGGAGCAGCCGACGATGCAATATTTACACCGCACGCCGGAGGCGCGGACGCTGATGGCGACTGCGGCGGCCGCGGCGGCTTAGCTGGGGTGGCAGTGGTCTCAGTGAGCTCCGATGAGTCAGACGTAGAGCACTGCGCTGGCGTGCTAGGTTGGGACGGCTCTTCTGAGGGAGGGAGCAGAGGGAGCAAACGTATAGGAACAGAATCGAGATATGGCAGGATCTGTGGGTCGACAGACGACGCCGAATCGTCCCGATTCTTCCACTTCGACGGTGTAAGTGAAGGGGCAGTGGCGAAGCGCGATATGGGGAACACAGGCTTGGTCGACGATGATTGTCCAGGGGGCGATGCCGAACGCGGTATCGAGGTCGTCGAGAATGGTTGGCGACTACTGCATGATGGCGCACGGGGAAGGGACTTCAGGATCTGCTTGAGCTCGAGGATCTCCCTGTTATGGACACAGTGTTAGAGTTGTGGAAGGTCGGTAGAAACGATGATCAAGATTGACGGACAGCCCTGGGCGATGCCATATAAATGGCCTGGTGCTAGCTCGTGACTGCACGCCGCCCACAGACTAGGAGGTGAAGACCGACGGGCCCGGCGCCGATGGCGCACATCGCAGAGAGCACCATCGAGAGCTCCAAAGGAGGTCTCGGAGTTTGCGCGAGAGGAGAAGGAGGCTGGAATACGCATGATTACCGAAAGCGGTAGTCCAACAAAGTGACTCGGTTTGCGCCCAGCCTCTCCGCCACACAACGACCCGTCACACGATAGATCGGATAGGAAGCGATGGATGGGGAACGAGGAGCAGAAAGATGCACGCACTGGTAAGATAACTTGGGGGCCACGGGGGCAGGCGTCCGGTCCCAATCATCGGCCTGGAAGTACTCTTCGTCCTGGCAGAAGGACACGTATTTTCGCAGCGCAGGGACCTGGCCGTTGCATGTTGCGGGGGATCTGCTGCCTGATCCGCTGGGCGACGCGGCGGCGCTGTCGAGCAGCGGAGTATACGGAGGGGTGGTCTTGAGGCAGCTCTTCACCATGGCGGCGCGCTAGGGGTTGGATGGGCGATGAAGGGCGCAGCGAGAGATGAGAAACGAGGTGGGTGTATGCGCCTCAGGATCTGCGAGTAGGAACAGGAGAGGATGAGAGCGAGGAATAAAAGGATGACGAGCCGGTGCGTCGAGGTTGCATGGGGGTTTCATTTGACCAGCAACGCCAGAGCCGGGGAAAAGTGGGAACCAATCTCGCCACGTGGGGGCTTAGAACACCCGCTCGGTGTCCCGAAGGCTGTGACGGTGACACCCTCATGGAGGAGCCCCTCAGTCACAAACGTGATCTTGCCCGCCTCGATCTGGCCCCTTTGTCACATGTCGTCACGTCCCGCTCCACACCATTTCAGCGACGCAGGCGGCAGGCTTGGAGAGCATGACGGCAAAGGTCAGGCGGGTGCGTTTAGGGGTCTCACCAAGACACAAGCTGGCGGTCAGACCGGCCTGGTCGTCGACGCGCCCTCCGCGCTGCAGACGCGCACGCGAACTCGCCAAACCGGATCCTCTCATTCCCGTGCTTGCGGAACTTGCCCACCAGCTCAAACACCCTCCATCCAATCGCGAAAAGCGGACATCCTCTGAGCGATTTTTTCGTGTCGTGCGGGAACCCGTCGCACAACCTCCTGACCACCATCACGCCCGCCGTAACGACCCAAGACGCGCTTCAGGTCACTTTCCTACAAGGTTCCGCATCCAATGATCAATTGACATGACACTTGTACGTCTTGTTTACGCAGCTTTCGCCCCAGTACCCCACACAACATATTGAACTTTGTCAGGAATAATCTCAGCCATCTTGTGCTTCCTGGATGCCATCGAGGCGCTCTACATGCGCCTGGCGATGGGCGCCAGGCAGTCCAGGCCCTGCTGCCGCCTGCACTCTACTGTTCTCCGGTGCACCCTCGTCCACTCAGGATGCCTCGTGAACGACAATGGCGCAAGCTAGGCTTTGCTGTCGCGCAGGTCCATCCATCGGCAAGCGGCCACGTTCATCGACCCAGCGGTAAACGAATTACAGTCGCCAAAACCTTCAGCACTGCTCTGCGTCTGGAACCTGCCACGAGACCCTTCCACAGCTCGTCTCGACACTCTGTGTTACTTCGGCCTGGTGATCCCCGGTGCTTCCCATATGGAAGGCCAGCACTGCTTCCTGGGGCTTTGTGGCACGGTACCGAGGGCCGATATTCCCATTACCCCTGCCATACTGCCTGTGCCTTGCGCGAGGTTAACCGCGCGCTGCCCATGACAAAGAGGGGCCGGAGCGCAACACACACAATTCTGGTTGATGCGCTCGACATAAACGGGCAGGGCGGCTCGCCCAGGAATTTTCTTCGCGGTTCTTGCCAATTCCTTGGCGACGGACGACCAAGCACGTAACCGCTCGTGGTCGTCCTTCCGCCATGCTACGTGTCACAAAACGCCTCGGAGAATCTTTTGCCTCCACTGTTACTACGGCTGGTAGAAACGCAGGGGTAAAAGCGTCTTCGTAAAGCGTTCAAACACTCGCACCAATCCTGCACCGAGCATGATCTCAGTTTGCTGTCCGGTTGCCAGTGGCCTTGACGATTTACCTTGCCTAGTGATGAAATGGTCATGCTTGCTCTTGACAGTTGCATGTGTTACTCGAACAGGGTAGGCCGTAACAGGAAAGTAAGGCACGCCTCCTGATCATCACGCTGGTTCGTGAGGGACAAGGTAAGCGACCCTTTCCAACACAGGACGTGCTCTGCTCGCTGATGTACTCATACAGTGCGCCCCTGCCGTGCCAACAGGGCATGAGCTGGATAAACACTTTGCGAATATACCCGAGAGCAGTGCACGACAGCTGTTTATGCGCCTCCTTGACTTTCTCGAAGACGAGTGGCGCGCTCGGTCCTTTAAGTCATTTGGCATCAGACAGGTGAGTGGATGTTACGCGGAGCACTCTCATAAACGTGTGGAGGTATGTACTACCGCACAATTCAAAAAACTCCGAGCATAGACTACCTTGTGGTTGCCTTAGTTCTACCAAACGTTGTATCTGTTATCAGTGTTAACATCACTGCCGACGAAGAACCTACACACATATCCATCGACAACCACAACGCGCGACGACCCAGCACCCTTGGTCCCCCTTGAACCGGTGCGCGGGCTCGTGCTCACTGCACAGATACTCCCGCCAGCCGCACAGGTACAGAAGCGCGAATGCCGCCGTCGTCTGGCATGAGGACCAGAGGTCCTATCGCCCTCCACAGTATCACCGTGTGCCGCCAAGCCGGCCACAGCCAGCCAGGGCTGGCATCGCGACGATCGTCGCGTCGACTGAACTGGCGAGACGGTGCCGCCGGGGTCGCCTACCGCACCGGCCCATCGGGCTCGTTGAGTGCCAGCGCGATGAGCGCCCTGCAAGACGAAAAAGAGAGCAGAAGTGTGTCGGACCCTGAGCGGCAGTCCTTCCCCTCCACGAAGGGAGCAGGGAACGAGACATGTGGCGATGTGACCGAGGTGCGCGTGCACCTGCGCCGCTGAGACATGGGGTAGAACGTCCAGCTGTAGTTTCGCCACTCCTCGAATGCAGGTGAATTGACGGTCGTCGGTGTATGACGAGAAGGTGGCTCATCTGAGGTACGCGGATTCCATGACGTATGTGTCTCCGTGGTGTTCGATGTCCAAACTCTCGGAGCACCGTTGACGTCTCACCGCAGCCAGGCTGGCCCAGAGTATTCGCCGTTGCAGAGGCGTCCCGGTGCGTGACGATTTGTCTCTGCGCAGAAAGAAGCTGGTGACATTGCCCGAACAGAGCGGCCGGTCGACAGTCGCCTCTCCCTTCAGGTCTCTGCGAATGACAGAGCTGGTCCTCTCTGGGTAGAACCGCTGGCAACCTGATCGTAAAATTTCGAGTAATTCTCGTCAGGACGAATAGAGCCGTCATGGACAGTAGGGCCTGGTCCCTCATGCCCTCGTCCTCGTTCAGAACCCAGGTGAGAAAAACGTGAATTTTCCGAGTGATTTGTGGATCTCCTGCTGCGTGATGAATAGGCTGAGCGCTCTGCGAGGTGTCATAGCGAAACCGTACTCGGCTCTCTCCATCATGACATCTATCATGTGCACGCTCTGTGTAAGGCTCCCGCGAAAAATCATCTCCGTGGGATTCGGCGATACCTCGCAGGTTGCTACGAAGTCCGAGGACAGCGTCCTAATTGCCCAAAGTTGACAGAGGAGCAATGTATGCACTTTCGGAGGATTTCTAGCAACCGTTCAATATGGCGCAGGGGAAGTATCAGTATGCCTGACGGCCTAAGTTCGGGGATGGTTCACCGTGACGAAGTCTTCTTCGATCCTTCGAAAAGATGAGGTCTTCCTTGCTGTAGCTATAGAAGTAGTCGTTCAGGATGATGTCTATAACCTGTACCGTGAAGTTGGCTTCCTAGAGCGGCGTCTACACTTCGTTGTTGTGTACACGAGACGCGCAAGTGCAGGTCATCATGCTCATTCAGGGTGACTAGAACGTTCGTCCACTCGAATAAGTCCTTGAATAGCCGTTGGACTGGAGGGGGGGAGGATGTATGCCAGCTGGACGAGAAGGTGCCGGCTCGTCCAAAAGCCTTGAGAGATCAGCGCTTCAGCCTGAACAAAGCCTATGTGAGATTATACTAGACGGAGAAGCAATCTAGGATAAGCTATAAAGTAGTTGGAAAGAAAGACTTACGGCGAGCATGGTGGCGTTCCAGAACTTCGAACTCCTGCGCAGAACGCACTTCTCCCGGGCCCATGTCTCGGACAGGTAAGCGCCGGACCTCGAGTACTTCAGTGCCGACGCCTTTCTTCCCACTCCCAACTTCGAGTTTCCGTCTCGATGCAAACATGCTGATTAAATTCAATGTTCCAGTACCACGCAACACACAGTTAACAGGATACAAGCTAGAAGTACACCCGAGCACATCCAAGTTGTGAATCGCTCGTGCTTAGCCTCTACTCGGTATCGAACACCAAGCACCTAATCTCAATGCTCTCCCGGTGGGGCGCATCCTTCGGACTAGTCTTGTCCAGGAACGCGGTGTGCGGAGTAAGACGCGCCCGGTTCTCCTCCGAGTCGTAGCACTTGATGAGGGTGACCTCTTCCGGAGTCTGGTTGGAGAGATAGTACCACTTGTGGTCCGGGTTGTAGCGGACGGAGAAGGTGCCTGCAACACGGAGACTCATGAGCCAAGATATGAGAGTGCGCAAAAGTGACACATACCTCCAACTCGGTCAGGATAGATGAAGCGGATGGGGACAAGATCGTGTTCGGTGTCAAGGTGGCGCCAGTCCGAGACTGCAAGCGGCTTGTGCGCCACTGGGTGGTGGATGGGACGCCAGACGTTGATGATGCGAACGCGCCCCTTCAGGAGGCGTTCAGCGTCCTCGCCGAGGTGGCGGTGGACACGCGCGACGGAGGCGTCGAAAGTCTGGTCGATGTGAACACGCTCCTGCAGACGAAATCAGTACGCAAGCGGGCTCGTAAAGCGCAGTGCAACTCACGACTGGGCCACGAATGAGCTTGCCCTCTGGGTTAGGATGGTCCGGCTTGCGACGAATGGTGTGGTCGAAGACAAAGACCCTCTTCGCACCAACCTCCTTCTTTAGCAGCTCCTCTACCTCCTTGTAGTATGCGGTCTGAATCCTCTCCTCGTCGTCGAACTCCTTCTCCTGGCTCACGTGATCGACGAACTGGAAGCCGGACGTGTCGAGAGAGAGGCCGTACTCTTTCTCCTTGCCGCGGGCATCGCGAATGACGACGTCGTGTGGCTCTGCACCGATGTTGTTGCTCTTCTTCCCGGCTGGGGGATCGTAAACATACTGGTAGGGCGTCTCGTCGGACGTTGGGTCAGGAGTGTAATAGTTCAGACTGGTGGGGACGTCATGAGGAGCGAGAACTGCGACAGTCATACTGATTGATTGAAGTTTGTCGAGGGGCTGTACTAGCTGAAGCTGTAGATGCGAGTGATATGACGTTGAGACGGTGAAGCTGGGGAGCCAGGAGCAGTTCTGAGACTCGTATATATAGTAGTCTCACCACTCTGCGGAAAGATCAGTCAGCAGAGTCTGCTCTGTAAGCCATCAATACAAGCCGCCTTCTCAAACACTGAGAGCTATGCCGCCAACTTGTCGAAACAATGCCCAATCACATAGCACAATTTCGAGGCGCTATGAGGCAAACGCTAGCCACGGGCACGTGTATGGCGCAGCAGCAATGTCCGAGAAAGCGGTAGCCGAGCCCGTTGCTTCTCGCGCATAGCGTTGTGTTCGAAGAAAGTCCAGGCGTATCCTTGGCGATCTCGACTAGGTCTACAGCTCTCGTCATACGAAGCCTTCAGTACTAGTTGGCTTATTAAGCTTGAGCTTGATCAAGTAGTTAAGGCGGTGGGCTTGAGCTCTTACATAAGTCACTTAGAAATACACCACAGGACAGGCGCCATACTTCGTCTGATACCTTCTTGCTTCAGAATCGTGCCATGCAATAGTAACCCTTACGGGATTTAATGCGATGAGTTTTGCTAGCGGTAGGAAAGCGGCATTAAGCCGTTCTCAGTACCTTCGGTCTTGGATTCTCATGGAGATCGTCTCGCCTCCAGAGGCTGAGTGTAATCGAGTCGGCAGAGTGTGTTCCTCGTCGAAGTCGTGCTCGATGAGATAAGAAAGCTCAACGATCAGCCCAAGGTTTATATCACCCCTCAGACTCGAATAGACCCTCGAGCAAAGGTGTGAGATTTCATCCGGAAGCAGCGGCACGTGATGGCTGGACTTCAGGTCATTTTATAGCTGCAAAATACCGGACGTGGTGAAGACAATGGGTAAAGCAGTGACCCAGGATCTTTCAGAGTACGCCACAAAGCGGTCGGAAGTGGTCGGAAGCTGAACTCCTAAGGTTATACGGAGGTATAAACGCAACAGTCGCGTTCTGCAGCTGATGCAAAACACATTTTCCTCGTGTAAAGCGTCCAGTGATGGTTATTTCAAGCCATTTACCCACTTTGAGTAGCCTTCAAGTGACCAACTCCATATATCAGGCTTGAAGTACGTCGAAGATGTCCAAGTTGTGGTTCATTTGCGGTCTCTACTCGGTATCGAACACCAGACATCGATTCGGACGAATCGCGCACGGTCCACCTCTGAGTCATGGGTGACTTCATCCGGAGTCCGATTCGAGAGGTAGTACCACTAGTGATTTGGGTTGTGGTGGACAGAGTGGTAGACTATGCAGCGTCAGGGCTTGAGAGCTATGAGCTCGAGCAGTGAGGCACTCTTAAGTATGCCTCATCACTTCGCCAACCTCTGCATCAGTCAACAGAGTCTGTTCTGTAAGTTGTCGCAGCATGAGCTGCCTTCTCATGCGTCGAGGACCATGTCACCATCCGATTTATCAAAATAATGTTTAATTGTATAGCATCATCCAGAGTCGCGATGAAGCAAACGCCAGCCACCGGCACATGGGTCAGCGCACAGTCATGTCCGAGTAAGTAGAAGCCGAACCCAGTGCCGCATTACGTCTGGGAGGAGTTTAGGCGTATCTTCAAAGGGGTTGACTAATCCTAGGCCTTGAGCACTCGCAGCAAACAATCATGGCGCCATGCGCAGCTTTCAGTCCACAGCACCATCACTACGCCTGATTTACGAGCACAATCACCTTCGGCCACCGCGCTTCGGACTGGGCAAACCAGGAATGACATGTCTCGGCCTCTCAGAGCGAAGGTGGGCGACAATCAGCCTTAGGAATTCTGTCGTTGCTCAGGCTGCTTCTGGCAATGCTTCCGATGCCCACCTTTCTCCCAGTCACTAAAACACGACAGAGTCAGAATCAAAACGTGAGGACAACACGTCATAGCACATACTTCTTTTGGCACTCGGCACCGCAGTAAGCAACGACCCAGCAGCCCTTGCATACTCTCATTCTGTGCGCAGGTTTGTGGACATTGCACAGACATTCGCTCCACCCGCACCACTGCAGCACATCGAACACGGCTTCCTCCGCCTCAAGGTCTGGCACCGGCGGGATGAGAGTTCCCACCCTTTGCCACAAGAGCGAGAAGCGCTTCCAGGCCCTGTCCCGCTGCACAAGCCGGCTGCGATTGAGCTCGTTTGTTGTCGCCTGCCAGGCTTTGAGCGTGTGGCGCCGTATGGTTACTACCTTCCGATTGTTGTCTTCCTGGTCGACCTGACGAAGTCGTAAAAGACAGGAGCTAACGAGATGAATTAGCTGCTCTGCAAGCGACGTCAGCTGGATATACATTGTGCTAGTGATTCTGTACGTACCGAGTCTTTCAAGCCCGTGCTCATCGATCTCTATATGGAGCATACAGCAACGGCATAGCAAACCGAGGAATCCATACACATGTGTGTCAGACATAGGTCGCCTTGTCGCGTCGCGCCTAGAACGCCCGAAAGTCAGCGACACAGTACAGAAGTAAAATCATGTAACACGACAGACGTCACGAAGCCCAGTATTGTCATTATAATGCTGATGTGTAACATGTCAGTCCGGTCCCCTAAGCATAGCTGACGGCGAGCGGCGGCTAGACTATGCAGTTCGATCTGTGGCTCAGACGAAGCCTTCAGCAGGGATGTGCTGTTGTCTGTAGGAAGCCGCAGTAATAAAATCGATGTGACAGAGAATAGACTTTGATTGACGATGTCTTCATCTTTAAAATCCCGTAGCATAGCCCTTGTGATATGGTCGTGGCTGGTACACCCATTTGCAACCGAGCGAAAAAACGCGGGCCACGACTGGTGATCTGTTATCATCGGAAAGCGTGAGAGGGCTTCACTCCGTATCCGCTGACTTGAGTTGTGTATCCAAATGAAGAACAATACATGGGGTATCCGAGAGTTCGCCTGAGTGATGAAGACATGTCTATGAATGCCAGCGTCGGTAGGAGGGCCTCACTAAGAAGGGCCAAAGACCCACCTATGCTCTTCGAGAAGATTCGTTGCTGCTCCAGCCAATTTATCCAAGCATTCATGTAATGAAGGTACACCGAGACCCGAGCTCGAGCGGGCTAGCTCGGAGATCAAGAAGGGCGTTCGGATGTCCCAGAGTTTGTCGTAGATCTTGAGGACACCATTTTGGAGAATATCTAGAACCTTTTTGAACTCGGGATCGCCAGAACGTGGGAAGTGGAGCAATCGAAGGAGAGAGGTCAAGAACAGTGTCAGCACAACAACAACAACAAAGCTCTGGGATGCGAGCAAAGGTTAGTCAGGTGTGCATACTTGAGTTAGGGCCGCCTACTGTTGTCGCTGCCTCCTGGCCTCCTGGAGACGTAAGCTGCTCTCAGGTGAAACCGCAGAGGCATTCGTCGATTACCAACCCTCCCAGTACGGAGACAAACCCGCTTTCCCAGACAATGTGCCAGGTGGTATCGTCCACTTCCCAGACAGCTTGATCCAAGGCAATCACCACACATAGCATTTCAAAACTTTGGCGGTCATCTAGAGCATATACGTCGCGAAGGAGTTGTATCCAAGAACTAGGAATGGCGAGCAGATGCTTTAAAGCATGAAGCGGATAGTTTGGTTGCCCATCCGGAGGAGGTCCGATCTATTCAAAGACCTCGGTGAGCAACATCAGCTCAAGGACCTTTATAAGACGGTTCCTGTATCACTATCCGAAAAGTGAAGGCGAAGGGGTATGCGACAAAAACGAAGAAGTTTGTTCGAGCTTGCCACGCTCTGTTGTCGGGCGAGGACAAGATTTGCAAGCGCTTGTACTACAACCCCGCCGTAGATCTCCTTGGTCATCTTGGACGATACGAACAGATGAAAATTACGTGAGGAGGCATCGTGTCAACATCGCTGTCGATGCGAGTGAGAGGCGATCAAACACAGGTTTTCTTCTCCTCCCGGCTCTTCTGAGCCGCTTGCGCGTCGCGCGCTAAAGCACCACGGCCTTTTTCTGAACTGACCCGCACCCCCAGGTTAGATGTGTGTCAACTGCGAGTTAGGCCTTCTTTAACCGACCACCGGATGGTCTCACAGGACGAGCTCGGCGTCGTGATTCCGGATAATCGTCACCAGCAATCCACCTTTCCACAAATCCGCAGTTCGAGGCGGATCTCATACCAAAGGCAGAAAAATATGTGAATAAACAGTACTCCTACCTAATTAAAGACTCCATCTGAATTCGAGCTAGTAGGTCGTCGAAACCAGCCGGACCGTGGATTTAATAGCAATCCACGTACCTATCCCTAACGTCGAGTCCGAAGTTCTCCTCTCTTTGGTCCGGCATCTGAAGAGTATGCTGATTCTGCGACGATGTCCGAGTTGCCCGACACTACCACCGCAGATGCCAATGGCACTGAGCGCGTTCCGCCTGCGGAACAAGATGGCCTTGAGGCTGTCCAGCACGAGGTCGTCCTGCAGTCAGTACCGTTGTCAAAGTGGTTCTTGTCAGTCTCCTTTCACCTCTGGGGTTCCGGCGCTCAGTGGATCTGCAGCCTTGCGGCACTCTCCAACTCGCTAAGAAGTGGCTCAATGGCATCTCTGGCAAGTCCAATCTAGACTCTGACCATGGCGCTCTGAGCGGCTTCCTTCGTAGATGGGTACGCGTTTCCGAAGAGCATCGAGTGGCTCTGGTGAGGCTTGATGGAAATTGGATCGCTCTCGCTGGAGACATTGCTGCTCTAGACGACTGATGGTGGTAAGTCAAATATTCTCGATAGCAAATTAAGTGTAAAATGATGCGCTGCAGCCCGGCGTCGGGAACGCGTAAGTCGCTTTGGAAACTGTCCTCGACAAACGCGACGTCGCTGAAGTCCAATCTGCGTCCATCGACGTCCACCACACTGAACTAGGCAGCCGAAGAAAAGGCAGAGTTCTGATCCTTCAGGCGTTCGGCGATACGCTTCGTGGACAAGTTGATGCCCTCCGTCAAAAGATGGCTGATGAGGACCGTGAAGCTGCAGTCTGCAAGCTTGGCCGACAAGTCGTACGTCATGAACGCCAAGGTGGTTGGCTTTCTAATGATCAATTTCCACGAGTACAGACGGTTGCTGGGAAATGCACGTGTTGAATGCATCGCCCTCGGGATTGTCTCGCCGGGCAAACACCCATCCGAAGTCGTCTACCAGGTTGGCAGGCTGTACTACGAGTGCCTCCTCGGAGCGTGTGCGTACACTCTGTCTCGTCCCTGACGCTTTGCGCGTGTTCTAATGGCGAACAGTTCGAAGCTCAAAAGGCCCTATTCCCCGCCCTTACGACTACTCATCTCGCCGAGTTTTTGACACTCAAGATTTGGTTAGTTCTTGCCTGGATATGTATGCAAATGACTATGAAACGGCGAAGGAGCAGGTGGGTAGTAAGCTCTATTGGTTGTTCATGATTCACAGACATGCTTGATACCCAGGCTTCAGTTCGTGATGGGTTTCGTTGCATGGTGTCAAAGTACTTCAACGCGTCATCCTTCTACCACAGTCCCCATCTCAAGCGTACGGTTCTGGTGTCGAAAAGTACGATGGCCTCTACTCACTGTTGTCATATAGTGTCCGAAGCGTCGGCGGAAGACAACAATCTGTACGATCCGGCCCAACGACAGAGGGTACGTGATGCCATTCCATTTCTGATTGCGTAGGCTCTCGACTGAACGCCACAACAGGGGCAGCATGCGACAAGCGTATTGACCATCTTGAATTCGCTTGGAATCGCGGGCCTTGTCTCCAAGTTTTACGCGTGCGGCACGACTCACGACCTTTCCAACGTTCTGACATTGCGGTGCGAGTTGTATCAAAAATTTGATGGGCTGGAGTTCTAGCTTGAACCGACAGACACTCTGCACGAGGTACGTTTATTGAGTCCGAGTTTTGCTCTTGGCATTGACCCGCGGCTTGCGCAGTATATACCCTGTCTGCTTTGGGGCCAGGCCAAATCCCAGAGGCGAACTATTTCCTCTGCCTGACCCGCGTCTACTTACAGTCCACGCGGTATGTGCGCAAACGGCGCACTCGTCTGGAGCGATGGATTACTTCTAAAAGCTGGACAATGATCTCGAAAACACCAATGTGCTCGCTCAGAACGGGTCGTCTGCTGTCCTCCTCACTCAAGCTATCAAACGGGCGTCCGTCATGTATCTGACAGCTTGAGCTAGGGTTCCTCAATGGCCTTATCCTCCGTCGCGCTATCTATTCGTGCGCACCCTATCCTGATTTACATGTAACTTGATCACAAGCTGTTTTGGTTTTACACAGACAGTGCTTTGATGCTTCAGCCGTATGTGCAACGCTTGCATATCAAAGAGCATAGTTGTATTACACACGCCCTCAATAGGATTTGGCTGATCTTTGACGTGTGCCGCTTATCCCGAGCGGCGCTAGGGTAGGTATCAGAACAAAGCCAGCCGTCGACTGAAGGATGCGATGATCAGATTAGGAAGTCTGAACGGCATACACTCAGGTGGCAATATGGATCTATGCGTACGGCAACGAGATCCAGCGGTATGTCTCTTCTAGAATCCCCATTTTCTCTGCAAGATTTTAGTAGTTGGCTTGGCGCAGCTGTGTTCAGAGGCACTCTATTCATGCTTATCTTCAATCCCAGCCTTCAGAAGTTGCTGTCGACTGGGTTCATAGTAAAGTGGCACTTCTCGCTGATCGCTGAAGTCATGCTCGTTGGTATCAGAGGGGACAGTAACGGGCCCAACTTAAATGTCTTGGGACATATCGAGTGTCCTAAGACTTTTAAGTTGAACCCGTCATTTGTACTAATACTCGGGTTTGTCCTCGAGCAACCATTTTTTTTTCGAGATTCGCTGGTAGATGCGGGGAGGGCTCATAAAGTTCGAGAACGTCAAGCATGGTAAAGAATATGAGAAACCATGAACAGATAAATGGTTCCGAGATGGTTGCGAAACTTACGGTGCGCCACAAAGTAATCGGAACAAAGCTTCAATATTCAATCCGTGGGAAACGTAGTGACCACGACACACGGCTGCAAGACACAGTTCCCTCTAGTAAGCACGCAGTCGCAGCTGCTTTCAGTTGCATGCAGGTTTCCGACTCGATACAGACATGAAGTTCAATGCTGATGTATCATAAATGCTACCGCCACACAGTACACAACAGCCAGAAATAGGCTCAAAGCACATCCGAACAAATCTAGTCTGCGGACTCTACTCCGTGTCAAAGACCAGGCATCGAGCCTCGATGCTCTCCCGGTGGGGCGCATCCTTTGGACTGGTCTTGTCGAGGAATGCGGTATGCGGAGTGAACCGCGCGCGGTCCACCTCTGAGTCGTAGCACTTAATGAGCGTGACCTCATCCGGGGTCTGATCCGAGAGGTAATACCACTTGTGGTTCGGGTTGTAGTGGGCGGCATAGATACCTGCACCACACCGAAGACTTATGAGTAAAAGTTGGAGGCTGCGCACAGTGAGAGACACGTACCTGCATTAGGGCGTTGGTCGGGATGAACGAAGCGAACAGGAACAAGATCGTGTTCCTTATCGACTGTGCGCCAGTCCGACACGGTGAGCGGCCTGTGAGCCACAGGATTGCGAATGGGGCGCCAGACGTTGATGATACGGACGCGTCCCTTCAGGATGCGTTCAGCCTCGTCACCGAGATGACGGTGGACACGTTCAACGGCCGCATCGTAAGTCTGGTCGATATGAACGAAGTCCTGTAGATGGCTTAAGCGTATGTACCAGCCTCATGCAACGTAAGTTGACTTACGGCCGCTCCACGGATGAGCTTGCCCGTCGGACTAACGAAATCCGGCTCAGTGCGGCGGAGAGTGTGGTCGAACACGAGGACCCTCTTCGCACCGGTCTCCTTCTTTAGCAGCTCCTCCAGCTCCTTGTAGTATGCATCCTTGATCCTCTCTTCGTCCTCAAAGTTCTTCTCTTGGCTTACGTGCTTGACGAATTGGAAGCCGGACGTGTCGAGAGAGAGGTCGTACTCTTTCTCCTTGCCACGAGCATCGCGAACAACAACGTCGTGCGGTTCACGGCCGAGATTGTCCTTCTTCTTCCCAGCCGGTGGGTCTTGGATATAGATACGGGGCGACTCGTCGGTTTCCGGGTCGGGGACGTAGTAGTTCAGAGTGGTCGGGACATCGCGGGGTGCGAGGACTGCGACGGTCATCGTGAGGATTGGATGGGGTTTGCGCTAGTCAAAGTTGTTAATACGAGTGGTTGGCTTCACGACGTAGAGACTTGAGAGCCAGGAGCAGATCTGTAACCCTTAAGTACGGTGTGTGCCCTTCGCTCTAGCCGGCTCCTGCATCAGTCAGCAGAATATGCTCTGTAAGCCACAAACTACATTCTCAAACGGAGTACTATGCCGCTAGCCCGTCGAAGCAATGCTTAATCACAAAGTAGCATCATCCCGAGTCGCGATGAGGCAACCGCTGGCCACGGGCACATGAGTAAGCGCAGCGCGAATCCGAGAAAGGTAAATGCCGACTACTCGGAGCCAGCTGCTTCTCGTCAGTGACAATGTTGCCTAGGCTGGTGAGAATTTAGGCCTATTTCGAGGAAATTGACTAATCCTCGAGTCCTCGCAGCATAATGCTGAAAGCTTCACCGGCACCTCTGCAATACCAAGCGGCCCCGACGCAGAGGCTTCAAACTAGGAATGACATGTCTCGGCCAAATTCTTCCGACGATGCTTCTGGTGCCCGCCTTTCTCCCGGCCACTGGAATATAACATAGTCAGAACTACAAGCGTGCCGAGGATATACGTTATGGCTGGCATATTTATACTTCTTCTGGTACTCTGCGCCGCGACTGAATTATGCCTGTACATCCCGCTATATACAACAGTGCCACAAGTGAGCACATCATGATGAGCCGCCGAAGCACGAAATGACCGTCGACATTCTTATGCATAATGGCGGGGCGACAAGTCGCGACTATCTAACATGCGATCACGTGGACACAGCGGACCCGCGCCGCGTCCACCATAACTTAGTTTGTGTACGGAAGCCAGATGTTCGACTTGTAATTTACCGATTGTTTGAAGTTACTGTATCCTGTACCATAATTTCGTCAGTCTTGCATCCTCGATCTCTCTCGCGAATCGTTTATGCGCAGCATTGTATCGCGCCATGTCGTCGCTCCCGATGTCGAGATCTAGCGCTCCGAAGGAATAATAACACGGATTGATTATCGGATCGACCCCGGGGTACTGCCGTACGTCGTTCCACCACAGGATGCTATAAGCGGTAGACTTTGCGTATTCGATACATATCTCGTTTGCCTCCGAGGTACCCATGTGCGGCTGTCACATACCAGTCAGCTAGGTTCGGTAGAAACGCACAGGTGTGCTGCTGACCTCGAGGAAGCGCGCTACTCTCGTCGCGGCTGTAATGGTCCCATCGAATGTGCCGCTAGCAGTGTGGACCCCCATGTATGCAGGTGTTGCTTGAATCAGGGCAGTGCGTACTTGGTCTGCCAAACCGTTACTAAACTTGGCATCCCTGAGATGCTCGTCCCAATACATCTTCGCGTAAAGAACACAGTCATCTGAGCGATACCGCCTAGCCTCCAAGCAAGCCGATAAAGTCCGGAACGAGGTTAACACGGTCAAGCATGCAGATGTGAGACGGGCATGTCCGTTGGATCGATCCACATGATACAGCGGATCGCTGCAACGTTTGTCGTCGAGAAGGAACTCGCCAAGTGAGGCGTGCAGAGGCAGCATGCAACCATCCGGGTTAATCAAAACGATGGAGCGTAGGCGGTCCACCATTGTAATGACGTCGTTCTCGAGCGTTTTAAGTCCGAGTAAATTCGCGACGGCATGAGGAGTCATAGGTTGTTTTCGGAGTGCAATGAAGCTCAAGAGGGAACGCAAGCGTTCGTGATGGGATTTGAGAGTGTGAAGGTCTTCCGGAGGAAAAGCTGATCGTAAGACCTGGAGGTAAAGAGCATCCAGAGGCGAGAGTCCCGCTCCTTTCGACGCCAATAAGAGCTGAAATTGCTCTTCTGGATCATCGCGATATGTATCGAGGAACCTAACTGCAATGCGCGCGTAGATGAAAACGCCATCCGCGAGTTTTATAAGGCGTTCGAGCATGTCGGGATGGCCGCGGACGAAAGTACTATACTGGGGGATCTTGAGTAGCGTGCCTTCAATATAGCTCCTGACATCGCCTTTCCATTTATGAAGGGTTTCATCAAGGTTCCGATGAAACACGAGGGCGCGGGCCTCGGCTGATGTTAGCGCTGCGAGAATATGCGGTTCTGGTCGTGACGCAGCGAAGACGCGTATCCAGGGCACCGAGCGGACTAGCTCAAGCACGAGCTTCAGGAGATGAGGCACCTGCTCCCGCTCTTTGCATTCATCCAGACCGTCGAGAACAAGAATGACTGGCTCCTGCGCGATGGCGTTAGTGCGAACCAGTGGTCGTAGGAGAAGTTCTTCGAAAGCGTGCGGCATCTGCTGCTGATCACCTTGCTTGAGATACTCTCGCGCCGCGGTGGCGATGTTTTGCTTCAGTCGGGGCACGGATTGTGCGAGTTGATGTACGAGGGTCGGGAAGACTGAACGAATCGACTCGAGATCTTGGCGACCTCGCACAAAGAAAAACGACGCGCCCAGACGGGACTGCTCTGGGCTGCCGAGGCGCATGCAGAGCTGGTGGGCGATGCAGGACTTGCCCAGACCAGCAGCTCCGCAGAGGAGGTAGAATGGTTTCGGATTATTCTGAGGAAAGCCGCCGTTCGCCCACAGAGCTAGTTCTTCGAAGAGTTCTGTCCGGGTGCCCTCCATGAACTCGCTCTTGAGATCATCTACTGAGCGATACCCAGCCGGGACATGGGGAATAGAGCTGATGATCTGCTCCTGCTCTGTATGAGTTGACCGATCAGTCAGCTAGACGCAACCGCAGCCACGGAGTATCCATTTCCGTACCTGCTATTTGGGCTTTTTTGCGAAAAGCCTATACGCTAGTGTTAGAAGCGGACGCATCACGTTTATAGCATACACGCTACGCACCTTCGCTTCGCTCATAGCATTGCTGAGCATCTTCTCGATAGAAATTTGTCCACGGAGCTGACGATGTATTACGTATACATAAAGCTATATCCGGATAATATACCGAAATTTCGCGCACCTTGAACATCGCTACAGCCCTCTCCAGGCCGCTGTTCATGCCTGACAGAATAGCTTCATTTCGGGAGGCGTAAAAGAAGCCTTTGAGAAAGCCACGGAAGCCATGCCCGCCTTTGAGATTCGCTGCAGACTTCCGAAGCTCGCCGATTATACTGTACTGCTGTCAGCATTATTGACATTTCTGTTTCTGGAACGTACTTCTGTAATTCCTGCGCTCGTACTTGCAGCTCCTCAGAACGCATGATTCCGTCCAACAGATTGTCTTTCTCTAGGTCATCTCCGTCGTAGTCCCTGATTACCGTCTGCGCCTTCGTTAAGACCTTCTTGATGACGTCGTCCAAAGCTGTGACTTCCTCATTGAATGCGCGAAGCACATCGTCGTTTGTTCGAGCATCCTGCACGAATGAATTACCGATAGCACATCAATGACATGCTGTCCAGCCTTGAGGCGACGTCATCAACTCACCTTGACCCTGTCGACGATAATCGCCAGGCTCTTCGCTATGGAAGGAAGACCCGGCACTGGGACAAGCTCAAGTACGCTCTCCGCCAGCTCGAAAAAGGGTGTTGCAGTGTCGAGTGCTATATCAACAAGTTCCATGCAACGACTCCGACTGGCGGGGATGGCGGCATCTGCGCGAGATCCGATGTCTGGGTTTGAAGATTGAGTGGCAAGCTCAGCACGGTTGCCCCGGCCGGCCGGCATAGTGTACGAGATACAAAGTCTGGGTGTGAAGACCAAGATATGATGTTTAAAATCTGAATTTGAGGCCTGAGACTGTCTGAAGGGGAGAGGAGGGAATCGCGGGTATGGGGTTGGAATGCAAGAAACGCACCAGCCTCGAGGCGGACGTCAAGCATTCCTCCCTGTCACTAGTTTCCGACCGGCGAAGTCCGGGCACGACGCGTTGAATTAGCTGGGGGTGAGACTATTGCAGAGAAGCCGCAACTCGCAGAAGAAGATAACTAACCTCAGTATCCTACAAAGCAAAGGTGCTGCGAAATCGGACAGTAGAAGCCGAATAGCACTTAAGGTATGACACAGACTTACCAACTCAAGTCCACTTTACACTGGCTGCCAGCAGTAAAAAAGCCTATGGCGTGACTGACATATACCGTTGTATACATGAACATTCATCATCTCGCATGAACGCTGCTCTGTAGATTAACAAACAGGCGGGTATCGTCTGATAACACGAGACCCGTTTATCTTAAACCTCGTTATCAGTCACGAAATTTCTTCAAACTCGTAAGTTAAGTCTGGAACGTATGTACTACACTCACCATATTTGCCTGGCCGGAAGTATACGGAGGTCAACGCGTCGGTACGATGAGGGCGGCAAGTTAACTCCTTAGACACCTACTCGGGGGCGTCACAACATCCAAGCCAGCGCGAGCAACAGTGGGCGCCAAAATGCCCAAAGCAGTAATTTGGGGAATTTTCGGGAATTTTTGTCAGTTTAGCTCGATTTTGGCCCAGATTTGGTGTAAAGCTCCGTGACAAGACCCAAAAATTGCAGCCCCTGGAGAGGTCTGTGGGGTGTGACGTTAATAGTAAGGGCTAGCAAGGGCGAGAGAGGGAGGAAAAAGAGGAGGAAAGGAAAATCTTATATTGCGGCAAACGAATACAGTGGCGAGACCAACATAGATCATAATTGTAATAATCGTGTGTCGTGTGTAGTCGTAATTAATTCCATTCATCATTAAAGCATGCGCAGATGAGTGCGTATATCGAGCGGGATGTGAGCAGTCTACGCGGGCACGTCTACGCTCCTGCCGTGGGCGGGCGATGATTTCCCGCTTTGGATATCCTCACGTTCTTCCTCGAGAACTGTACGAGAAGGCGACGGCAATTCCTCAGCTTCTACGATAGCATCGGTTTTAGGGAGCGTTGGTTCCGCCGCAAGACGCTCGACGTCGCCGGGAGCCGGACGGGCTGCCTTGCGTTTGAGTGTGTAGTGTTTGAGCAAGAACACTGTATTGGTAGCTTTGGCACCCCATGGAACCGGAATGGTAGCAGAGCGTACCGAGTATCATGCACATTCCAACCAGTGGTGTGTTGACGATCCAAATTGTCGAGATACTCTTCGTGTATGCGTGCTGAATTTGGCGCCTAAGAGATAGCGGCTAGAGAGCGGGGAGTTGAAGATACCGAACAAAGCAACTCTGGTGTAAACATACCTCAATCATGTTGATCTGACGGATACTGTCAGCCAGATTCGCACTCGACGTGTTGATCACGGCTCCTGGAATCATGGCGAGCTTCTTCCGCAGTTCCTAACAAACGGGCATCAGCATTGCACTCATAAAAATATGCTTCTCGATCAAATTTACCGTGGACCAGATCGCCTGGCCAACAGACACACCGACAGTAGAACCCAACTGGCGGAGCAAGCCGAGCGTTGACGTGCTTGTCGCCATGTCCTTGGCCGGCATCGCAGCTTGCATGAGGATGAGCGGCGGAAAGAACAAGCCGCCCGTGCCGAGGCCTGCTATGAGCGTGAAGACGACTTGCTTCGCGCTAATGGCGAAGAGCGAGTTGAGCGTTGTCCTGATGGAGCAGAGGCAAGCGGCTTACAGAGAAGAAGTTTCGTCCAGCGTAATCATCAATCCAAAGCCGAGGGTCATGACAATCTGTAGCAATATTACGATTTTAGTCTGAGCATACTTCAGGCGCGACATAGGTAAACGTACGTATGAAAACCAGAGGACAGGCCTGATCATGCCTGTAGCCGTAATCAGGAAGCCAGCGACAAGAGAAACGACACAGGTGCCGAGCGAGTAGGGCAAAATCCTACAGGGATGGTCAGTCGCAAATTTTCAAGCCAGACAGGAAGCGTATACTCACTGAATACCGGCCCTGGTAGCAGAAGCACCAAGCACCTGATAGTAGACAGGTAAGTAATACGACGCTATCCGCACAGACTACGTTAAATAGTGTTCAGGGCTTGACGTTAGGAGTGCATCCTTTACCTCCAAAGAAGGCAAATCCATGAAGGAAGACAGTGACCAGAAGAATGGTCGTGGTACGGGTCTATCAGAGCCATATAAGCACGATATTACCTAGGAGGAAACCTGACTGCAAAGCCTACTCTGAACAACCGAGGCGGAATGATAGGCGACCTGCTGGTATAGCCCTCCCAGCACGCCGCGCACACAAGCAGGACGCAACCAATTGTCAAGAGGGAGATTGTCGCAGCGGAATTCCAGCTCGATTCACTCTGGTTGAAGCCGATGAGCACGCATATTATACTAGAGACGATCAGGAACAGCCCGAGGAAGTCAAACTCAGAGACATGCTGCCGGAAAGTCTTGCGATGTTTCGGCGGGTTCAGGTGCAGAGTGAAGAAGAGGAGAATGAGGGCAACGCCGCCAGTAGGTCTGAAGGACATGAATTATCAAGTAGATCATGAAAGAAAGTCTGAAAACATACAGGTTGACCCAGAAGCACCATCTCCAAGAGACGTGGTCGGTAAAAGCCTGCGTGATGCGTTAGTGGCTTTCGCCATCCACTGAGCGCAGTAGTAGACGCACGCCGCCGACGAGCGGTCCAAGGATCCTAGGAAGGGTCAGATTACAGTTGGCGCATAGCTGTCCCATGTGACTCACGAAGCAATACCCCAGAGCGCCCCGGCATAGCCACCGAATGTCGCTCGCCTGAAGCGAGGTCAGCAGGGTATGGATACCAATGTCCCAACGGCATACCTCTCGAGCGGCACTATATCTCCAACGACGATGTTGACCATCTGGAAGATGCCCCCACCACCAATACCCTGGAGGGCCCGGGCAAGGATGAGCCAGGTCATGCTTTGCGCAGCACCACATAGCGCCGAGCCAATCTAAGAGCTGGAATTTATTCACCACGCATACTCACATCTGGACAGTTACTTACCAGGAAAACAACGATGACGGGGTAGAGTACAAACTTGCGACCAATGAGGTCGGAGATCTTACCGTAGAACGAGCTCAACGCCGCAGATGCTAAGAGATAAGCACTGTGATTGGCGGTGAGTGCGGCTGTTATGGGATACTTTGGACTAGAATTCACCTTGCAACCCACGAATAGTCTTGACCACCCTTCAGCTCTGAAACGATGGTAGGTAGTGCAGTCGCCACGCTGTCGTAACTTGAGTATTGGCATGCAGCTACGTCAGCGGGAAGTCAACCTACATCGTCTGGTCTAACGCAGCCTAGATAAAGACTTGGATAAGCCACAGAACACAGATGCTGTCGTGAACGTACTAAAAACATTGCTAAGAGCAACGAAAAGAAAACCAGCGGAAGGTTGTTCTTTGGGATGTCCTGTGCGTCCTCAACTCTCCACGCTTTTTCGTCCTGTGTGGGCGAGGCAGCTCCGGACTTTTCGGAAACGGCCATCTCTTCCCTGGCTTCGACTTTTGCGTTCTCCTCGTGTGTGGCGACCATGGCTGGACGACAGGAGCCAGTGCTGCACCTAGAGACCTGAACGACGCTACTTGACCTAGGATCGCGAGGTCATGCAGTTGTCGTGGATCACGCGGCCTGGTCGACCTTTTATATTGACCGCATGCACTTCATGAGTCAGCTTTCAAGCGACGCATCCGCGGGAAAATCCGACTGCGGTGCAAATTTTGCCTTCCCAGACGCTGTTGACTAGGCTTCGCCTGAGAAGTGCACTGAATAGCACTATCTAAACAGAGATAGTTTTCCATAGAAATTAAAATAAAAAAACTCGGGACATTTGTCGAGATTTTCTGGGCCAAACTGGGAGTCAGATGGTGGGTCAGATGAGGGTGGACTCGGAGGTTAACAACCCGAAGCGGAAGCAAAATTGCCTTTTTCGTGGAACGTACCATGCGGTCCCGTGTGATAGACGCTTGTGGAATGCTTCGACGGCGCCCATGCCAGCGTTTGCGCGTGCATTGTCCAGCATCTGCCACTGTCACCGCAAGTCCTGAGGCCTGGGACTTGGAGCCTAAGTGTCCAAGAAAACCGCTGGGTAGGCTAGTATCAACGAGTCTCGCTGCTTTTAGGCGATGGCAATGGTCGAGTCATGTACGAAATGCCAGGTGAGACTCTGTCGATCAACCGTGACGTGCGTCTTTCTTCGAGTCGTTGAAAATGATCGCTGAGGACGTAGCGGACAAAGAGATGAACCGAAACATCACTGCTTCGCCTATAGCGTGTGGCTGTGTACCAAAGAGGCAGCACCGCTTTGGCCAATGATCTCTGAGGCCACCCGGGGCTTTGTCGCATCAGGGCAACCCACAGCAGCAAATGTGGTGGCCACAGATCTGCGGTTTTTTTAGGTATATATAACTGCATGCAGGTCTGTGACTTGACTCGCAACAAATCGTCTATCACGTTCATACCACTCCTCCCCTTCACTATTCATTGCTCACTCTACTATGAGTCGCCTCGAGAATACGAAAGCCCAGAGGGTCCTTACTCCGCTCACTTCGATGACTCCGCTGAGGCGTACCAAGAAGCCTGAAGGTCATATTCCGCGTCCTCCCAATCGCTTCTTCCTCTTCCGTCGGGATTTTTGCGCCAATCTCAAGCTGGGCTACGTGGATCCGAGTCTACTCAAACCCAACACGAGTATCTCCGGGGCTGCCGGGGAAGCATGGCGGCGGCTATCGGAGGAGGAGAGAAAATTGTACAAAGACAAGGAGAAAGAGGAGAAGAAGAAGCACGAAGCAATGTATCCGAATTATACATTCAGGCCTCAACGAAAGAACAAGAAGAATAAGAAGGCGTCTCCAAGTTCTAAGGCGATAACTGTCAGTCGAGAACAGTCTCCAGCTTCAGTTGCTACATCAAGTCAATTCCAGCCTGAGACTTACGAGGGAGAGTCTAGTGACGAGGCCACCCCCACCGCGTCAACACTGGCCACACCGTGCGACGACTTCCAGCCCCTCGGCGAACCCGCTGTTCTCACGCCGACCACACTCCCTCCATCCGCCGATGTCCGATACGCGCGGAATGCTCTGGGACTCTCCGGCATGTATAACACGGACACGACTCCCACGTGCCGAGTCATATACCAATACTCGCTCCCCCCGCCACCGACGCCACACATCGTCTCCTTCACGAGCGCAGACCTATGCATTGTCTTTAGGCGCTTACTCTGTCCCACCTGCTTCCGCACCCATGCCGCATCTTTCTCCAACAACACCTACTGGCCGACAGCTAAGAACGAGTACTGCTACGCCCTGCGATCCTCTCTTTGCAGGGAGTGTCTTGTTCTCAGTGGCGAAAATGCACGTGAGATGATCCAGTCTGGAATCGAGCGTCTGAATCGTCGGGAAATTCTCAGTCAAGTGTTCCCTCCCGCAGCTGTGTTTACTGAGGTTTGTGGCCACGTGTCTGTGTTGCAAGTCTGTGTACTAACGGCCCGGTCAGATGCCAAACGCTGCTCCGGAAGAGTTGGATCTCTTCTATGAGTTCATGAACTTCAGTGGTTCTTCATAGCAGCAGCTCTTGAGTCCCTTCAGGGGTCGTGCCGTGACGCCGTCCGTTCTAGATGTTGCTGTTTCGCGCATTCTGTGTAATTAATCGCACTTATTGAAGTGGTAATCGTCATTGTCGCGCCCGTATCTCTATGTTCGCGCATGCTTTATCGACGGTGGCTCTCCTTCGGCGGAGGCAGATGCGCGCCAATCATTCCCGCCTCCCGATGACGCCACCACGGCATCAACAGACGCCAATCACCGGAACTTTACCGTCCTGTCCTCATGTAATCGACTATTCCCGCGAGCTTGGCTTCACAAGCAGCGACTTGCTCACAACCCACCTTCACGTCATGCCTCTAGATTTTTTTCTGAATATTCTAGCATGTTGCGATGCGCACATGGCGACGACAGAGCTCCGAATACCGTGTATCACTTGTGGTGCGGTCACAGGGCGATTCGTCCTGGTAACATGACTCCTCTCCGAGTCCCCTCGATACTCGTATGTCATCATGCGTATGCTCCCCACTTTATGCATTGCAGCATCCACACAGGGTTCTTCTCGTGCTTCGTCCGAGCACAAGGCGCATATATCCAGCATATACCCGCCGACTGCGGAATGTCGGGCCGCCGTCAGGAAGACAGAGTCAAGCGGGCAGATTATGTGGCATGATGGCATTCGTGAGTGCATTGTTCTCGATGTCTTGTCACTTTGGCATCTGGGCGGGGTCCAGCGAACCGAGCGCGATGTTGCAGATCGTACAACGAAAACGTGGCCCACCTATTGGGCGCCTCCATGTTCGCACTCCAATTTGAGAACAAGCTTGGAGCTAGTCACTCCGCTCAGGTGGATATAGTGTGTCACCAAATGGATTCAGAACACATTCAGTCTCGAGAGGCCCGAGTCCTGTAGCGCGTCGTCGTCATCAGTCACTCACGCGATAGGCCGCATCAAATGGTGGAAGGAAGAAGAGGAAACACAGAGGGACGCTTGCAAGTAAGAGCAGCCGCGAATCATCGGAACCCGCCTTTTGGACGACGTTATCGAATCCCTGTCTGCTAGTGCCGTTCCTCCCTTATCTCGTCGTGACTTGCCGTACTATGGTGAGTGGATCCTTTCCCCTTATCTCTAGTGCTAAAACATACTTACTGTAATTTACCCATTTCAATATAACGATCAGCGAAGGCCGTAGGAAAAGATGCAGCACCCTAGGAGCTTGGTCTCCATCCGCGAGTTTTGATCGCCCCTTTCTCCAATGGAAACGTATCATCCATCATCAGAAAGCGGCACTGATTGTATCTGTTGTTGACTTGTCAAGAACCTTCCTGTGCCTTACGGTGTAGGAACATGAAGTCAGCATCCGATACAACGAAAGCATCCTCACCCTATCTCGCCTATGAAATCACCCGCTACGATTTCTCCGGCTTACGCGTCCCCCAGCCTTCTACTTAAGGGAATGCACACGGAGGTCGAAACAGCGAAGAAGGCTGACCAAGGCTCGCCCCGCACCGACGGTCTCTTATCCGGACATGGCGCGTGAACGCTTTCCGCCAAGGAACCCTTGCTAGATATAAGTAGTCTCCATCTCAGGGTCCTCTTTGCTGCCATGCGGCTTTGGAACGTCTTATGATAAGCGGTCAAACGCTGCGGGCGCTTCTTGACGACATGCAGTGCTCGGGAGGCTGAGAACCTTGCGGAGGACAGAGCAACACTGGCGGCGAGAACTAGCGACCTTCGCGCCTGGGCTTCTGCACCGACGGAGCGCACTGCAGTCATGTGGCCGGGTGCGGCATCGACGCACAACTGCCACGCTAGCCCGTGCTTCCGACCGACCAGTCGGGCACCTGAAATAGCCCCGACAGCCGCAGCTGCATAATAAACGGCGTCGGCGTCGTTGGCGTGCGTCCGGGATGTGTGTCCGGTGCCGGCTCGTTTCCGACGAATATTAGCCTGAGCGATACGGATGATCATGGCTCAGGCCAGCGCAAGCCAGACCGTCAAGGCACGAACTCGAAACGTATTCAGAAGTTGAAGCTTGAAGTCAGGCAGTGGCTGTCCGAACACTGTCTCGGCGCGTCGGACGGTCCCTCGGCCAGTCGCACGACTGAAACATCGTGACTGCGGACCCTAAACTATCGCGGGGACGGTTTCGGGGGCAGTTGAGCATGATCTCAGATCGCGATTCTCGATCGTGACATGTCCGCAACTGCGAACGAAGAGTGCACTAGGGAGAGCTGAAAATTTGCACGACGTCGGGGCACGGAAGATACGGAGGCGACGGTAGGAGGAATGTGCGGCCTGAAAGGTGAGTCCGGGGCGCTCTAGAAAGCTGTGCCGGCCCTGTTCCCACGTATGGCACAAAGGTCGCTTTAATACACCCTGCCTCTCAAGCTCGCTGACGTCGATTTTCCTAGGATGTATGCACTCCCTATTCAGGGCTGCGGCGGCCAAGAGATTGGTCGTCGAATTGTGCAGACCGCGTTGAAAAGGAAGCGAAGGAGTTGACAACGGGACGACCATCAATCAAATGTTATCTGGTCTGCATGGGTCTTGAGCGTCCTTATCGTTCGAAAAAATGCACATGCACGCGACTGTGCCTAATCCGACCAGCAGTCCTGCGGCCCTCTTATAATGGAGCCGCTCGAGCACCACTGCTCCCCACGCACTCGAGCTTCCCTTATTTCTTGCTCGTGCTCACCAGGCTTGTGCCTCGTCACCTCACTGTTCCCAGAGCGGACTACCATCATGTCTGATCTTCAACCATCTCCCATCTACGAAGAGAAGAGGGACGACTCTGCTTCTCTTGAGAAGGGCGTCTCTACCGACTATGTTGTGCAGACGGACGAACGCTACAAGTTTGACCAGCATGACATTGACAAGGTCCAACGGCGACTGAAGCAACGTCATGTGCAGATGATTGCTGTGAGTGTTTTTCAGTGCTCACTCCTTTCGAGACTCCCGTGCTGAGTACTCTGATGAAGATCGCCGGGACCATTGGGACTGGTCTTTTCCTTGGCTCAGGTGAAGCATTGCAAGGTGCAGGCCCTCTCGGAGCCCTCATCGCCTACATGCTCGTTGGCACTGCCGCATACGCGTCTCTTTGCTCCATCGGTGAAATGACTTCCCACGCGCCGATATCCGGTACCTTCCCACACTTTGGTGCACGCTGGGTGGACCCTGCATTTGGTTTTGCTCTAGGGTAAGCTTTAACGTTACACCCCTGTTTGATCACCTCATTGACTGCATGCCCTAGATGGAACTACTTCTACACGAACGCCATCTCCATCCCCGTCGAGATATCGGCTGCAACCATCGTACTCACTTTCTGGGATAGCAACCTCCACCATCAAGCCGGCTACACTGCGGTCATCTGTGTTCTTGTCTGTTCCATCAATATCTTCGGTGTTCGATGGTTCGGAGAATCCGAGTTCTGTTTCTCCATTATCAAAGGTAGGCTCCTATCGTCCAAATGTCCGTGCAGCAATATTTCTCATGCCAGATCCTCTTGGCAGTGCTTCTCATTACTGGGCTCATCCTCGTTGGCCTTATTATTGATCTTGGAGGAGGCCCCGACCACGATCGTATTGGATTCCGCTACTGGAAGAATCCTGGGGCTGTTGCTGGTGCCGGCCTTGAACCTAAGCATGTTGGCCTCGATCGTTTCCTTGGAATCATCGGTGTGATCGTCCAGGCTGCCTTCTCCTTCCAGGGCATGGAGCTCGTCGCTATGTAAGTTTGATACATGCACATTTGTCGGCAATCGCGCTTACTACAGTGACAGCGCCGCTTCGGAAACTGAGAGCCCCCGCCGTAACATTGCTAAGGCTGTTCGTCGTGTCTTTTGGCGTATCCTGGTCTTCTACGTGAGTAGAGCGTTCGCACTTCATCGTCAGCATCATTTCTGATATTATCACCCGCAGATTCTCGGTATCTTGATCACGGGCATGCTCGTTCCGTACAACGATCCGGATTTGCTGTCTTCATCCGGTAACGGTACGGCGGCAGAATCGCCCTACGTTATTGCGATCAACCGCGCTGGGATCAAGGTGCTCCCGCACATCATCAATGCCTGCATCTTCACCTCCGCCTTCTCTGCCGGCAACTCCTTCCTCTTCGCAGCTTCGCGTGTGCTCTACGGTCTCGCGCTCCGCGGTCAAGCTCCACGCATCTTGACCTACTGCACGAAGAAAGGTCTCCCAATTGTAGCAGTGCTCACCACTGGCGCTTTCTCGCTCCTCGCGTTTATGAACGTGTCCGCCGGCGCCGTCACCGTGTTCAACTGGCTCGTGAACCTGTCCGCCGTCGGAGGCTTCTTCAGCTGGTGCGGCATGAACATCACCTACATCTTCTTCTGTACGTCTCGTTTGTCTGCATTTGTCTGCTGATAGATCTCTAATCCTCTGAATGAAGACCGTGGAATGAAAGCGCAAGGCTTTGACCGCCGCAAGCTAGTCTACAACAGCAAACTGCAGCCATACCTAGCATACTGGGGCATCTTCTGGACGGCACTCTTCATCCTGATCAACGGTTATAGCGTCTTCTGGAACTTCAACGCGTCTGGCTTCCTCACCGCCTGTGCGCCCCCTCTCCTCTGCTTTTCTCCGAGTATATGCACTAACTATTTGCTACTGCAGACATCAACATTCCTATCTTTTTCGGGCTCTATTTCGGCTGGAAGATATACAAGCGCACAAAATTCTGGCGACCGGACGAGATGGATTTCGTCACTGGCATCCCGACTCTCGAGGAGACCGAAATCCCAGAAGTTCCGCCACGAAATATCTGGGAGAAGATCTTCAACATCGTCTTCTAGTCATGTTTGTTTTGAGCCTACTATCATTGTTAGTAGTTCTGGAGGCTTTAGGGGCGTGTAAGATATAAGCAGATTTTGCTAGTAGTATAATGAGTTTAATCTGTTTTGTGAACGTTGGCCTGATACCCTTCAGCATGCGATGCACGTTGTAATCCGCGGTGGCCACGCGGGATCTTTGCGCGAAGTTGTTGAAGTCCCTGTTCCTTTCTCGACAACATATCGCGATTGCAGACTGGTCATAGATACCAGAAGATTGATCGCAGAATTGAGGAGATACGCGAGACTACTAATTTTCAACCTCCTCCCCGTCCTCTTCTTCACCTTCAATATTCTCTTCTTCACTCTCACCCTCCTCACTTGCGTCCTCCTCCTGGCTGATTTCACCCTCGGGGTTCTGCCGCTCCGCCCACCCGTCCGCACTCTCGTCGTCTTGCACCTCCCGCTTGCGCTTTCCGCCCGCGGCAGCAGCCGCACCGGTGACATCGTCGCCGTCCGCCATCGCCATGCATGTCAACCGGCTGCCTTTGGAGTCGTACTCGGTCAGTGGATGTAGCTCCGCAGGCGCTTCAGCCGCCTCGACGGGCATGCTCGCGAGGTCGTACACGCGAATCTTGCCGTCGGAGGAGATGGTGCCCACGAGCGTTGTGCTCGTGCGGTGCGTGCCTGAGGCAGGCGGGAGCGCGACGGCGAGCGCATCAATCGCTTTGACACTGCAACGCGGTCAGGTTTAAAGGTCTGCCTGGGGTAGGTGTGTACGTACCGGTTCTCGTGGCCAACGAAGTGTGCTATGATCCTGGGGGTCTGCTCCCGGTCAGCGGGGATCTCATACACGGACACCTTCTTGTCTTCGGCCGCGACAAGCAAGAGTTCGCCCTCGCCCTCGACGCGCTTGCAAAACTTGATGTCATGAATCCTAGACCGATGCTGAACTGTGTGTATCATGTTCATGTCCTGAATGCACAATCAGTCTGCGCAGGAAGGGAAAGCGGTCATGTGAAGCGTACCGTGGTGTAAATATCGAGGGTTGACATCGTTTGCACAACGAAGAGCGTACCACCTGTGCTCCACCGCACCAACTCGCCCTCTGTAAGACAGTTAGGAGGTGCAAAAGTAAGCTGGGCGTAATTGCGCACCCTTGCCAAGTTTTGTACTTGCGGAACCCTTGCCCCGCATGAGATCCCACATCCTAAGCGTCCTGTCCTTCCCCACACTCAAAGCGGCCTTGCCTGACGGATGTACGGCGACACAATTTACTCTTCCCTTATGACCTTTGAGCGTACGAAGGACGGTCCAGTCGCGTGCATGAAAGATGCAAAGCGTACCATCTTCTGATGCCGATACGAGGTGAGAGCGAGAGGGGAAAGCGAGGTGAGTGATTGAGCCTAGCAAATATGCTATTAAGGATATGCAGGTACCAGGAAGAACCAGTAGCACATACCTTCATGATGCATTAAACCACCAACCTCTTTCCGCCGGCGCAAATCCCAGACCTTGATGATCTCGTCTGAACTGCCAGTTGCAAGCCATTTGCCACCGTTCGGCGACGCAGCCACTGCCTTAACAGATGATATGTGCGCAGGAAAGATGAATATCGGCTTTAGATGGAACTGGTGTGAGGAACCCTCGACAGACACAGTACCCTCGAGACCATACAAGAGTTTCTCGTATGAACCGGCCATGATCTTGAACGAAGAAGGGAGAGGTGCGAGCTCATCGTCGGTAGCTTTTGCCTTCCCCTTCTTGTCCCTGATCTGGTCCTTGAGCGAAGATCTTGCGATAGTTTTGACCTCTGTCTTCGCAGTGGGGATCTTCGTAGCAGCAAGCTTGGTAGGCGAGCTCTTCACGAGTTTTGATGCGAGTTTTGTGGCAGAGCCCTGGATAAGTTTCGGCTTCTTAGAAGACCTTTGCTTATCCTTCATGCCGGATTTTGAGTTTGATTTTGGGGTGAGCATGTCGAGCCGGGAGAAATTAACATAGACGATATATCAAAATTGTGACAGTCCGCCTTTATTTACCTCTATTTATTAATATTAGGATTAGAGGCTCTTGCCAAACAAGCATCCAGATTAGGATACAGTCTCAGCGCCCTGACTTCATCCATCTCCGCGGGCCATGCTCAGAGCTCTCCATCCAAAATGCTTCAGACCCGGATCATCAAGCAGAAGAGCTCTCAGCAACTTAAGCTGGCAACAGGCGATAGCGACCGAAAACCCGCATGTGAACGCGCTCGTCTACGTCCCGGACAAGTTCGACCGCGGCGCACCCGACTTACCACTGTATGACGTGCCTGTTGCTGTCAAGGACAACATATGCACCAAAGCCATGCCAACGACATGCTCCTCGAAAATGCTTCGCGAGTTCTCGTCCCCATTTGATGCTACCGTCGTAGAGCTGCTACGGAAAGCTGGGGCACCCATTATCGGGAAAGCGAATTGTGATGAGTTTGGTATGGGGTACGTTGCCATGTGCATCTGCTCTGTGAGAATCTAGAGAAAATTTTGTATAGGTCGCTCAACATCCACTCAGACCACGGTCCTGTCGTGAATCCATGTCAAGTGCCTTCTACATTCGTTCCATGGCATGAACGAGAGCGCAGGTCGGCAGGAGGCAGCTCGGGTGGCAGTGCGGCTGCCGTTGCCTCTGGGATGTGTTATGCGTGCGTGATATTCTCGAACGCGAGCCATGAGGTGCGAAATCTGATGTTTCTCAAAGCGCGTTGGGCACAGACACCGGCGGTTCCATTCGCTTACCGGCCTCATACTGTGGAGTGGTTGGACTGAAGCCATCCTACGGCGTCGTTAGTAGGTACACATGGCTGCTTGACAGCTGCCTATAGTTGCTTATGATGTCCTATCTCGAAGATGGGGCGTGGTCTCGTACGCAGACAGTTTAGACTGCGTTGGAGTGTTCGGCGCCAACGTTGACTACGTGAGCAAGGTATTCAGTGAGTTGCCAACGATCACACCAGTTCCGCCCTTATATATCGTCTGCAGACACTATTGCACAGTACGACAGCCGGGATCCATCAGCTGCCACGCTAGAAACAAGGGCACAAGCTAAGTCAGAGTGCCAACGAACACTGTCAGATTGGACGGATTCATCAAATTTGTCTGGATTGCGGATAGGCATACCGCAGGTAGCTCAGTCAAATCACGTTGTTTGCTGTTTCTGACACCTCAAATTAGGAATACTTCCCTTCGGAGCTTAATACGGCAATCGTAGAACCACTCAGAAAGCTCATCTCCACCTTGAAGGGCCGGGGAGCGTCCATCGTCGCCGTCTCCCTACCATCCACACGATACGCTCTTAGTGCATACTATGTCATTGCGAGTGCTGAAGCTAGTAGTAACCTAGCACGCTATGACGGTATCGAATATGGTGCGTGGCAAGCCAGTGTCCGGCACCATGTGTTGAATGACTCTCGCAGGCTTGCGAGTCGACCCCCCAAGGACGGCTGACACGACGAAAACCGCCAATGTCTACGCATACACGCGCACTCAAGGCTTCGGAGCCGAGGTGCAGAAGCGCATACTCCTTGGCACGTACGCCCTGACCGCAGAGTGGGTCCTGTCTTTCCCCAATACGTCCTGTCATCACTGAAAGGTTCTTTAAGTGCCTTTGACAACTACTTCCTACAAGCGCAACGCCTGCGTAACCGTGTTCGTGCCGACTTCGACCAGGTCTTCCGCGTGCGTAACGTCCTCAGCCACGCGTCCGAACATCCCCATGTTCCCGACGCAGTGGATGTCCTCCTGCACCCATCTGCCATCCAGACGGCCCCGCTGTTGGATGCCAAGAGGGCTCATGGCGATTTGAGCGCATACGTGCAAGACGTGCTCACGGTCCCGGCGTCCCTGGCAGGCCTTCCCGCCATAAACGTCCCCATCGGATTAGGAGAAGATGGTTGGCCGATCGGCGCGAGTGTGGTTGGACAGTGGGGCTGCGATGAGGTGGTTTTAAAGGTCGGGAAGGTTATCGAAGGCATCCAGTTGACATCGCGTTCTCTCCTATGAACGTATTGCAATGCACACGAAGCCGAATTGGTCAATACCAACGTGTCAAGGTGAAAGTATACGTGTAGCGATGGCACGACTGCGTTTAGTAGATATGCGCTGCAATATCAGAGTAGAACGACAACACATGCGAGGCACCAGGCGTCCAACAGAGTCACGTTCAGAGCGGGCCATCATAAGGAGGATGGCTTTCAGGGCGAACCGCAGACCCGAATGGATGCCAAAATTTAAGAACCACTAGACTACGAACCGGACCGGAAGCGCCCAACCGCCAGAGCGTCCTGACCTGACCACCACCTTCGCCATGCCAAGTGTTGCCGAGGGCGACGGCAGCAAGAAATAGCGTACGCTTGAGCGTATCAGGGTCAATCTCCACAGGACATCAGCGAAGTCGATCGTCAAAGCCTTCGAGGAAGGCCCTTTAGCCAACTTCGAGCAGGTGCTCGAGCGAACGGCCGTGGCGTACCGCAGAAGGCCGGAGAACGCGCGTAAAACTGTAGATGAACGCGTATCAGGTATTTACCTACGCTGTTGCTACACGAGAATTTCACCTACAGGCTCGCAGCTGCGTCTACACCGGCCAACCTACTCCAGCCGCCACCAAGAGTCCAATATTTGGTCTTCATCCTCCGAACGCCACACCAGTGGCCTCCTGGCCTCTCGATCCTTGTCTTTTGGAAGTTCTGCGCTGCAGTAATTTATTGGCATCCTCTTTAGACATTCCCTCGCTCTTTCGGGCGATTAACGACGGCAAAATTCTCCATACGCTACACTCTCGGTCGGTCGTGCAGCTGAACGACAACGTCGTCGTCAAAATTGGGGACAAACTTGCACTAGAAGAATCTGCGACTCTAGATTACCTTGCTCGACACACGTCCCTATCTGCTCCTCGCCCCCCGGATCAGGTCACTCTTGGACATACATCGTATATCTTTACTACGCTCATACATGGAGTCCCTCTGGAGAAGCGTTGGGATACGCTAACGCAGGCTCAGGAAAACTCTGTACGTTCACAACTGGACCACATACTGTCCGCACTACGCCGCCATTCCTGCGACTCATCCATGTTACTCGGAACGCCAGCCAAGCCCCACGTATGCAAGAACTGTCAAATGACTGTACGGCGAGTCCTCCTGATCTCCAGTCCGTAGCACAGTTTCGTGATTGGCTGTATTCTTCGATCCGTCCCTCTATCAGCGCAAGGTACCGTCGCTGGTTGGGCAGCAAGTTCAAGGACGACCACCGCGTCGTTCTGACGCACGGCGACTTCCACCCACGCAACATCATGGTCGTCGACCAACCTGATGGAAATGTCAGCGTCTCGGGTATCATCGATTGGGAGATGGCGGGGTGGTACCCCGAGTATTGGGAGCTGTACAAGGCACTCAACACCCGCGATATCCGGGAAGAGGGTGATTCTGATTGGTGGGACATATTACCCGCAGCCATCTTAGGTTACGACCGTGAGGTTGTCGACTACTACTTGCTTGAACGTGTTGTTCCCGGCTGATATTCTGTGCTGCCACGACATCATACATGTGCTTCGGTATGTAGACTTATCTATCGGCCTTGTGACTGACATTACTACGCTGGACTTGTGTATGTAGACTGGTGATACCCGTCTCGTGGACTGTGGCAACATGTGACACAACGCCCAGTTTTCCGGTTTGTCCTCACAACACTTTGAAGACGATGCTAATACGCGCTGACTGTCTGAGCATACTGGTCGCTGTTTTGTAAACCAGCTACTTATTTGGACAATGTGGTTAGATACGAGGAACTTCACTTAAGTTGTCTAGACACCACGGTGCAGATATATTACACGATTATGCGAGTGCGATATTGATACAGATTCAACGTTCAACTATAAGAGCACGAAAGCATGGAGCCAGAGAAGGCTAACCAAACAAAACAACTAGCTGTCCATAAATTACTCAAAATGGACCGAATGGCTGCACCTGTACGGGCTGCTGCGTCGCAAGGGTCGCGTAGTTGCCATTACTGTCAAGAATGCCCGTTTGGCGCATGAGGTTCATCCAGTGGTCCGTCATCATCACGTCCTCCGTGAAGCCGAGGTCAGGCATGCTCAACGCCGCGAGGCCCGGGTCCGTACCGCTCCCAAAGAACTCCACACCAGGCATATCGGGGCTCATGCTTTGCTGCTGCTGTGAGGCCGCCGCGCCTTGCATGTCCGTAAAGAATTGCTGGAATGACGCCTGCGGGGTCATGCCGTTCATGCCCCCGTTCATGCCCTGTTGGAACCCAATGGGTGTCTGCCCGCCGAGGCCGTTCGCGGCCGTCGGTGTCGTGGAAGCGTCCATGCCGTCCATGCCATTCAATCCATTAACCCCGTTGACTCCGTTGACCCCGTTTGTCCCGTTCACCAGGATCTGCTGAGCCGGAGGCGGCTCGACGACAGCGAGGGAGGCCGATGACGGGAACATGGAGAGGTACTCTACGAGCGAGGGATGCACCTGTGCGAACGCATCTGAGACGTTCTGCGGTACGCTCGACGAGCCAGAGTCGCTCGGCGTCGGCGGCGCGGTGCTTGCACCGGGCGATGAGTCGCGAGGAGGGCTGTCCATGTTTGACACCGAGGGCGACTGCACAGGGGAAGAGCTTGAAATGGACTGTGATTGGCGTTTCCCGGGACGTCGGCGAGAGAGAAGCTTCGAGGACATGACGCGAGTTTGCCCACCGAAAATCGCAAGCCGTGAGGCAGAGATCTCGGCTTCGGGGCCAATGTTAAGCTGGATGTCGAGAGCAGGGCTAGCGTGTCTGTTGCGGTATTGCTGGTAGGCTCTATCTGCTTTGTTCTTGAGTTCTTTCAAGATTGTCTGTGAGAGTCCGCTGTCAGCAGAGAAGAGAAGAGAAGGTATGGCAACGCACGTAGGCTTGTCGTGCCCTGAAGGACTGAGAAGAGCCCTTTCCGAATAGCTCAATGACAAGCTCAAGTTCTACAAGTGCGCTCGCAGCCATGCTGACGCTCGGAGCGCGGTAGACAGTTGAACCAAGGATGATCTGGTCGATGTAGAATGAGCAATGGGAGACAGAGCTTGAAAATACAAGACGTACCGCAGCCGAAAAGGCGTGTGTCCAAATCCCCCAGAAGCGACCGATGAGGTCCGGACACCGCTCATAATAATGGAGGAACGACTTGATGAGGACAGAGGCGCACCGGTTCGCCGCAAGGAAGGACGGTGCAAAAGGGCTGCTAAGCGGGTTATCCGGGTGGTCGAGCAGGGCTTGCGCAAAGAACGTCCGGTGGATGTAAATCATGGCTATGTAAGCGACGTGTCAGCAAGTACTTGTTACACTAATCAATGAGATCATACATATGGATCGGTATTGTGACATAAGATATCCTTTCATACAGAGTCCCGGATTGTTGTAGTCGTCTTCATCTGGCCTGAGGTACAATCTGACCGCCGGTAGAGTCGTCTGCCTGATCCGGCGATCGAGGTCGAGAACGGTCTCGTACGTTGGGGCCTGTGCATTAACGAGGGCGTCCACGATGTGGGCGTAGACCTGCTGCGAAAACAGGAACCGCCACTTCCAATCTTCATCAAGGGTCAGCAAGCAACATCGCGGATAACTTGGAGATTGACTGACAGCCTGGGAAGACGTGTCCATTCTCGCCGACGGAGGATTCTTCGTCCGTTGGAATTTCGCAATCAACATGCTTGAGAGCGATACTCGGCGGGCGGCCAAGAGCGAGACACTGAACAAACACGAATGTCAGAGGCGGTCCGATGAGACAGTGCATGAGTGATATGTACATGCATGATCTCGAATATGAAAAGCTCCCAGAACAAATTGCGTCGCCGCTGGACAATCTTGTCTTCAAGCTTCCACTGAGCGCTATCCCGATCTGTTCGTGAGAGGTAAGGGTCGGGCACAGCAGAATTCGTGATCGCATCAACGTACGGAGACCAATCTAAGAGTCAATGACACTATCAGCGATTGCGGACTGGAGTGGAACGTATATAAAGCGTACACTTTGTGCAAGCTTTGACGCCAGTCCCCCTAGAGCCCAGGCACTCTCAAGCGTATATCGAAAGGAGCAAAGACTGTGGTATCCAGCCATCAAGCCGACCGCTTGCACAGTTTCCAGTTCCGGTGAGTCAAAGACAGCACGCAGAGACAGAGCCGTGCGCCCCAAGCGGTAGTACTTTTCAGCTTCCGCAGAGCACGACGGCAGGGTCAGGTCAACGAGGGCACCGACAGCGAGAACCAAAAACAGTGTTGCCAAAAGGTGAGGGCAGCGCGCACACTCGCTGTCGGTCTTGCGGTGATACGCGAACTTTGTCGGATCGGCGACGGTGCGGTATATTGGAATGAGGATCTCGTTAATGAGCTCGTCGCGCTTGATCGGACGGAACCACCAAGTAAACTGTTCGAGATACGTCTCGCACAACGCCCAGGCGCGCGGTTGCGGAGGAAGGTATGATTCGAGCTTGTCCATGATGGCGTCGTGGGACTCGGGGGTTAGGGAAAAGGGGAATGTGAAAGCTAGGACGTTGAGGTCTTCACTGAGATCTGGAACGTCTAGTTCAATGTCGTAAGCCTCAGGAGGCAAGCTGGGATAGTTGTCTCCATTGCAAGGATTCGCCTGTGAGCCTGTGAGTTAGCGAGCAGGACGAACTCGAGTACTTCCATACCAGAAATAGCGTCTAGGGCTTATTCAGTGAGAAGTAAATGTGTTATCAAACGAATATACGCACTTCGGAGCCACCAGACCGACCAATGTACTTCGTCTCGCCATGCTCTCCTATCGTAAGCGTTCCCAGGGCATCTATAGACTGAGATAGGGCATTTCGTGTATATTCATCGTCCACTGTGCGTCGAACTTCGGGGCCGAACTTAATGGTGAGCAGCTCATCGCGCAGCAGCGGATGTCGTTCGGTGGAAATTCCAGCCTGGAAAATAGCGAGGGCATCTTCGAGTTGCCGTATACGTTCGCTCATTTCCCCGATCTTTCGGTGTAATTGCTCCGTATCTGCGAGGACGAATCTGGCCACGAGCTTAGCGGCCGTGACGTGCAATGAAAATTAATTCCGATGCTCACCGTGTGCCTTGTCCGGCCGAAAGACTGCCTGTTCCATAATGTTGAGAGCTGGCATTCCGCGTAGACCCGCCCTTCCCGCTCACCGTTGGGACATATGGTCGTGCATCCCCTCCGCACACACGACCCACAAGGCAGTTTTTTGTCACATTTCAGCTTCAACCTGTAAAACAGATGGCGCCAATTCGATGTGAGCGCGCCAGACGAAGAGAAGACCGGAGTAGCAGAACGCACCGTCGGCATTCAGCACAGGATATCTCGCCCCTGGCTCGTTTGAGCTCAACATCTTCTTCATTGCTGACTTTCCGGGACGAGCGGCGAGGCTCTGCAGGCATATCAGTGGTCCGCAGCAGAGGTTTATGAACCGATGAACGTAGGGATGGTGGGCGTAAGAAACAAGTTGTCTGGATTACTGAAATGGCTGCCAGGCCCACCCGCCTATCCTTTGCGATAGACGCCTGTCATGATCACTCGAGTCTCGATTATTATGTGTCATCTAGACGCCCATCGGTTCCCACACGGAGGGCTCGAGGCCCGCTGGTGAGAAGAGATTTGCGCAGAAGCCCACGTCCTTGCCATATGCATCCTGCGTTTGAGATGGATTGAAAATGCTGCTTTGTCTCCTCAGATTCTTGGACAAACGGCAACAGTCGGTGAATATCAACTCTTGTATTCCCGCTTTAACTTAGTACAAGTATGCGCTCAAACCCTCAATGCAGGTCACGCGAACTGTACGTGAGAATTCGGGAGTCGGAACTGCGACAACAGCTCTATCAGACTAAACTGTGTGTGGAAATTTTACAAGATGAATCGCACACACGTACGTTGCCTCTGAGTCGCAGCCCGGCCAGCAGTCGTTGTCGCGTGTCGTGAAGCAGTTTGATAAACGACATGCAGCGGAAGAGCAGTTTTCTATGGCATCGCTAGGCAAATGGATATCACCAAGAGTTCCGGCAACAACATGAGTCTCAAACGCGTAAACAGTGGCAGCATAACGTACCAGAATTGCGAGAGCGGGATCGATCCTGCTGTTCTACCCATCCAACGACCGGGCAAGTAGTCATAGTAACTCCTCGGTACATTGATTGGATTGTGTTGCACAACTCTAAACTTAAGGTGTCTCCGGCCGTGCCCTAAATCAACGAGCAAAGACCATCCTGCAACTCATGCGACCAGCAGCGCTGACGATAGCCCTGACACAGGTGCTTATTAAACGTTAGCGACAAAGAGAAGAGACGTACGGTATTTTGCTGTAAAGCGTCTGGACGCAGGTGATCAACGAACTGCGCTGAGTAGTCGCGCAGCACACCTTGTAGCACTAAGTCAGTAGCGGAACGATGCAAATTGCCGGACAGAAGGAAACTCCGAAACAGAAGGCGAGATGGCTGACAATCTGAAATCTTTCAGAAGCCTTCTGGTGTAAAATTGTGATGGAAAATTCATGGTCTGCACACGACTCATATACTCGCATTTGCACTTGAAAACAAATGAGCATTCGGTGAGTAGCACATGAAAATACATACAAGTCTTCCTGCGCATCCGGCCATGGCTGGATCGCTTTTCATTGGGCTACCCTATCCGCAACATACCCCGTTGCAGACGTATATACCATCTCGTGCTCTATGCCGATGATCTCCCCGTTAACAAGCCACGTCCACGGAAGCGTGCCGGTTTGGTCCACTTCTCGGATGTGGTCGATGAACCGTATGCCTATGAAAACACGAGTTTCGCAACGGGCCCACGCACGCGGCGGTATGACATGTATACGCGCATAGCAGTCGTGAGCGCACTCTACAGTAGTGCATTGCCATGTCGCGCGCGAACATGGGCTGGGCCGAACAAGCGTTCGAGCGTGCAGCCGGGCACAAGCGGACTGGCAGTTGATGAAGATCTGCTCAACCTTGTTAGCAAAGGTCATTAATTCTAGACGTCGGTAACACAACCGCACAGGCTAGGAGGACGAAAGCCGACGACTCACCAGTCAGGCCCACGCCAAGGCCATCGAAGACGATGGTGCCCGTGGATAGACGTGGAGACGGTGCTGCGCGACAGGATGCTTGTCGCAAGTGATGGCGATGACGGATACCGGACATCAAAATGCAGCTACATAGACCCCAAGATCTCGTGTTCATACCACTCCAATGGTCGCGTCTTCGACGTCATATCACACTAAGTAGCCTGAACTGACCGCATGGAAACTTCACAGGACACAATGCGGAGAGATCGATGGAGGAAGCCCGACACTGCGGTGTGAATGCTGATAAGAAAAGGGTAGACGTCCACATTTCAATTTTCGAGGGTAACTCAGGGAGACGAAGAAGAGATGATAAAGCGGTGACACAGTCTCGCACATGCAGAGTTTAGGGTGATGGGGATGATAGTTCAAGGGTAGTGCAAGTCAAGGCTGGCCTGCTATAGCTGGGCAAATATCGTTCGATACATGAATGTGGGTTTCGGCCTTGAAGCTTGAGGGGTGGATGTGTTTGTAAACGTCGATGAGTTGGATGAAAACCCAAGATCACGAGAGATTAGATTAGATTAAGTGGCCATAATCTAATCTTATCTCACTTACTGGAGGAATCGAAAAAGTGAAGGCTCAGAGCTCTCTTCTCTTGCCTCCACTATGTCTGTACCCATCGGTGAGCCTTTGTACGTTCAGGCCCGCTGAAAATTCTTATGCTAGTCCCTGAAAGCCCTACTGTCGGTTTACGACAAGACCAACTTGTTGGAGCTGGCTTCTGGCCTGCACGGCGCAGGCGTCCGTTTGCTGGGCTCTGGCGGCACCGCGAAGAAGATCAGGGAGGCAGGCATTCCCATCGAGTATGTTGTACTCTCTGTTGAGATTTGAGAGCTGAGATCGCCCTAGGGATGTCTCAGACATCACCAAAGCGCCTGAGATGCTTGGAGGCAGAGTGAAGACTCTTCACCCCGCCGTCCATGGTGGTATGTCATCAATATTAAGACAATCTCCAGGCTATTAACAGCTGGAAAGGTATCCTTGCCCGCTCGATCCCATCCGATGAGCAGGACTTGAAGGATCAGTCCATCTCGCCCATTTCCATCGTCGTCTGCAACTTGTATCCGTTCACCGAGACAATCGCGAAGCCCAACTGCACGCCCGCCGATGCCGTCGAGGAGATCGATATCGGTGGTGTCACTCTTCTTCGAGCTGCAGCGAAGAACCACGAGCGTGTCTCGATTATCTCAGACCCTCGCGACTACGCCGAGTTCCTTGAGGCCTGGAAGAATAGCAATGGCGATATCGACCAGACCATTCGCAGCAAGCTTGCCCTCAAGGCTTTCGAGATGACTGCTAGGTACGACGATGCGATCAGTGGCTACTTTAGGGAGCAGTATGCGTCGGAGGATAACCCCAAGGACAAGTTCACTGGCGTCGTCCAGCGCGTTACTCTCCGCTACGGTGCGAACCCCCACCAAAAGCCTGCGCAGGCATATGTTACCGAAGGAGAGCTTCCTTTCAAGGGCGAGTACTGCCATACCGTCGTGTGCTTAGATAGTTTCCTGATCGTGCCTCAGCTCTCTATGGTTCGCCCGGATACATCAACCTTCTGGACGCCCTGAACTCGTATGCTCTTGTAAAGGAGCTCGACGAAGCGCTCGGTCTCCCTGCTGCCGCCTCCTTCAAGCATGTCTCTCCGGCTGGTGCTGCGGTTGGCATCGAGCTCAGCGAGGTCGAGAAGCGGGTGTACGGTGTCGAGGACTTGAAGGAGCTTCTCACTCCTTTGGCATGTGCCTATGCCCGCGCTCGTGGTGCGGACCGCATGTCTTCGTTCGGCGACTTCATTGCCCTGTCTGCACCCTGTGACCTCGCTACCGCCCGCATTATCTCACGCGAGGTGTCGGACGGAATTATCGCTCCCGGCTACTCGCAGGAGGCGCTCGAAGTCCTCGGAAAGAAGAAGAGTGGCAAGTACTGCGTCCTGCAGATCAACCCAAACTACAAACCCTCCGAGGTAGAGACTCGCCAGGTCTACGGTATTCACCTGCAGCAGAAGCGCAACGACGCCAAGATCGATGCTGAGCTGTTCAAGAACATCGTCACAAAGAACAAGCAGGTATGACGTGTAATTGTATGTGTAATTGCAGCTGTTGACGCCTCTGTAGCTCCCTGCCCAGGCGCTCACGGACCTGATTGTTGCGACACTTGCACTCAAGTACACCCAGTCTAACAGTGTCGCATACGCCTACCGCGGCGCAATCATTGGTATCGGCGCTGGACAACAGTCGCGCATCCACTGCACACGCCTTGCGGGGCACAAGGCGGACCTGTGGTGGTTGCGGCATCATCCGCGCGTGCTCGCGCTGCCGTTCAAGAAGGGCGTAAAGCGTGCAGAGAAGGCGAATGCAATTGACCTCTTCGTTGGCGGGGAGGCGCTCGAGGGCGGCGAGCGCGCGCAGTGGGAGGGCCTCTTTGAGAGCGTGCCCGAGCCGCTCAGCGCCGAGGAGAAGGCCACGCACGCGAAAGAGCTCAGCGACGTTGCGTGCTCGAGCGACGCGTTCTTCCCCTTCCCCGATAACGTCCACCGCGCGTTCCGCAGCGGCGCCAAGTACCTCGCTGCCCCCAGCGGAAGTGTCATGGACGAGGAGTGCATCAAGGCCGCGGACGAGCACGATATCGTTTTTGCGCACACCAACCTGCGTCTGTTCCACCACTAAAATGTGCTCGTGTCATGAAGAATATGAAGAGCCTCACAGAGGGCTCAGATCAAAAAGAAAGTTGTATTATACTGTTTAGATCTGCTGCCTTGTGTATGGTGTGTAGATCAATACAAGAACTTTGAAAAGGGCCTCCTCTGTGTTCTCCAGTTCTGGAGTCTCGTCGGTATAAAACCCGTACGCCGGATCGTCAGGATTCGTAACGGCGACGACTGTGATGCCGTCATCGTTGTCTACAGTGGCGTATTAGCTTGACTACGTAGACTAGCTAGGGTCTCTCCCCACTTGTGATCCCCGCATGTAGCATCGCATTCCCGAGGGACACGCCATCGATATAAGCGCTCTCGGGCGACAGATCGATGTTCCAGCTGTTCAGGAGGATGGTCGCGATAAACGGACAAGGTACCTGCGGAATCAACGGCTTCTGCCAGTAGCGGCCGTACTTACCGTCGACGCTGCGTAGCTCCTCACGAATAACCTCAGCGTTCTCGGGTTGCTTGACTGCGCTCAGGACACGGTACGCAGCATGCAGAGGGAGCGTGCTATAGCACCATCGGCTATGATAGGCAGCGATGCAGCGGTATTTGGCGGCGGGATTTCACCTTAGCGACAATGAAGGCTTGATGTGTGTGATCCATGTTTCTGCGTTAGCTGCTAAGCGGTGGGCATGGGAGAGTTACTTCCACCCTGGATCAGGTCCTTGAGGCCTTTGTATCCCCCTAGCCTGCGGCCTGCTATATCAGTTCGTGAGAACCTATCTTGAAAGCCATTGTGAACTTGCCGTGTTTAGCTTAAAGCTTTGAAGTTGCATTTGTTGCCTGCCATGGTCGACAAGAGGTAGCTTCGCCCCACTACATGATTAATGTTCTCTTTTCATTGCTGATGCTGACTTGGTTGCGAGTAAGATTCTTGCGGTTAGAGTTCACGTGGGGCACAGGAGAGACTTGAACAAACACATATTTGAACATTTTTAATTATCACTGTGGCCGACCTTCTCCTCACCTCTTGTGGCGGCATTACACCAGCCGAGCAATGGGAGCATCGAGGTCGAGGCGGGATGCTTAAGTTTGGCGGAAGTAACAGAATCTGTGATCAGGGGAGACAGGGTAACAAATAGTAAGAAGCCAGCTACTTACTTTCGAGGCATGTGGTCACAACGCTTATTGTCTTCAGCTGCTTTACCAATAATCTGATCTAGGCGCTGCCGCTGCCGATCTCCCCAAGGCTCGCCGTTCTCCATTCTCTGACTCGGCTTTAACGACCACCTCAAGCAGATCCCAAATTCCTAGCTCTGCATATAACGACGACTAGTAATTGTCTATGCGATTTTTCGAGTACACCCAGCCTAGATTACTCTATAGAAGCATGACAAAATCCCTTTGTCGTGCTGCTTCAGATCAACTTAGGGTGCTTATCGCCAGGTGGAGGTGAGCGATTCGAAGAACGATTCTATGAACATCTCTGATTGTACGAGATTAAGAGGCTCTGCTTAAATCCACAAGTGCTGCGTCGTTGCATACGTGAGGCAGGCACGTTTACACGTGTCGGAAATGAACGCAAAGAGTGCTTCAATACATCTCCGTTACCCGTACATCGAACAGCCCTCTCAGAACGTTCTTTCCAACAACGGTGTGAAATGTCGATAGAGTTTCCATGGATCTGCGTTAACTGCTATCAAATAGATGACGGAAGCCATCGCCAGCCACTGGCTTGTCTAGACCCCGTGCCTAATGGCTGTGGTGCCGCAGGCCTCGCTCCCCACTCGTGCCCAACTGCATGCAAACATACATCGTATGACCTTTCTTCTCAAACTTCGGACACGACCACGGAACACATATACGACCAACTCTGTCCCACGTGCCAATGCACTCGCTGGCATTATCCCTCCCCTCTGCTGGCTCTCTGACTCCTTACCGTCATGACGGAGTACATCGACTATCCACGACGCGAGCAGATATCTCACATCGATGCCTCGTACGGACGCGAGTATGATCCGTATCCCGACAGCAGAGCCCCCCGTCGTCCAAGCCAGGGGTCGGCGAGCTTCCAGTCACCGCGACAGCACAGCGGACCGCCCATCGCCCCACTACACGTCACGCCTGTACCGCAAGTACGACGCTTGACGAACAGCTCCGGAGAACCTCCTCGTACACCGATGGTACGTAGTCCGCCCGCTCCCGGCACGCCGATGCTACGGAGTCCGCCCGCTCCCGGCACGCCAATGCTACGGAGTCCACCCGCGCCTTATACGCCAACGGTCCGGAGCCCGCCTGCGCCCAACACACCGATGCTTCGTAGCTCCCCTGGGCCCAATGCGGAAATGATGCGAAGTCCTCCGCCCCGTACACCAATAATGCAGAGTCCTCCGGCTCCGAGTGGACTCATGCCGGGGGCGGCTAGATTCCGGGAGGCAGACAATGCTGAGCCCACGCGCTGGACGCAGGCTCCGACCAATGTCTCCTACCCGGCCAGCCAGGCGGCGAGCTGGATCTCGACGAACGGACCGCAACAACACATGCGCGCCGAGTCCTCGTTCTTTGTGCCGAGAGGGGCGTCGACGCCGGCACCCCAGTCCCGCTATGGCGAACCCGCGCCAAGTTTTCCTGGCGGTTTTCGCGACGAAGCACCACTACATTATGATCCGCCTCCACGGCAATCGGATGAACATCCGCAGAGCTTTGACTATCATCCGGACCAGTACGAAGCCATAGGTCACTACGAGGGAGACGAAAGCTACCGCAAGGATCAAGAGAGCTACGTGGACGATTCTGGGTACCCGGGGCCGAGCACTGGGTATGTGGGGCACGGAGACGAGACGAGATCAGTGAATAATCAGACGGAAGAGTTTGAAGAAGAGCTTATCCCTGCTTCCTTTTTACCCTCGGATGGGGAGCCTGAGGAACAGACCGGAGAGCAGACACCGGAGGTTACCCATGAGGAGCGGTCGCTCAGCAACGGATCGTCTTTCCGAGCGCACTCGATTGACCAGGATCGTTTCGCTCCGAAGCCGAAGAAGGGATTTGTCGGAGGGTTCTTCTCCGGTTTCAAACACCTTCCACGTATGTGGTCCAGCTCGCGCTCAGGGAAGTCGACGTCAGTTCAACCGCCCATGTCGGCGAATCCGAGTAGACCTACGTTGGCGAGGAGCGAGCCCTCGTACACTAGCATACATGCACAAGACCCTGCTCGTCCTCCGAATCCAGCTCCAGAGACAACTGCAGACATCTCTCGAATGACCGATACCACTGCTACAAGCCATTCGGGGCCAATTACCCCAGATCAAAGCGGAGAGCCTGGAGCTGCTGCAGTCGCAGAAGAGGCCGGCCCGCTTCCGAATCCATACGACCCCTCGTTGATACCGCAGCCGAACATCGCGTCGCCCCAGCATGTCGTGCTGCAGCAGACCGAGGACTACGACGCGATGACTGAGGAGCCATCGTACGACCAGCACCCAGACACGTTCGGCACGCACATCAACCGCGTCGGCAAGTTCGTCAAGGACTTCGTGCACCTACCCTGGATCAACGCGCACGCGACGGTCGAGTACCGTCCCGCCGACTCCCGCCGCGCGTTCCCCAAGAAGCCCGGCCAGTCGTGGTACGTCAAGGAGAACCACGAGAAGCTCGACCTCCTCGCGGGCCCTTCGCCGCAGGCCCGGCGCGCCACGCCACGGGCAGCAGCCCCACGCCAGACCGCCCCGCGGCAGCACCGTGCGGCACAGTCGCCGCCGCAGCGCGCACGCTCGCCCCTGTCCGCAGGCAGCACGCGCTCGCTCGACGCGGCGACGGCGATCCGGCCGACGGTGACGCCGGGGAGCCTCACGACGCACGGCGGGCTCGTGCGCGTGCCGTCGCCGGGCGCGTCCTCGCACGGGCAGACCCAGCATTCGTACTCGTACGCGTACTACGGCTCGCGCCCGATGTACGTGTACCCCGCGCAGGTCGCGGGCCAACACGATGGCGCCGGCGCGGCGATGTCGGTGCCGGCGGGGTTTCCCGGAGCGCTTCCGCTCGCGATGCCCCCCAGCGAGGGCGGCTCGCCTCAGGCCATACCGGTGTTCATGCTCGCGGCGCCGCCGCCGTACGGCAATTCGCGGTCGGCATCGCCGAAGAAGCACCGGAGGCACCATAGCGGCCGGCGACGGAACGAGCAGAAGGGCGCTTCGTCGTCGTCGCCGCCGCCACCGATGCCTGCGCCCCAGATTGTGACAAGCCCGGCGTAGATCGCTGAGAGGTTGTGCTACGGAAGACATATCATTATTCGTATTTATTCATGCTTTTTGAGCGTGCGCTGGTGAGTGGGCGGTTAGGTGTTCAAAACATGGGAATGGCTGCTGAAGCGCCTTTAGAAACCGTGTCGCCAATCCTAGAGTAGATCCAGTTTCGACTATTCTTCGTTGCGATGTCCGCTTGATACTGCGGAGTCATCATCGATTTCCACCTGGTGCAGAGGTGTTCCCGCTCTTAATTTCGACAAACACGCACGAAACGGTGCGTCCCGACCCCAAAGCAGAACTCTATAGACGCGGGCTAAGTGATGTACAGATACAGATGCGCGTACCCGCTAACCGAGAGATTAACGCAACAAATGAGGGCCAGACGACTTTGGCGACCGCAATATGGACTATGCAGGATCTATACACGAGGGGTTCACATCAGAGAAAACCACGTGAGAATGGGTGCGCACCCAGTACTATGTAGTAGTAGTATGGACGCGATATGCTGTATGCAGAATGGATGGTCTATGGAATATACATATGCAGTTGTATGCGTAAAAATGCGAGCATACGCGATGAGATATGAGTGAGCGAACCACGAGGTAGCAGCTGATAGGATAGTAAGTGATCAGTGTGAGGGAACGATGGTGTCTCGAGCGCACCATGAAAGGGCATCCCGCGTGCCGGTCGTAAGGAATACTATTCGTGTGCGATATCAGGCGAAAAGCCTGCGCGCAGTCGTGTCAAGTCGTAGAAAGCCGCGCCGCGCCGCATCAGGGGGCGCGTTTACGACTGCTTTTGGGTGTTTGACACCGCGAACCGGCTCCGCGCGCGCAGCGCAGGGCCCTTCCAGAAGAGCAACTGCCCAGAAAGAAAGAAAGACGCTCGCTCGTCAGCGTTTTGCACGGGCCGCGGGCGGAGATGGAAAGGGGGGTACGCACGAAGGGCACGGGGCTCATGACGAGCGCGAGGAGGCCAAAGAGCGTGTTCGCCCAGTGGTACGTCAGCGCGGCGTACATCTGCGTCGTGAAGAGCGGGAAGGCCATCCCGAACAGGTTCCGCGAGAGGCTCTGGCCCGCGAGCGCGCTCGACGCGAACGTGCCGTAGCTGTCCCCACACGACGTGTCTCAGCAACCGGGAACGCGCTTGCAACGGAGAGAGAGAGAGAGAGGGAAAGAGGGACGGGACGCACCAGTCTGCGAGGTAGGTGAAGACCGCGAGGTAGATTGTGAAGGAGCCGAACTCGACGAGCTGCGCGGGTGTGTCAGTGAGAGGGGGGGGCATGAGGCGCACGGGGGACGTACAACGATGGCGATGCAGAGCGAGATCCAGGGCACGTCCGCGAAGCTGCACCACGCGTAGATGAACAGCCCGGCCGTGAAGACGATGCCCGCGGGCATCACCATGTACAACCGTGCCTCGGGCCCACGCACGGGCTGGTACTTCCTGCGGCCAGACTCAGGGGTGTACTGCGAACTTGGGCAGGATCGAGGGCTTACTGGTACAGCTTCTCCTGGTAGTACTGGGCGACGCAGCCTAACGAGCTGCCGATGCTGCAGAACGCTCGGGAAAAGAAAGCAGGGAGGCACAAGAGAAAAACTGCTCACAAGAACGTCACAAAGACCACGCCAACCTCGCCGTTGTTGAAGTGGTGGAGGGTCTTGAAAATAGGCCCGATGGACCTAGGTACACAGCGCGGGCGCGATCAGCCCCCAGTCCCAGCTACACAAAAAAGGAAAAACTCTCGTCCAGACGTACTCGATCAAAACGTACAGTATCCCCCACGCGAAGCCAGCCCAGATCTGCACCTCGTCAGCAAAAAAACGAGCGGCCTCGCGGAGCAGCCAGCCGGGGGAGAGGCCGGAGAGAAAGGACGCACGCTGAAGCTCGCGACGACGGGCTCGGTGAGCATGAGGTACATGGGCCGGGTGCACGAGATCCAGATGAGGGTCCGGAGGCTCGCGCGCTCGTCCTCGACGCGCGCGCGGTAGCGGTGGTCGCCCGTGCGCTTGCGCATCCGCTTCGCGATGCGCGTCAGCACGACCGCCGAGCGCGTCTCTTTCATCAGCAGCGGTATCGATGCCGCGAACACCGCCGTCACGCTGTGCACCCCGCCGGTCAGTCTGGGTTTGCGAAGCGGGCAAAGGCAAGAGGCATGGCGCGCGCGGGCGCGGAGGGGAGGGGAGGGGACGAGAGACGCACATGAGGTGGAGCCATTGGATCCAGCGCCACCCGAGGTGGCGGTTCATTTCTATCCACCCCGCCGCGACGGGCCCGAGCCCGGTGCAGCCGACGGCGGCGAGCGAGAAGATGGCCATCGGCAGCCCGCGTTCGTGCGGCGGGAAGATGTCCGCGATGCTCCCGCCAACCTGGTGCGGCACGCCTGTATCAGCATGTCACGCGTACGCCTACTATAGGAAGGTCCATGCCATAGTAGACCCTGTCGAGCCGAACGCTCCGGATAAGAACCGCGCGATCTGCACGGTGTGGATGTTGTTTGCCCTGTGCGAGTGCGCGTCAGCGTGTCAGAGGGGGCGGGGCAGCAGGGGAGCGGGGGACTCACAGCGCGATTATGAGGTGCATGAGCGTGAAGCCGATGGAGGAGACGATGTACAGCGGCTGGCGGCCGAACTCCTCGCTGAAAGACGCGGTGACAAGCGGCGTGATGGCGAAGCCGAGGGTGTACATCGAGAGGCCTATCGTCGCCTGAAACTGCGTGCAGTTGAGGTCCACGATCATCTGGGGGACGCCCATGTTGTATGTCGAGGCGTTGGCAGCTGGTGCATGGGCGTGAGTCGCGCGTTGACAACTTCTGGAGAGAAAGGCAGGTTACCTGAGAGCGCGGTGAACAGTATAGCGCAGCCGGCGATCATCCATTTGCGTCTCTTCGTGAAGTTCATTGGGTCTCGCGGGTCGCCTTTTTCGAACTCGACCTGGACAAGCCATGAGGAACGCGCGAGGTGGACGTGTAGCCGACTTACATAAAGTGGACTATCGTTCTCCTTTTTTGGCTTGCCGTGTTCGACGTCGGCGACGGCGGTGTGGTCGCGATGGTGAACATAGTCGGAGAGTTGCCTGAGGTAGGGCGAGTCGAGGTCGTCCTCACTGGCACGCTCCGCCGGCGAGATGCGCGGATCTATTCTGTCGGACACTGCGTCTTCGCTGACGACACGGACATGGTCTGCGTCCGTCTCTGCGAGGGTAACCTCTCCGGATGGCGACCGGGAAAACATTGCCTACGAGGTGGTAGATGACGGCGATGAGGGAGCCGACGATGAAGGGAGGAGAGCTGGGGCGTAACATTGCTTGCGACTTTCATCATAAAGAGTCATGAGGGAAGGGAGGGCGGCCGGCACATCGCTTTGCCGCCTCCAATAAGCCAATAAGAAACCCACGCCTCCTCGGCCGAATGATTGGCGCTCCGAGCCCTGGTGGATGATTGCCATTCGGGACTTGCGAGAGGGGCTCAAGCGGAGCAGCACGCCAGACATGCCCCGCGCTCCGCGCTCTACAAGCGAGACACGGGCTGCTTGTGAGCACCCACGTAGCCCAGCGCTGCAGGCATATCAAGAAGTACACCACGGACAATCCAGCCGAGCGGGGCTCCGCTGGTTTGCCGGAGTGCTGGCCGTCGAAAGCGATCGTGAACGCTACACGATACGGGCCGTGCTGCGACCCATCTGCGTCGGATATCAGCGTTTCAACGGGGATACGAGCAGCGCTCTCCCTGCGAGTCGCGACCAGACAAGTCGGCTTGTGGACATGTCTCGGCTCGCAACTGAATCACCCATTTGCTCAGGGACATGGGCTCATGACCGCCCCGCAGGCACCACAATCGGAAATACCGCTGCCGGAATCACTCCGAGCGGCGAACGGCGAACGGCGCAGCATGGTGTTTTCCGATTGAGCTTCGACAGCCGCGGCGGCGATGCCTGCCATTACCTGAGCAGGGAAGGGCAGACTCTCGCCACTGCAAACATGACTGGCCAGGCTAGCTAGGACGCAATGAAAGCAAAGATGGTGGCGATCGAAAGCCTAACAGCTGTTTGCCGGTATTTTTCAAAAGCTTTGGATCCTAACATGACCAAACACATTTGAGCGCCCGGACGGAGGCCTTCCCCGGGAAACGCGGAGGTTGGCCTGGACTGATTGCATTCCATCCGCGTTCGCAGGTACGAGTCGTGCAATCTCCTGCTACACATCATTGAACAGAGTATGCGCGATTGTAGCTCAAAGATTGCGACCTTTGTCGGGTCGTGACAAAAAACTTTAATTCGTGACGCCTAGGCTGTCGCAAAAGCGGCCCTAACCTCGCACGACATGCTCTCGCGTCATGCCCTCGCGCGCACAACGCCCCTCGTGCGACGCACACTGTCCACCATAGCCTCCGACGACGCCGTGCGCCACGACCTGCGCGCGCTGCTTCGCGAGACTGCACAACCCGTCGCAGTCATCACCGCGCCGATGCCGCTCGCCCACCGCCATCCCACCGCCGCCTCTGCCTCTGCGGGCGAGCACACGCACTTCCACGGCGCGACGCTCTCCTCCTTCAGCTCGATCGCGCTGGACCCGCATCCACTCGTCGCCTTCTCTCTGCGCGCGCCGTCGCGCATGGCCGCCGCCCTCGCCGCGTGCCCCGCGGGCGGGCGCATGGCCGTGAGCCTGCTCGCGGCGGCGCAGGCGCACCTCGCCGTGCGCTTCTCGCGTCCAGACCTCCACGCGCACCCGTTCGCGGGCGTGCCGTACACGCTCACGGAGGAGGGCCTCCCGGTCCTCGACGGCGCGCTCGGCGCGCTCTCGTGCATCCTCGTCGCGCGCCCGTGGCCGCTCCACGACCTCGGCTCGCTCCACCATGGCGTGCACCCCGGTGATGTGCCCTGGGAGGGCGACGGCGTTGCGTCTGAGCTGTTCGTTGCGCGGGTCACGCGGGTGGAGAGCCTCCCCGGGGATGCCGCAAAGACTCCGTTGCTTTACCATCGGCGAGCGTATGCCACGACTGCGGATATACCCGTACCTGCGTCGTCGAAACCAAAGCCATGACATGTTCACCCTACGCGACCATTTTGAAAAAGTATAGAGATTATTGTACGCAATGCTTCACTTGTTCTTGCTTCTACAGAAGTATAATATAGCTACACAACAAACTTGAAATGCAACAAAACACAGAGAAGCGATGGCACACAGAAGGTATCTCAAGTTTGAATGATCGAGAATGACACCCAGAGATCGGCCCACCGCCGCCTGTGCCGCACGAGGTACTTGTTGACAATGCCTCGATGGGCGGCGAGTATGCTTTCGGGATCTTGACCGCCCTGCGGTAATTAGCACTTAAACCTGTCATGACGCGCGCCTTGCTCAAAGCTGTCGACTTCGTCCTCCTCTCCTGCAGTCAAATTCCCTCTGGACATGTTCAGGGACACATCTCCAACATGCTATCCTAAGAAGGTCATGCAACTCATAAAACCCTCCAGCCATTGCTCTGCAGCAGCACTGCAGCTGTTACTCTTGATACAGAATCAACTTCCAGAGGTACGCACTGCATTGTCAGCTATCCAAGCAAGGACTGGCAGGTTGCCCAGGTAATAACAACTGGTATGACTCTCACATGTGCATCTAGGTTCACATTTCTGTTATGCTTTCACAGGTCGTGCCGATGTCTGCAAGTCCACTCTGGTGAATGCGGTTTTGGGACGCACTAGTCTATCCTCGGCGAGCAAGCAAGGCGTGAGTTGTGTATTGAGCATGCTGAAGTGTGCATTTCACCTACTTACTGCTTAGGGCCACACTCGAATGATGGACTTCTATGGCGTTGGCCCAGTTTCGCATAAGCTTGTTGTTGTGGACGCCCCCGGCTATGGCGCGCGCGGCAAGGCTGAGTGGGGAAAGTTGTTTCAGCACTACATTGAGCACAGAGAAATAGTCCGTATTTGTACATCTCCGCTTGAAGGCACACCAACCTTGTTGCAGGCTGGAGTGCATCCACATCAGGCAGGCCATCTCCGAGGCAGCGCTGCTTTGTTTACCGCCCGTCATCACTGCGGCTACGAAGAGTCAGTTCTGGGGCGGGGACGAGGTCTGACTTAGTATTGCTGAAGTATGTGCTTTAGGCCGTATAGCTAGCAAAGTGACATTTTTGTGACCCCTCGCACTTCGGACAGTGAACTCGGCACGTTTTGCGATGAAGCGAAGACCCCAAGCCCGCGCTTTATCACATCCCGTCTGCCCCCCGTGCCCCTGGTTTTCGCAGTTAAGGAATTAAGGATACACATACAAAAACTGCATAAAATACAAGGAGCCCCGAGCAGCACTATGGCGCGATACACGGTAGTATACCCACCAGCGCGACGTATCAAAAGTGACATTGACAAACCACGTACTCAAATAGACTAAGTACAACATGCTAGAGTTCTATCAATCTGTTCTCCTCTTGAATCTCTTTCACTCCTGGGGTACCATCGTGCTCGTCGACTGTCTCTTGCTCCCGGTAGAAGAAGTCACGAAGATGAAGCCGTCTACCGAAGGCAGGTGTTCAAACTGGTCCCCTGTCTTCGGCTTCGCAGAGTCGAGCAATGCCTTATTAGCAAGCACAGCTCTCCACGGGCCGTCCAGATCTTCATGCGTCATCTGGAAAAGTGTGCAGCTGTTCACGGAATCCCAATCGTCCTGAGACACTGACGGTTCGACTTTCCATACACCCCAAACAATTTTCCAACTGCATTTGTCGAGCGTCCTGTGATGCTGCGAAAGCATCTCATACCAGTTCGAGACCCTGATCGGTAGCTGGGATGTCCAAAGGTGACAGGGGGTATGCCGCTGAATAGCCGGAGCAACTTCGAGTGGCCAGGGTACCCCACCGAGTAATATTGTTGTCGGAGAACGGAAGCGAGCACCCCGTTCTTCGCATTTGCTGCTGCATCATAGACTTCACACTCTTCACCGTCTTCCAACCTAAATACTGTTGTGCTGCCCGATGGTTCAGGAGACACCTTTCTGTTTTCCTTGAAGATTTTTATTATTTTTATTTTTATTATTTACATTCGGTCTTGGGACAACTGCTTCGAGATTACGACGGATTTCAGTAGGAGGTGAAGTAAAAGGCAAGTGATAAAGACCCCAGTACCCAGCCGAAGGCTCCAGAATGATTGATGTCTATAGACAGCAAGCTGATAGGCGGTCCAAGCCAATGACCCGCCAGTACCATCGCGAATGCCCTCGTCTTGCAGTTTTTCTTTCTTAACATGTTACACCGAGAGGATAGCCATCCAGAGTCGGCATACAATCAGATCCTCCAGGTCTCCACCAAGAACAAACAGCGTGTACATGAGGCAAGTATAGTGGCTGATCAGTGCCGAGCAATATGGTTCAGAACGATACATATGCGTCCGCTGAAGAAGTCCGTGTCTGACACAGCTCTGCAAAAACAACACCAAAATAGTAAGCCGGAGGGCGATGAGATAATAATGTACTACGAGTCCGTTGAACCGCCAACCTTGGCATGCGGCCCTAAGTAAAGAGCGTGAAGTCCTGCTGACGGAGAAGCTCAGCTTCAAAAGCATTCTAAAACATCCTAAAATGAAGCCTAGACCCTGCACCACAGTCTATACCTGTTGCATGGGAGACGATTCGCTAGTGGCGTAGGCCAGCTTCTCTTGACTGCCTTGCGAGCTTGTAACCTCCGGGACCGAAAATAGCAGGGGACCAGGGTTGAAGAAGTTCAAGGTGTACATGGACAGTACGACCATGGTCCCGTCAAAGAGGTCTATCCAATTGTCAGAGGTTGATCGAGCACGGTTGGGCCGGTCACGTACTGAAGTACCACTGCGTGGAATTGATGCGCCCGTTCCAACCACCGGCGAGCTCAAAGAGGCGGTAAATTGCTCTGTGCACGATGAGTCAAAAAGATGAATGTACGTAGAGGTGCTAGCTGACCGAACGAAGAGGAACAGCGTCGCAACGCTGAGCCCGATTGACATCAGCTTCAGTTTAGGGTGCAGCGCCGACCTGCTGTACGAATCTTGGCCATGGCCACCCGAGTTCTTGCGCACGGGCTTATTCAGAGCGTAGCGAGTGAAGAACTCGATGGCTAGAAGCATGAATACCACCATGGCCACTGAGATAAACTTATGTGAGACTATGTTGACGTGCTAGTGGAATCTCGTATCTTACCCGTCTGGAAGATGATTCCAATGAGCATGACATTGCTGCCCTGAATGTTGGGAGATAAGCATGCCGCGTAGCATAATACAGTGGGACTAACATACCAGCTTCTGTTGAGAGTCCGTATTAGCCCCCGCGGCGATGCCTCCACCACCACCCTGGATCAGTAGCGCTACAATGTCCTGTATGATTTTAAATTTGTCAAACATGAAGCGGCGATCGGAACTAGACCATCAGCGTTACTCACGCAAGTCAGGAATATCCTCGAGTCTGCCATACATGGATCGTGAGCGACGATGGGCTTCTGAAACAAGAGCCAAGAACATACAAAGGCGAGGGGACAGACGACTATACCATGTCCCAATCTTCTGCGTCAAGCTCGAGAAGATTATAAAGATGGAAGCCAGAAGGGGCGTCGGGGCAATGATAAGACAGACAATTCTGCAGACAAGAATGACCTTAGTGATTTGCGCACACCAGAATCCGTGATGACCCTTACTGTATCATAAACCCTGTACGGTTGGTCACATCGAAGCTCGACATTGTCCGCCCGACCCATCCCGCGATCTCCCCACCGCCTGCCAGGAAGATCGTTGGGAATATCCACCAGAGGCGGTATCGAATCCCGTAAAACGCATGCCATGCTATTTGAAAAGTGAACTGCGTTCGTTGTGGCTGAATGATTTGCTCACAAGTCGAGACCGAGAAAAGGATAGCGAAGAGGATGCAAATCGCCTTCGTCGGAGTGTAGTGGTACGGACTGCCTGTCGCAGTAGCGACTTTGTTGAGATGAGCTGTCAGCAGGAAGAAGCTCAGCAGGAAAGCGACTGTCAACAATAATGTACGCTTACTCGTTGAATTCATGAGAAAAGACAGTGATGCAATGGCTTTTTAAGATGAAAAGAAAACGAGTATGGAGGGGCGAAGTGTTGGCCCTGGTCTTATATAACAACTGTCATGTCCACAGCGCTCGTGCGGGGGCCGTCAGGCATCGTGTTGCCATCGAGATTGTAGAAGAAAAATGTCCACAGCGCGGAGTTCTGCAGGCCGAGCAGGAATATCCGCAGCCTTGGTATCAATCGAAAGTCGGCGAGAGATTGTTTAAAACACGGACGGAGTCAGCAGCCATGGCATAAACATCGTCCATAGAATATTCTCACAACGGAAGCAAGCTCGATTACCGCCTCCACAACAGACAGTAACAGACTTCACTGGACCAACTTCGCGCAGGCACAGTTTGGATATCTGATACTGCGGACCCTTCTACTCACGGCAGACCGTGGCAGGGAAGTGGAAATACCGTAGCAACGCTGCAGTTGGTCGTCAGCGACTACACAAGCAGAAGGCTCGGCCCCGAAAGATACTTACCGACGAGATGCACAGGCACAGGACGGTGCCTGAGAGCAAGTGTGTGCCAGTCAAAATCAACTTTATCTCCTCGGCCCGAGCGCAATCGGGACCCCGAACACTTCTCGCCGTTGTCCCTCGGCCGCCACCATGGCTTTCGAAATGTGTTTTCATGAACCCATGAGTCATATCATCGCACATTTATGTCCGAAAGTCCACACATAAAACATAGAGAGAAAGGATGAGCGAGTAAAGTGAAGTAGTCCCAATTCTATCAGGTACAGAAATAATCTATGTCCATTCGGCACCGTCCCTGCCTAGCCAGAACCATGAATAATGCCCACTGCGCAAATACGACGTTTAGCTCCGCAATCATACGCAGTAGACGATAAAAGCTAGCGTTGTAGGTGACGGATATCTACACTGCTCTCATCTGCAAAGTCTCAACATGCCCATACACCGGCACAGGCTTGTCAGCCTCTGAGCTTGAGGCAGAGTCTTGCGTGGAGCCGGAGAGCAGAGGGCCAGGGTGAAAAACGTTCAAGGTGTACATGGCTAGGACAATCATCGCGCCGTCAAATGTATCTGTGGGGGGTATTGGGTTACTGTGCTCGCGTACCGGGACTGTATGCTCACTGAACAGCCATTGCGTGGAAATAATCCTGCCGTTCCATCCGTCCGCGAGTTCGAAGATTCGGTAAAATCCACTAAAAGGTATCAGAAATATCAGACTATTGTACGGTAAATAAAGGCGCACCGGATGAGCAGGAACAGCATGGCAAGACTGAGCCCGATGATCATCAACTTCAAGTTCCGGCTGAGCGGGATACGACCGGTAGCACGAGACGGGTTGTAGTAGCTTTCCTCGGGCCGTGCGGGGAGATCCTTGAAGTAGCGGTAGAAGAATTCAGAGGCAAGGATGATGAAGACGATCATGGCAACTATCGAGTCATGAGCAAGCAGAGCTTCGCACGATGGATCAAATGGAGAACGCACCTGTCTGGAAGATAATACCGACTAGCATGATATCGCTGCCCTAGATACTTGTGAACACCACCGCTAGGCCATGACCCTTGTTAGAGATGCTTACCAGCTTTTGGAGAGACTCAGTCTTGGCCGAAGCCGCAAGGCCGCCGCCGTTGCCTTGAATTAGTAGTGCGACGATGTCCTGCGGGAGAAGGACAGTGTGAGTGAGAAATTGACTGATCGTCGCGAGGGCTTACGCAGGTTAGGAATATCCGTGAATCTGCGTAAAGGGGACATAAGCGAGAGCTACGATGCGGAATTAGTCACTTACAGAGACGGGATGTAAGACGACCGTAGCGACTGCCGACGCATTCTGACAAGCGAGCAAATATGATGAAGATGGACGCTAGCAGCGCGGTCGGCGCAAGCACAAGGCAAGTTGACCTATAGCAGGGCCGTTGGAGGGTCGGAGAACTACGCTTTCGGCTGCACTTACTGGATGATATAGACACTCTGGATCGTTGGGTTGTTGCTCGAAACCGCCCGCGAGACCCAGCCGGCGATTTCTCCGGCTCCTGCCAAGACAATCGTGGGGAATATCCACCACAGGCGGTAGCGAAAGGCAAAGAAGACGTGTCCAGCTGTGGAAAGGTGGGTTGAGTACGCTTACCGAAGGAAAAAGAAATCTGCTTACCCGTCGACAGAGAGAAGAGTATGAGGAACAGGTAGCAAAGGCTCTTTGTCGGCGTATAATGATAGAGGTTGGTGTTGGGAGGTATGGTAGCGGCAAAGGAGGCTGGAGACTCTGTAAGACACGCCAGACAAACTAGCTTAGGCAGATGGACTTACTCGTTGAGTTCATGGCGCGAGGATAGTAGACAACGGCGAACAAAGAGGGGGCGAGAAAGGTAAATGAGGTGAGACGGATGCATGCACGGTATTTATACGATAGTATCTACTCGCACAGCGCTTTTCACGGCGCATTTTCCGACAAGCCGAGTAATAATACGAGGCTGCGCTCGAGACACGAGAGAACTGTGTTGAACAACACGATAGATTCATTGCGCGATGCAACCTTGATCCCGACTTCGCTGACCAATGATCTATCATGCTACCCGTGCTGCAAGGTCGTCTAAGCCCTCGCCATCTGCTATCGACTATTGTAAGCTTTGCGCGGTGGCTTCTGTCGTCAGATTTTTGTGGTGTATCTCCGCGTCCAGAGGCAATATAAGTTGATTTTGGGTCCAAAAAGGCAGGAAGTCAAGAAAGCGCGAAGTAGCTGTGGCTGCTGCCCCTGAAAAGAAGCACCCATTGTCGTCGGCCCGACGACTTGCATTACGAAAGAGGATCACGCTAGGGTGTCGTCGGCCCGAGCGCTGGTATAATATACACAGAGCGCTGCAAGCTCGCTGCAGTCTGTCCCAGCACACGCTCAGTACATTGCACAAGGTAGGCAGAGCAATACATACCCTCTTCCTTGTGCCGTCTGGCATGTACTCTCCTTGACCTGAGCTATGGGGAAGTCAGTGCCAATGTGCCCAACCGGAACCTTGACAGCATACGACTCGAGTGAGCTAAGGTTGCATCAAAGCTGTTCTGCACCGCTCTGGGGCAGATTGTACAATCGTTATTGAGCTAGTTGGGGTATCTATAGAAGGTGCGTGCTGCGCAGAGGCAGTAGCAGTGTGCGCAGTATCCAAGAAAGGGAATGGGCGGGATGACAAAAGCCGGCGGCAGAGTGCTCGTACCAGGACCCCGAACACTTCGCCCACAACTGCCTACAGCGCCTTCCAAGTTTCAAGTTTCGCGTGTACGACGATCACCGCAACCGCGCTCGTCCATTCTCGACCGGACGCTGCGCCTGTGGGATGCAGGTCAACACAGCTACACCGCAGTGGCCCTCGCTCTACGACTTCTTTGGCACAGAGATTGACCCTATTTCGGGTCGAGATCCCGTGCAGCCTCGAGGGCACTATCTCTTTCGTACCATCGGTATGCCAGACAGCTAATGTTGGGGCAGGACGATGCTCAAGACTTTACAGATATCTACCGATTTACGCTATACTGGACTTTAATATTCTATACCCCAGCCTTCTTCTTCTGCGGGCTGTACGCCTTCCTGAACCTGACATTCACTCAGCAGTCGCGAGTCCGCCGATATCTGTTCCTTGCTCCCAGGAAATACCATGCAGTTTCGACTTCTGTAGATATTCCTCTCAAGGTTCGCAGAGCGGCGCTCAGCCCCGATCTTCCAGAAGGCCGGCGTTGTGGTCGGCCCAGAACGAGACATAACGAGCGTCGATCACGCCTGACTTTTGCGATGCTGGTCGCCCTGGCGTTCGCCGTCTGCGCTGTTGGAGGCGCAGTGGTAGGTTCCGCAGTGACAGCCTATGTCATGGCAGGGCTTTTTAGGGCTGCTCGGTTCAACATGTCTACGTATGCCGTTCTTGCGCCGCATATAGTCAGCTTTGCTGATCGCGACGATACAGCTGGATACCCTTTTTCCTCGGGCTGATACAGACTCTTATAGGATTCCTAGGGTATGTCGTCTATTTGAGTCTCTCTCAATGATCCAAGCTAAACGTAAAGCAGACTATGGCCTACAGTCATAGATATCATTTAGTACTCTCCTCTTCCCTATACCGACGTACATCATGATACCAGGCTTATCACCTCGCTGATCCAATTACCTGGCGTGTTTGTGGTCGTGCGTGCTCGCAGCGTATGGAGGATATATAGGATTGCATGCTTGCAAGTATGTGGAGTTGAATGTGTAATAATACAGTCTTTTTTGTTTGTATTATTATGTCGTGGCAAATTTCCCTCGGCAAGTTCGCTATGTGTACTTCGTCTGTGTTCCAAATTTGTATAAACTAAGTACCATCAGTGATGACTGGTAAGACTGGTGAACTTCTGGCCATGGGTCTGTACTATCGAGGATCTTGGTTCCAGCCTTCGTACACTGTCTAATAACATCCTGAATTTTCTTCATTTCGTCTAAAGTAAATCATAGACTCTACCACACTGAGGCTCGGCGTACACTTCATCGCGCATTCAACAGATAACTGTAACGGCACGTACATAAGGTCATACGAGAAGATAGAAAGAAGTCACAGGCCAATACTCGAAAGCGAACACATTCCGAAACCTATATCATTCAATCATTCAGTCGCCATCTAGGCTGCATACCACTTCAATTGCATAGCAATCAACACTACGGGCAAGACGCTCACGATCTCACCGAGACCTGCGTACGCCGGCGCAATGCGCGCGTTTACGAACGCACCCGCCGCAAAGAGGATCGCCACGGTGTTGTACACCGCCGCCCACGCAAAATTGAGCATGATCCTGCGGCGGACAGCGTCGCTGAGGCCGAGGAGGGCGCCGACGCCGTCGAGCGACGGGCGGATGAGCACCGCGTCGGCAGCGGCAGAGGCCGCCGCACCCGCACCCGCGCCGGCCGCGGCGTCAGACGACATGTGCACGCCGACGTCGGCCTGCGCGAGCGCGACGCTGTCGTTCGTGCCATCGCCGCAGAAGAGCACGCGCGCGCCGTACGCCTGCAGGCTGCGGATGTACGCGGCTTTGTCGGCGGGCAGGCAGCCCGCGCGCACGCGCTCCGACGGGATATCCAACGCTGAGGCGACGTGGTGCACCGCAGCAGCGTGGTCGCCGCTCAGGATGGAGACTTTGACGTTGCGCTTGGCGAGCGTGGACAGCAGGGTGGGGACTTCAGGGCGGATAGAGTCGGACAGGGCAAAGGCGGCGAGGAGAGCATTGTTGTAAGTGACACAGAATGTCGTGAATCCGGCATCGAGCAGAGGACGGACTGATGGATGTGCTTCTAGGTCGAGCCATTTCGCATTGCCGCCCTGTAGGAGCTTGCCCGCAAAAGTGCCCTGCACACCTTTACTTGTGATCTCTTCGACATTCGACACCTGGGAGGCGGCAACTTCGCCCTCCTGGTTCAGGCGAGCCGCAATGGCACGTGCGACTGGGTGCTTGCTAACCGACACCAACGCCAAGATTGCGGAGCTCGTTTTCAGAGACGTGTCAGCGACGACCTCTTGCACAATCTCGGCCTGCGCAACTTCAAGCTGTCCGGTGGTTAACGTCCCCGTCTTGTCGAAGACCGCGTGCGTCACCTCTCTCGCCACCTCGATGGTCGTCGCCGCCTTGAATACCAGCCCAAGCCTCGCCGCGACACCGCTTGCGACGAGGACAACCATCGGCACCGCGAGCCCGATCGCACACGGGCACGAGATCGCGAGGACCGCGATAGCATATGTGACCGCGCGCACGACGGCGTTGCCTCTGCTCTCCTTCCGCACGTACACGCCGACGAGTATCCACACGACGAGGGTGATCACTGCCAGCACGAGCACCGCGGGCACAAACCATGTGCAGACGCGGTCGACAAGCCCCTGGATACGCGCGCGCGAGAAGCGGGCATCGTCGACCATGTCTGCGATGTCACTGATCGTGTTCTCGCCCGGGAGGCGCGCCACACGCACGAGCAGGCTTCCGGGCCCGTTGCGCGTGCCCGCGAGGACATCATCGCCCGCTGACTTCTCAACCGGCACAGACTCGCCGGTCATCATCGACTCGTCGACGGCGCTGGTGCCCGAGAGGACGCGCCCGTCGGTGATGATGGTCGAGTCGGGGAGCACGCGGAAGGTGTCGTCGTACTGTAGTAGACGGGCGTCGATGGTCTCTTCTGAGGTCTTGCCGTCTGGATGGGTCGTGACGATGGTGGCCGTGGATTGCTGCAGAGAGCGCAGAGAGAGCGCAGCGACGGCGCGTTGGCGGGCAAGTGCACTTGCCAGCTGGCCGAACATGATCAAGGTGACCAAAAGCGTACTGGTCTCGAAGAAGGAGCCACCTTGCAGCGGGCGTCCGACCATCTCGTAAGCGAAAGCGACGATGGAGTAGATATATGCTGTGGTAGTGCTAAGGACAACAAGGAGATCTGTTTCGATTAGGCCGGAGAAGAAGAGGCTTTTGAAAGCGTTGCTGTAGAATGGACCAGCGATGGCCACTTGGACAAGCGTAGCGAGGACCAGCGAAGAGATAGCGTAAGCCGTAGGATGAGCAGGAAGGGGAGCCCATGCCATGACTAGGACTGGTATAGTCAACAAGGACGACACGACCGTGCGCAACAGGAGCATGCGGATATGTTTCGCACCCGCGGTCAAGGCCGGATCCTTCGGCTCCGAAGCAAGAGTCGGCGAGCATGTCTCGTAGGACGCCATGACATCGCGTGCGCCGATTATATGCGGGTCATACAGGACGCGAACACTGTCGTTCATGACTTTCACCACCTGCGTGACACCGACCGGGGCGGACATCTGCAGCATCTTTCCAGCCATAGACGTCGTAACTTCGAGAGCGCGGGTGGAGGATGTCGAGGCGATCTGCTCGGTGGTGAACCCGGTGCGCTTCTGAATGGTCTGGATCAGTGTCGGCAAGTCCTGCGGGTCGCAACTATAATCGAACTCGGCTCTGCAGAGGACAAGACTGGTCTTGATGTTGCTGATCGTCGGTTGGGCCTTCAGGGTACGAATAAGTTTGTTCTCGCATCCAGTGCAGGTCATACCCTTCACCGCGAGGACGCAATGATTCTCGCCAGGAGTGGCATCTAGAATGGACGGCTGTTTCTCGACGTCAACATCATCGTCGGCCTCGCCTTTGCCGCAGCAGGAATCGGCGCAGCATGAATCCAGCGATGCTCGAGATCTGTGAAGGGAAGGGATATTGGCTTTGTCTTCAGAGCAACAGCCGCCTGCACAGCAGGAATCAACCGAAGCCCGGGATTGATGGTGGAGTGGCACATCATTGGCACTTCGGCTGCCGCAGCGACCGCCCGAGCAGCACGAGTTCAACGAAACTCGAGATTTGCGAGGGATAGATTGGATGTCAAGGTTGCTGCCAGCGTCGCAACAGCCACCAGCACAACAAGAGTCTACGGAACGGCGAGAAGTCGTCCGATCGAGATCTTTGCCACAGGCATCGTCCCCGCAGCACGAAGACAGAGATGCCTTGCTCCGAAGGCTCTTGCGTAGGCTGACCAAAGATGCCGAGACAGAGGCAGCGACGGGTGCGCGGGAAGAGCAGCATGATTGAAGACCTCGGGCAAGCAGCGCCTTGCAAATACACCCGAAGGCCGATAGGGTAGCCTGCTGACGCTTGTGGGCGAGCGATTTGTGCTCACCGCAGGCTTCCTTGGGCAGGCCTTTGGAAGACTTTGCTGCCTTGCGCTTACGAAGTCCGCAGCTGTGAACCTCGTCGCGTGGCTGGAAAATGCCAGCCGGTGGCTGACTAGTGTAAGAGAGGAGCTCCGGGACTGCAATCCTGTCGTCATCATCTGCACATATGTGAGACTTCAGAAATGCCTAGTGCACGGGGACTAAGCTGTGCTAACCTTCGCACTTGCATGTCTCCTCAGATGCCAAGAATTCCTTCTCCAATCTCTCGACGTCGCCCGCCATGTGCAAATGATCGTCATCGTTGGCGCAGATAGCCCTCGCCAGCTGGTCTATACATGTATCTGCCACGTAGCTTGAGTCGCTGCTGATAACGCCTGAAATAAAGCTATGTGTACGCACCATCACACCCACACTCGGTTCCCGCGCAACATTCACTTCCAGATTTCTCGATTAAATCCTCTTCTTTGGCCTGGGTACGGGCACTGTCGCTATGTGCGCCGCTACTACCTCTGCAGCAGGGTGACATGACTGGGGAGGAATCGTGGTACGAGGGTGAGTCAATCTCGGGAGAAATCGCGCGACTTTCGTCTTTGCGTGTCCACGAGGCCGGGAGGAAGGCAATGCATGGTCTAGCCTGCGGCCGGGAGTGGTCCGCATGTCGTCCACACTACCGGGGGCGTCGAGCCTCACGGGATACTCTAAAAAAAATTTGATTTGATATTATCGCACGCTGCGACCTACAACATAACTTCCTGAAGCACCGTTTGGTATGTCAGACGCAAGTTTTGGAATGTACGGAGTTGTCTATACTCACCTAAGCGACTTCAACCTGCCGATGGAAAAGCACCGGAGCGGCCGAGAACGCCGTTGCCGCTCGGCCCTTATCTAAGCAGATTGCCATTGCTGACCCGACTGTCGTAGGCAACGTCCCAGGCGGCGAAGAAGGGCAAGGAGAACGAGGGAGGGGACAAGATGGTGGTGGGTCGTCGAAAGGGGCTCAGAGGGCTTCAGAGGAGGGCCAGGATATATACTGACCTATGCGGTCCTCAATCGTCGATTCGTAACCGCGGCGGTACCCACTACCCTTGAGATAGGCGCTTAGTTCACCATGGTGTTGGTGACGCGTGAATCACCGGAAAGGCGACATAAGCTGAGCTTCCCGTGTGCATCGCGTGATCTCTTTACTATTGACTAGTAGACGGCCTTCGTCCGACGGAATAAGTATGTTGTCGTGACCAGTTCATTAACGCGAGTACTACCATGGAGGTAGCCGCGCTAAGTCACATCTAGTCAGTTTCCAGATGAGAGTGGTCGTTTCAAAGATGGCCAGCACTTTAACACATGTACGTCCGCAGATACCATAATATTTACACTGAAGGTGATAGTCAAACTAAGCGGGCTATAAACCACATAATTCACAGCCTCTGGCTCCGCCTCCCCCGTAGTGATAGAAGCGCCACGGTCTGCAAGAGAATCCATCTCCATGCATAACCTTTTGAATATCTTGGGTAGAAGACATTGAGGCAATCCAGCGAAAGGAGTGCCAATCTGTGGTGATGCCATTCAGCACGACACTGAGCGGTCGGCTCCGTAAGTCAAAGAATGGAATTCATCAGTGTAAGTCTCAGCTGTGAGCAGGATCCCCAGCCGCTGATGTACATCCACGGGAACCTTAGTGAATTTACGCAGGTGGTGAAGACAGCGGTATCTGGCACAGGTAAGCACTATGCTGGCACGCTTTGAACAATACGACCACTTATTCCGATTCAGCGACAGCCACCGATAATAGGACTGTGACCCTCCTGTCAGCCGACCAAATATTGCCGCAACCGCCTCGAGCGGCAGGGATCGTCACTCGCCAGACCAGAAGCAAGCCTGATTCGTTTTTCTCGCTGTATAAAGACGGCCTTGACGTCCGGGGCGGTCAGCGGAGAGCTTGAGTAAGCTCTGGAGCTCCAGCCCGTGATATCGAGGATGCAGGAGATACCGATAGTCTAGAGAGTTGGCCCAAGGTAGAAGGAATGCATTGTGACCACATGCACCACTGCAAGGAAAGTACTCAGCGGGATACCACGCTTCGATGCGTCTAGCATGGGCGGCTCATCGGCAGTGATACAGGATAAAGCGAGAGCCGACGCGCATCAACCTCTGGATGAGACATAAGCTGTAGCTTGGCAGCTTTAAGGACGTCAGGTCGTACGGCACGGAAGAGGGTGCCACAGAGGCGATAAACTTTAGTCCATGGTAGATCTTCAGTAGAGCATGCACACCTTCAGGAGGGCTCGCCATGGTGCTGGCCGTGATAACACCAAGGGGAGAGCATACACTCAGCTCAAGGGCCAAAAATGCAGATACTGTCATCTCAAACCACAGGGAACTCTATAGCTACCTGTTAGTTGGCTTATGTTATTACGTTGTACGTGAGATATCTAATACGACGGCCTCATTCGGCCTGACGATGGAATCGTTGGTGCGGTCGAGGCACAGGAGCCACGAGCCTGGTCTCCCGCCGATCCAAAGTCAGTCCAAGCAATCTACCTTATTTTTCCTACCGCTCCATAGACCGTTGAGCTCGGGAACGTAGTAGAAACGATCCTAGCTCGTTTCAACAGAGGTTAGATGGAAGTACTAGTGCGATACTTACAGTCTGGTGAAAGGACGATTGCAGAGCCACCGCACCATCATCGCGCAATCTGAACCACCTGCTGCCTGTCCAGCGAGTATGAGTGGCTCTAAGATTGGGGTTTCGAGCAGCCAGAACAGAATCGAAAGCATCTCGACTCCGAGTACTAGTCAGACGCGGGCTAAGTATCCAAAATCTAGAAAATCGAAAGTAAACCTCCGTAAAGTAACCGAGCTCTTCTCTGACCCCATACCGAGTTCAAGCCCACCTGTCCCGGAGGATAAAACACGAGCGCATTTGACGGCATCCACTGAAAGCAGCTCACGGCAGCATCGGACGGCGCTTATAAGGCCCACCCGATCAGCCTCCGCTTCTCACGATCTGATGACATGTGACTGTGACACTCGCGTGTCTGCCGCCGGAGGCGCGCCCGCGCGAATAATTGGCCCCTTGTGTTTTGTTGTCCACCGTCATCCTCACCGTCGGCCACCATGCCGTTCCCCTTCAGCTTCGTTTTTTCTGTTCCCGGTATTGCCAACCCTTTTACCTCCCCCAAGGCACACCACTCGCCGTCCACGGCACGCGCGCCCAGCCCCGCGTCAACGTCAAGTCAAGGAACGAAGAAGCCGGAACTAGGCATGAGCAAGAAGATCTTCTCGCTCAACAGGTCTCTCAGGACAGATGACATTCGACGCCGACCTCTCACTAGCACTCCCAGCCTCGAGCCACCGCCGCCGACCTCTCGAAAGAGAGGCTGGGTGCCCTCGAGCTCAGAGCCCAGCATTCCAACCACCTTTTCTGCGACCGTCCAGACCTCATCCTCTGGTTGTCTCAACCCCTCCCCTTCGAACCTCGGTAACAATATGCAGGTTGACTCAGAGCAGCATCACGAAGACGATATGGAGGCTGGTGAGTACATCCGCATAGTACTGTTGGCTTGCGTGGGGACACGAGAAGCTGTCACGAAGTAGTGCGAGGGAACTTGTTTGATACGATTGCAAGTGATCGTCTGACCATATAATGGTCGAGATCCATGTTTCATCTTGCATTAAGTTACCCCCAGCTAGTACGCGAGAGAAGGCGCAGGCCACCGGTGGCCTGGGGTACCACGGACCGAGGGTGCAGGTGTCGGTCGACTTCCAAAGACATTTGCGATATCGAGAATGCGCCCGCGATGTTATAAAGGGGTTTTCTCGAGGCGCGGGGATGGCGATGCGAGATACACGCGGAAACGGGCTGGTTATATGCGCGACGCATCACAGCGCGTCACGCACTGCTCGGGCATCAACGTTCAACCCTGCGGCGTTTGTATCCTGTCACACGTGTTGGGTTTTCTTCCCATCCTCAGCTTTCCTCGCTCTTGTTTCACGCACTTCACGCATGTTATAGCACTTCACCGCCTCAGGATGACTGCACTGACTTTCCAGGAGTCATATATTATCATCATAGCGCACTTTGTCGCCCTCATGATGTTCACAGTACCACTCACACTCCGTGTCACTGTAGACCTCCCTCCTCCCAAGCGTCGCAAGACTTTTGCTGGTTCAATCGCTTCTACAGCGCTGAGCGCTGCCCTTATCGGAACTGCGGTCGGCCTGACAGTCTATCGCCTGTGAGTACAAGTCGCCTTTTCTCTCTGTTTTTGGGCTGACCCGGCCACAGATGGAAAGGCAAAGGCAAACAGACCGAAGTTCCACCGCCTCCTTATGAACAGAGAGAATGGGCCTCGTCTCCCTCCGTGGGTCATGGCCCCAAGGCCGACGAGGCTAGCGGTCCTCACTACGTTCCCGTTTCTCAGCCTGATCCCTGCGAATACTCTGAACCTTCTGTTACGTCTTCCGTACAGCGCCGACGGCAGCGACACGTCGCAGGCAGGCGTAGTTTGCCCCGGCAGCGCAGGGTCCATCCACGCACACAACCAACCTACCCGCACGCCTTCAACTTCTCACCGCCTGAGCACTCTGCTCACGTCCCTGTCCCACAATTCAACTTCGATTCAGCAAATCAGAGCTACGAAGAAGAGCCTGAAGCCGACACCTCCGATCAGATGGACTGGATAGGCGACAAGCTCGCTCAACTCATCGAAGAGGGCAAGCGTGCACTAGGCAAAGAGATCGTCATTACTGCCGAGGCGGAGGAAGACGAAGAAGACGACGGGTCCGGCCAGTGGGTCGAGGATGACGAAGGCCCCATTCCCTCTCCTTCCTCCGGTTCCTTCTGCAAGAGCCATCGTCCGTGCGATATCGCGATTGTCTCGCCACCGCCACAGTACAGCTCGCCTTGGCGTACGCCGCGCAGCCCAAATAGCGGCCGCTTTGACACGATCTCGCGGCCTGATTCAACGTACAGCTCGCCGCGGAACCGTGCTCGGGCAGACAGCGTCGATTCGCTAGGATCCATCCTCAGTAGCCAGCATCAGGAGGACGGATCGGCATGGCAGAGCCCGGAAATGCGCGAGGCAATGGAGCGTGCGCGCCAGTCCTACCTTCAACGCGGGCAGATGGCTTCGTAACCACCGCTCCGCCGTTGTCGGCCTCACACCTCGCTCTCATGTCCGTCATGACTTCCACGACACCCTAGACGGCTAGGCACGGTTTACGCTCTATTGTTATGCATATCGCAAGAACTTCCGCTATCACTATCGCATGCACGCAGTCATACGCACAACCATACGCACTTTCGCTCTCTCATCACTCTCGTTCGCTCCGTTGGATTCCGATTTCTACTGTAATTTGTAGCGCACTCTGTTCTCCTGATACTCCCTTGGGGTGTCGTATTTGTTAATTTTTACGCCATTGTACTCATAGTTTGTCTCCGAAATTGAATGTTGTGTTCTCATGAGACTCAGTGTCAGATTAAGTTTGCAGCATAGTCGCGGCAGAGCGAGTAATACTGTCCTCCAATAACTGAAGCGATGCGCTCGGGCCCGGGTCGTGCGTCACGACGTACCGCTATTTCACTTCGATTGCCGCTTACGCTTGGTACACGCGCATTGCTCTGGGCTTGATGTTTGCTCGTCTCGACATACAGCACATCGTTTAGGCCGTCGACAACGCATCGTATACTCATCCTGCGGACGATTACAGTTTGGCTCTAGAGCGTGCGACACGCACGAACCATCTGCGAGCGAGCACCGGCTTTATCAATCCGACCGGAACGATGGCCACCATATCCACACAGCTCAGAAACTTCAAGGAGCCGACGCGCGAACAGCTCAACCACCTCTTCTTTGCGATCCCGCATGAAGCCGAGACCAGTGCTGCAGGTAATGGCAGGGAGAAGGAGAAGGGCGGTGCGGGCAGCGAGCTCGAGAAGATTGAGGTTGGCGCCATCCTGTCCCTCGGTGTGCAGGGAATGGAGGAGGCATACGTGCGTACCCTATCGGATCGTGGTGCACGGAGGGTGCTGAGAACATGACAGACCGGCAGGCTGTACCTGATACCGCCCTACCTCGCCTTCGCGTCGCTCGACCGCAAGAGCGTGCGCTTCACGATGCCGCTGAGCACGATCCGCCGTGTCGAGCGGCTGAACGCCAAGGCGGGCGTGTATGCGCTGAGCCTTGCGCTCTGGCACGGCATGAAAATCGTAAGCCGCACCCCCTCTTCCGCTCTCCGTGCGCCGTGCAAACACACCCTGGCCTGTAGGTTGTGCAGATCACGGCGCTGCGCCCGACAGCGGACCTCTTCTGCTCGCTGCTCCGTGACGCACTCAAGGTCGAGCTCGCGCGCGGCCAGATGAAGGTCGTCAAGACGTTCGTGCAGACGTGCTACTCCGAAGTGTTCATCGCCGCTACAAACGACGCGGACGGCAAGGAGGGCGCTGCAGGCCAGAAGAACGAGGCCCTGCCCGGCAGCGACCCCAACTCTGCGTACCTTGGCGGACTCGGATTGAAGTTCAAGTTCCCAGGCGACCCTCGGAAGTGAGTCTTGCGCTACTATGGGCGAGAGTGCGCGTGTACAACTGACGTTCAGGCTGCGCGAGGCATCGAAGACGAAACTCTGGACGGCATACCTGAAGGGTAGGTGTAATCGCCACTAATCTCAACATTTTGCCAATTAACACATCCCAGCGCACGGCCGCAACTTGACACTCATACGCTATCCACAGTGCACGCGACTGGTACAGGTCGGCCTTCCGAACCGATTGCGTGGCGAGATGTGGGAGACGCTCTCAGGTTCGCTGTACCTCCGCTTTGAGAACCCGGGCGTGTACGAGCAAATCCTGGAGGAAAACAAGGGTCGTACGAGCACCAGCACCGAGGAGATTGAGAAGGACTTGCATCGCTCCTTGCCCGAATACTCGGCATATCAGAGCGAAGAAGGTATCACTGCGCTCAGGAGAGTGCTTCAGGCGTATTCGTTCAAGAATCCTGAGACAGGGTATTGTCAGGTGAGTGCGGAGTGATTGACTGTGTGCTCTTTAAACGAGCGGGCCGTAGGCTATGAACATCCTTGCGGCTGCAATATTGATCTACATGTCGGAAGAACAAGCATTCTGGTTGCTCGAGGTCATATGCGACCGCCTATTGCCAGGATACTACAGGTACACATCTAAAATACTACTTCTGCTTTACTGCTAACATAATTTACGTATAGCCCCTCAATGCACGGCACACTTCTCGACCAGCGGGTTTTCGAGTCTCTTGTGCATCGGTGTCTTCCTATTATCTACGATCACTTCACTACTGTCGACGTCCAGCTGTCTGTTGCATCATTACCGTGGTTCTTGAGTTTGTCAGCAGTCTTTGGCGAGTGTCCTTGCACGGCTCGCTCACCGAGAGCTGTTATGCAGGTTCATCAACAGCATGCCCATGGTCTTTGCCTTCCGGATAATCGACTGCTTCTTCTGCATGGGTCCGAAGGTGCTATTCCAAGTAGGGTGAGTCGCGTATACTTTGAGGTTTTGCGACTGGAAGCTCACTGCATCCTATTGGCAGACTTGGCAAGTACTCGTTCGCCTCGTTGTCCACTGTTGTGCTGATTCAATAGTACCTCTAAGCCATCCTGAAAATTAACGGCGAGCAGCTTCTTCAGATTCAAGATGACGGCGGCTTCATCCAGTATGTGGAACGCCACATGTAGGGTGCCTGATCTAATATCCTAGAGCAGCCTGATGCGCGACTACTTCTCCTCCCTGGGCGCCTCCGCACACCCCGACTCACCCGACCCGCGCGCCCGCGCGATCACACGCTTCCAGGAGCTCCTCCTCGTCTCCTTCCGCGAGTTCGCGGTCATCACCGATGAGACGATCCAGAACGAGCGCAAGAAATTCCGAGGTGAGGTCATTCACAGCATCGAGACCTTCTCGAAGCGGTCTGCGATCCGGAACCTCAAGAGTCTGGAACGGTTTAGCAAGGATCAAGCGGGCTCTATCTACGATGCGCTCTTCAAGGCGATATGCATCGAACCCCCACCCGCGGTGTCCCTCCCTCCCCCTACGCTCTTGACGACCAAGGAGGGTCAGGAGGAGAGGCCTGAGACGCGTATCGAACTGAAGACATTTAGGGTATTCTTGAGTGAAATCGCAACATGGGCCAGGAATGAGAGGATTGTGTCAAACGGGTTTCAGGTATGACGACCAAGCTCAGGGTAATTCAGGTTTACTAACCTACGCTTAGCAAAGAGTAGAAAAAGAAGTCGCGGAGCATGAGTTTATTGACCGACTTTTCTTCTTCTGGGATGGGGACTACAGAGGGGCACTATCTTTCCAGGTCAGGCGTGTTTGCAGCTCGTGTGTTCCTCCAAATCACTGATTTCACTGACGACCACAGGACCTTGTATCAGGGCTGGACGGCGTGATGTTCAACGACCTCATGGAGAACATTGAATGGTTCTTCAACCTCCACGACAAGAATAAGGATGGCTACCTGACAAAGGACGAAGTGCTCACTCTGTCAGAGTCATTGTTGGTTAGTCAGATGTCTTCTTTCATTAAGGCTACTCTCAGACCCGTCTACGCAGTTCATCTTCCGCTTTGAGATCGGTGATGCGTACCTCGGGGCCGTCAGTCGATTCATGTCGAATGCGTTCGAGTACGGTGATGCATTACTTCCTCGATCGGAGGGGGCGGATGGAGACGACGAGACGCCGCCGCACATAGAGTCAAATCAGCCCTACATCAATCTTGCAACGTACGTGTCTCTTCGTTGGTCCCTAACTTCTAACGGACCAGCTCTTATAGATTCCGTATGGTTGTGCTCGCGGATGAAATCCTGGAGTCGTTCTTTGAGACAGATTTCTCTGCCACGTTCAGGCTTGGACCAGTACCCATGACGGACATCCCGTCGAACCACGGCCTGCTAGGCGACCTGTGGACGCAGATCACGAGCGAGGACAACAAAAAGATTCTCAACAGGTTCACGGACGGTGTCGGCCGCGCAGTCGGCAAGCACCAGGTCTTCCACCGGCCTGCGATCGGCAAGTTCACCGCGCTTGAAGAGCCCAAGGCGCGCGAGTCGCTGCTTACGCCGACAATGCGTCGCTCGGCATCCAAGGCGAGCCTGAAGTCACCAACGGACAGCGACGCAACAGCCGTCCCGTCAGCGTCGGTGTCTGCGCCGGCGAACCTGAGCATTCCTACGAAGGCGGAGGAGGAGCAGTCTGCAGTGCTGTCCCCGATGCCGACGATGTACGAGGCGGCAGCGAACGCGGCGGCAGCATTCATGGAGCGGACACCGTTTGCGATTGACGACGCCAAGGACGACGATGACGAGGATAGCGAGGAAGAGGACGAGATTTTGGAGGACGACGTCCTGGACGAGGTTCGTTTGCCGTTCTGTCGCTCGGGGCTTTGACTGAACATCGTGCTAGGTCGACGCGTTTCTGGAGGCGCACGATTCTGGGCTAACGGCCGCAGAACAAGAAGCCGCGCAAGGTGCGTCACCTCAAAGGCTTCTCCTTTCTGCTGTGACTGACGATAGGAACCCACAGACCTGATCAATGCCGAGCCAGTGAAGTAGTAGAGGCATTGCTCAACAAACTAACATAACCGCCATCGTCGAGCATGAAAGCAATCGTTGCAACCTTGTATTGTATCTATTACAGCCCCATGTCTATAGGATCCAGCGTCGAATGAGGATAATTATTGGAAACAGACAAGTTCCAGCTACATGATACAACGTAAAGATACAGCAGAGTGTCAATACAGTCAGCGATGGGATGTGGTCATTGAGGGAGCGCGACTCGGTCAACCCACACGCGAACTGTCAGGTCGGACTCCATGGATGCCGACGCTATCATATTTTGTTGTGGATGTGTCTATGATACCATGGGTCAGCCATCGTTGAACAAGTGACCTCACGAGCTGTACTCACAGCAACCGCGACTACAACGTCCGAGTGGCCTTCGAGGACCTGCACGATCTCCCGGGACTGCAGGTCCCAGAGATAGACCTTGTTGTCCTCGCTGCCGGAGACGATCCACTTGCTGCCCGTGACACTGAAGCAAGCCGCGATGCAGTATTTTAAGTTGGCGTGGCCCGTGTATGTCTTGAGGCAGCGCGAGGTGTTATAGTCCCACAACCGGATCGCGCTGTCGTGCGCTGTCGAGAGGATATATTTCGAATTGGGCGAAAATTGCACGTGCTGGCTAAGCCAGCGTCAGATGGGCTTTACAGCTGGAGTGAGGATAAAATGCAATACCAGATGGCATCATGGCCTTCGGCCAGCGTTTTGAGACACTGCCCGCTGTTGGTATCCCATATACGACTAGAGCAAATACCGTTAGTATACCGCCTAGGATGCAAAAAGGATAATCCTACATCAGTCCGTCCAGCGCGCAGGAGACTATCAGACCCGCGTCTCGGTTGAAATGCACCGCAGTCACGTAGTCCAAGTGTGCATGAATAGTTTTGATACACTTTCCTGCGCGGATTATGAGCGAACATGGTCGAGACCCTTCTAGAGCGGCCGTAGGTCACCTTTTTGCGGATTCCATATCCGCACGTCGCCGTCGCATCCCCCGGAGACGAGAAGTGTAGAGGTCAAATTGTAGTTGACACAAAAGACATAGCTCGTGTGACCTTTCAGCACCCGGGTGGTGAGCCCCTGGAGATGAAACCTTAAGTCACACTTTGCATGCCAGGAACCGCAAGGAAGTTCACCGAATCGACATCCCAGATGCGGACGGTATGGTCGTCCGATGCGGAGACCAGGTAGACGCTATCAGACGACCATGCAATATCGGAAAGGCCCTTGGTGTGACCATTAAGATTCCGGATGAGCTCTCCGGTGAATGGCGACCATATTTTGACAACACGGTCGTTCGCTGTAAAGATGGCACAAGGTAAATGCCAACTGGAGTTCAGTTTCTATTGCGAGAGACTTACAGCAAGAAGCGAGTAGAGTACCATCGGGACTAAACTTTACAGCAGAGATGGACGAGGTGTGTCCCCGCATGGTATGCTTAAGCTCGTAATGAGGCTTAGCACGAGAGCTGGAAGTTGGGGGTGGCGGTTGAGGCGGTGCGGGAGCTGGCGGCTCCTTATTCTCCGGCACCTGGGGGTCGTCCTCTGTGGCCTGGGAGGCGTTGTCATCGTCAGTAGTAGAATCATCCATACCGGCGAAAGGATCCATCGCAGCAGACTGTCGTGGCGGCTAGCAAAGCGTAAGCGCAGCTCAGCGAACCATGTTGCTCGAATCGGTCTCTCGGGTTTAGCCGGACGCGCTGATCCGCCCTTTCCTTTCTGGGTGCACATGGCTGCTTTCTGGCCGGAAGCAGTCCGCCTTACACTTCGTCGTCAGCAGCCCACCAAGAGCTCTCCGGTAGTATGGATATGTAAGTCATCTGGACTGCGACTCAGGGACTCTGAGTGCTGTCATATTTTAAATTTGTTGTCAACCTTGGAAGGAACGGACGGGGCCGTTTACCGAACAAGCCAGATGGCCAAGCGACGTCTCACGGGACGTGTCGACCGATGTTGACGTGCGACAGTGTCCAGAACACTCGGCTTGCAATATAATTCGGGCACCCCGATTTGCGGAGGAAACATAGAGCCATACGCAGAGAACGAGGGCACTCAAGGCAATCCGGCCCAAGACAGCAGACCCTTTGTTCAGACGAGACATGCGTTCTCCCGGCAGTCTGAGAATTTCCTGCGCCACGAGGTTACAGTCCTTCGGGGCGGGGACCTGCTCGTACGTAACGTGAATCACTAGTTCGCCTGGAATATTCCCGCGACAGGGCACTAAGCTCTGTCTGGCAACATGCGTCGTGGGTCGTGACGCGGCGCAAGGACACCCCAATCTACACGCCGCTTTTCTGCGATGCAGTCGGGAGCGTAGAAAAGTCGACGAGCTCTTCTGTACAAGAAAAAACGAAAGAATGCAAGGAATGGGCGTTCGAAGGGCAAACTTACGATGGCCTTTTGTTGGCGTTTTACTTCCGTCGTTTAATCGATCGATTTGTCTCGGGCCCTGCACGGGGGTCGCCGGGGTCACGCAGGGCAGCCGTCTGAGGTATTGTTCTTTCTGATCTCATCGTTTCTGATACTAGAGTAAGCGGACACGCTCTTGAGCTGTGGAGGCGACTTCACACCAAGTTATTTAGCCGGTCTTATAGTAACGACGCCGAGTATACCAAGAATGCCGTGTTCTGTAAGGTGAACCTCTCTTGTCCTCACATTCCATCATGCCCACCGCTGTACCCACCGAAGCGTCGCTAAGGCTTGACTTTATCGTAGTCGGCGGAGGTGAGTTCTAGGCTTCCAGTTTCTATTAAGACTACTTTTCATACACCGAGCTGAGGTTAAGGCTACTGTCACCTGAGCCCTTTGTTACGCCGAGTATCGCGGAAAGCTGACGCCTCCACCGCACTTCATAGGTCTATCAGGCCTCTCAGTCGCCCATGTTCTATCCAAGGCTGGCCACAGCGTCCGTGTCCTAGAGAAGCTCCCAGCTCTGGGGGCGCCTTCAGGAGGCCTCCGCGTCCCGCCGAACATGAGTAAAATTTTAAAGAAGTGGGTGGGCGGCGAGGAACTAGCTAAGACTGCCGTGCTGAACATCGCGACGCCGTGGTATGACTGTGAGTATGCGCACCTTTTTCTCGACGGGCCGACGATCTCACCGTTACGCACCGCCTAGTGCACACGAGCGAGAAGATGGGTGCTGCGCAGTGGCGACCAGCGGTCATGGCGGAAACAGGCGGCGAATTTCTGCTCATGAAGGTGCGCGCGAGTCTCGTCAGTGTAGCAGCCCCTGAAGTAATTGCGATGATCAGCACGAAGACGTCCATCGACTCCTCTACCGCCTCGCCATCGAGTCCGGCGCAAAGGTCGACTTTGGCGTATCCGTAGCGTCAGTAGCGCCGGGGGACCCAAGGCCAACGGTAACGTTGTCAACCGGCAAGGTGCTCGAGGCGGATATTGTCATCGGCGCCGATGGCCCTCGGAGCCTCGTGCGACCAGTCGTGCTTGACAGGCCGGATGACGCCGTCCCCTCGGGCCTCACAGTCTTTGGGACGACCATTCCCGCAGAGAAGATGATGCAGGACCCGAAGCTGGCAAAGCTTGTGCAGGCAAATGAGGTATGTCTTCTCTCTCCGACCTCCGGAAGCATCCCACGCTGATTCCGGGACATCAGTGGCCGATCATGATGGGCACGAATCGTAGCTTGTGTGGTAAGCATAGCTGCATTTCAAACGGCTTCGTGTAACCCTGACGATTTCGTGATTTTTAGCTCATCCTGTGGTATGCTGTGCAGTTCGAAAGAAACGATCATTTGGGGACTAATACCGACGATAGAAAGGCAAGACCGAGTTTGCGGTACAGATGTACTGGCCGGATGAAGACGCCCTCACACCAGACCATGCAACGGAATCCTGGTACGATGCTGTTCCGACGAGTAGTCTCGACTTCAGCAATCTGGGACCCATGTGAGCTTCTGCTGATTTTCAGGCGAAGAAGCATCACTGATGTAACGCAGGGCCCAGCGCATGTTGAAGTTGACGCCATACCTGTACCGCACACGTTATATGACCCGTGAGGAAGAGATTGACGAGTGGATAGACGAGTCGGGGCGGATAGTACTCATCGGCGAGGCAGCACACCCGTGGTTCGTGAGTGCCTTCTGCCTCTTTCACCCTTTCCCAGTCTCATGTCCACGCAGCCAGGAGGCACGTACGGCCCCTCGATGGCGCTCGAGGACGCAGTCGTGTTCGGCACGCTCTTCGGACGCCTCTCGAGCTGGAAGGAGATCCCGCGCTTCCTGAACGCATACCAGGAGATCCGCTTCAACCGAACGAACTCTACCAACGAGATGGACGTGTCCAACGCCGCATTCATGCGCCTCCCGCCGGGCCCCGGGGCCGAGGCACGTAACATGCAGATCCGCCAGGCGCGTGACGAGTGGGACGATGGTTCGCTCAAGCGCGAGTTCGAGGGTCTCGCGGCTCTGTTTGGCTACGAGGCGGAGGATGCTGCGCAGGTACGCCTTTTCATTTGCTTGCCATCTGTTCATTAGCTCAGCAGGATGCCTTTAGGAATGGTGGGTAACATGGGGTAGATACCACCAAACACAAGATGAAAGCAAGATCAAGAACGGCGTGGAAGACTCTTTCAAGGGGCTTTCTCTATGATTGGATGCTTAAACTCTTCTTTTCGTTGGCTTTGTGCACTGTAAACTATACCATAGTCAGCACGCATATTCATACCCTTCTTGCATGCTAGTGTCTTTACATCCTCACGTCATTTACGATAGTTTGTCGGTACTCACTTCCAATATTGCTTTCCATCCGGGCCATCTGGGTGCTTGTGTATGCTTGTGGGATCTCCGTTATGGTCTGACAGGCTTCGATGGTCGATGCGTTGTTCCGCAGACATCAGGACGTCATGGGAAACGTCCGGGATGTGCCCTCTTCTGGACATGCACTGCAGCGCGCTTTATGGGGGACCGTGTGGCCAAAGGGCGTAGACGGACTCAACACAGCACAGCAGATGTTCTCGTTTCCTTCTACAGGCAGATATACATTTCGAGGACTTTTTGCATTCAGGGCTTCTGGTCAGTCAGCATCTCATACGCTTCTAGGTACCTCTTCCTGGTCCCCTCGACGACCTCCGGAGTCATCAGCCAGCCCTCGCCTTCACGTCCAGGCGGGCCACTCTCAAGCCCCTTCCTGAAACCAGAGCCGGTCAGCCAGTCCCGGAGATACTGCTTGTCGAAGCTAGGCTGGCCTCCGCCAGGCTTGTACTCCGCCGCAGGCCAGTAGCGAGACGAGTCCGGCGTGAGGGCTTCATCGATGAGAATAACTTGCTCCGAACCATCAGTGCCCGGCACAAGACCGAACTCAAACTTGGTGTCAGCGAGGATGAGACCACGGGTGGCAGCGTAGTCCGCTGCATCCCGGTAGAGCCGCATGGCCCTCGTCGAGACCTGATCGTAGAGTTCCTGGCCGATCAGGGCAGCGGCTGCGGGGAAATTGCGAAGAGTTGGTCAGCGTCACTCCTCGGGTGATTTGTGGGTAGACGGGGGAAACATACCCTGCTCCGGAGAAATGTTTTCGTCGTGCACGCCCTGCTCGGCCTTAGTCGAGGGCGTAAATAGCGGCTGCGGGAGCTTCTGTGACTCGACGAGTCCTGCCGGGAGAGGAATGCCGTGCACGGTTCCAGACTTTTTATACTCGGACCAGCCCGAACCTAGGAACGCGAAGCGTGAGGGAGTCGACGCACGCGAGAGAAGGGTAACGTACCGGTCAGGTAGCCGCGAACGATCGCCTCGAGGGGGATTACCTTGGCCTTCCTTACGAGCATTGAGCGACCGTCAAGCTGATCCTTATACTGTTGCACCTCCCCGGGCATCTCATCAATGTTCGCAGTGACGAAGTGCGTGGAGACAACATGTTTGAGCTTGTCAAACCAGAAGAGCGAGATTTTCGTCAAGATTTTGCCTTTGTCCGGTACGCCCTTCATGTCCGAGCATCATATCGCCAATGTCGAGCCCCGGCAGGAGAGGAGAGACGTCATTTCAGGCTGAGCACGCAGGAGGACAACGGGATGACGGACATTCTGCAGAATGACATCGTATGCAGAGATGCGATCGCTCGCGACAAAGAGGAGGAGGTCTGGCGACGAGGTCGCGTAGATGTCGCGTACTTTTCCCTTCGAGAGCAGCGTCAGACCCGGCAGGCTGGAGTGGATGAGAGCGGCCATGGTCGCGGTGCATGGGCAGGACTACAGAGCCGAGCCAGGCGTCTCGCGAAAATGCGGTAAGCGCCCATCAAGTTTAAGGCTTACTTAAGGACAGAGCACGGAGCCGGCACCGTGCAGAGTAAACTGTGCGCAGACTCATATTGATCATCCAGAATCCTCCATCGCGTGATGGCTCCATCTACTTCTCGTGAGAAAGGAACGCACACGGAGGAATCTAATCTTTTCCGCCTACTCAGCACGACAAGTCACCAATCTCGACCACGTACATCTGACCGAGTCTGCGGGGTGTAGGGCATCACGGGGCCACGATAGCTCATGAAATTACGTTACAAATACACTAGCTGGTACTCAACAGAAGAACAGATATCGTACAGCAGGTCCGCAGAAGTCGCATCGAGAGACCGCCGAAGGCCGTTTATTCCAGGTCGAACAGAATGAGCTCGGCCGCTTTGTCACCCTCATTTTGCACCTCGATTGTGGCCCCGGAGTCTCCCGCGATATAGACCCCGTCGCCCTCGCGAAGAACTAGTGATTCGCCCGACGCACTCTTTAGCTTTATCTGTGCACCGTCAGCTTTTCCGGGGTTGTAGCCGGATGTTTGGATGAGGTGGACGTAGGCCTTGCGAGGGGCGATGTCCGAGATCGACAGGGTATGCGACAGGGTGGACGAGGGCGATATGATGGACGCGTACATCGTGACCTCAGAGTGTACAGGCGCAGGACCCGAGGCCTCGCGCTTCTCGGTGACACCGTCGGAACCCGCTGGCGCGACAACCTTGCACCACTTGTCTTTCTTCTCTTCATCAGAGTAGTGCCTGGAGCCTACTCAGCACCAAGCGAGAAATAACAGCGGAAGTAAACCTCACCTTGTGAAGTACTGAGGCTTAAGCCCACCCTTGTTGGGGAGTGCCCATATTTGCAGGAAATGCACCTGCTTCTCGCCATGAGCCTTCTCACTGTGCCTGATTCCAGTGCCAGCGGACGTCATTTGTAGGTCACCGCGCTTCAGCACTTCCCGGTTACCCATGGAGTCGCCGCTACACAATGAAAGTCAATATTAACGACAGTGGCCGGCCCACACAAGCAAGAATACGTACTGCTCGAGTTCTCCCGCGACGACATACGAAAAAATCTCGAACTCGCTGTGCCCGTGCGTACCAAAGCCTGTGTGAGCATCCACACGGTCTTCATTAATGACGCGAAGGGGACCATATTGCGAATGTTCATCATCTTGGTACCTGCTAGCTGTCAGCACTGCGAGACCGGCTCCGAGACAAAGAAACCTACGAGGCAAACGAGAACGTGTGGAAGGTCTTCAGCCAGTCATGGTCGGCGTGGCCACGAGCATCGCTTGGGCGGGGAACGAACTTGACAGACATGTTAACTGCGGTGTGTGCGCTTCGAAGTTTGAGTAGATTGGCGAGCAGGACTCGACGGGGCTTGACTGTGGAGAACAGCTTAGGAGTGGTCGCGGTGGATGCGGATACGAGGCTCAGATGAATTGATGGTCAGAGGAATGTCACATATTCAGCTTTATATACATGGCCTAGGGGGCAGGCTGAGGATTAGAGAGCACTACGAGAACACGATGACGAACGACCGTCATGCTCAACGTCGCAGTCAGCATGTGAGGCTCGAATTGCCTTTCGTGGAAATCCCGCCCTCACGCTCGTCCACGCCCGCCTCATGCTTCCCTCGAGCTTGGAGCTACGGATCATGGAGACTGACATTCAACAGTTCAAGAGTAGTGCTTTCTCATAAGCTGAACTCGGCCATGATGCGTAGCATGCCATGCATATGTTAGCAACAGCGCTAGGGCGGCATGCTAGAACTGTGTGTATAATCTAGCGGGGCAGATTTTTGCCAAGAAAAAACACATCGATATCTCGTCATGCCTCAGAGTTACGAGCTGTAGAGACTATGCGCACGATAAGCAAGGCGGGGACGAGTAAAGCTTCAAGCTTCAAGACAAGGTCAGCGACAGCCAGTTAAATCCGCCAGGCAAATCATGATGACGAGAACACGAAGACGCCCATCTGCAAACTTGCTCAGTATGCAATTGGTAGACTGCACTCCTTTCGCACTGGCACTGATTCTTGGTCAGACCCCTCTGTCTTCGTTACCGTACAACTTACGACGTTCTGTGCGCGTTAGGTTTGAAAGAAAATATTTCACAGGCGCGAAACTATGGCTACTCTACTTCCCCCGCCAAAGCGACAAAAGGTCTACCACGGTGTGCCAGAACCTGAGCCAGAGCCATCAAAGCCCACGCCAAACGTCGTTGTGCAGTTTATCTCGAATGAGGATGGAGACCCTTTGGCACCAGCGGTGAACCTGCCTGCAAACCTATCGCGAGAAGCTTTGGAGACATTGGTGAACAAATTGAACACCAAGGTGAGCTGCAGAATTTGCTTGTCCGAAGTCGGGTGAGCTCAGGTTAACTTGAGGCAGGACGGTGAACCTGTGCCATTTGCTTTTCATATAGCCCTCCCTACAGGTACGGCAAAACCAGGCGCACCTACACAAATAGCTATCGCAAAGTCGATTGAAGAAGACGTCCTCTCCCATCCTTCGAATGCTTTCACGCCTGAAGATATCCTTGTAGTCCGTTGCTCGCCACAAGCAGTCTTCCGTGTGCGTCCAGCAACAAGATGTTCCTCAACGCTTTCCGGTGTGATCGTTTCTCTCCCCCAGCAGGATCATCCCTCATTTTTCGTTCAGGACATACCTCTCCCATTCTGTGCGCTTCCTTCTCGCCAACAGGGAATCTTCTGGCTACTGGCTCCGGAGACTGCAACGCTCGCCTGTGGGACTTGTTTACCGAAACGCCGTCGCATGTTTTAGCAGGACACAAAGGCTGGGTGCTCTGCGTGGAATGGGAGGCCGTGGAGCGGAAGTTAGCGACGGGTGGTCATGACGGACATGTACGCCGCAATGACAGATACTGCGTTGCAGCTATATTTACCGCTTTCTGATACCAGGTGCGACTCTGGGACCCGAAGGCAGGCAAGCCCCTCGGAGATGCGCTGAAGGGGCACTCTAAATGGGTGACATCCCTGGCTTGGGAGCCCATCCACATGTGCGTTGCATCCTAGAACTTCATTGTATCTCAATGTTGAATAGCTACTGGTGACAGAAATTCAGCTGCACCCCGGCTCGCGTCGTCATCCAAAGACGGAACCGTGCGTGTATGGAACACCGCGACCAGGTTATCAGAGTACACCCTTGGTGGACACACGGCAAGCGTCAACGTCGTACGATGGGGTGCCGGTGGTCTGGAAGGCAAGGGTGTACTGTACACGGCCTCCAGTGATCGGACGGTCCGCGTCTGGGACGCCAACGGTGTAAGTCGGTTACGGCCATACATCGTCATCCGATATCTGATCCACAGACCCCAGGGAAAACCATTGTATACCCTCAAGGACCATGCGCACTGGGTTACAACGTTGACCCTGAACACCGACTTTGTTCTGCGTACCGGTCCGTTTGATCACACAGGCAAAAAGCCAACGTCGGACGCGGAAGGTACACTCGATAGCGTCGCGAAGATAATGGTTGCTGAGGCCCCTTTTTGCAGCCCAGTCTCTGGCCCTGGCGCGCTATAACAAGCTTGTCTCACAAACAGGCGAGCTCATGATCTCGGGGTCGGACGACCACACGCTCTTCCTCTGGTCGGTATTCCCTAGCCGCGCGGCGACCGCGGAAGCATCCGTCGCCGCCGCCGAGCGTGGCGGCAAGCTCAAGCCTGCGTCACGGCTGACGGGTCATCAGCGACAGGTTGCGCACGTTGCTTTCAGCCCAGACGGTAGGTGGGCCGCCAGCGCCGCATGGGACAACAGCGTCCGGCTCTGGGACGGCAAGACCGGGAAATTTGTAGCGACACTTCGCGGGCACATCAGTGCCGTTTATCGGCTGGCTTGGAGTGCTGACTCGCGACTGCTTGTGAGCGCCAGCAAAGATACTACCCTGAAGGTTGGTCAACATGCACCCAGCACTCGCGGGTGCAATCGTTGATGCCACCCTTTGATCCGTAGATATGGGACTTGAAGACGTACAAGCTGAAAACAGACCTTCCTGGACACACAGACGAGGTTTACTGTGTCGATTTCGTGGCCGATAAAATTGTGAGCGGAGGACGGGACAGGACTGTCAAAATGTACGTCTTCCGTGTCTTCCATATCTACTACTGACCCTGACCGGATCGTGATCATTGCTAACAGATGGAAGAACTGAAGACGTGGGATATCTGCAATGAGCATAGTGAACCCTGGTATGTGGCGTCGGGGTTCGATTGTTGCTCTCATCCCGCCTCGCGCGTTCTATCTCGCTTTGACAGTGACGCGCTAAGCGGTGCACAGTAGTTGCCGTGGGCAGCTGTGGCTCACGTCGGGCGCCGCAGTCTTTATAGAATTCTCACAGTCGATGTATTGCATGCGGTCGGCCGAGGCGAGGTTACTTCAGGTCATTTCTGGCCCCGCGGACGCTGTACGATTGAGCCGATTTGATTAAGTAGCAGAGATGATATCATTGCGGCATCACGCTTGTCTCACTCTTCCGCTTCATTCGGGGGTCGTTCCGACGGTCACCGTCAATTTCGCCGCCGCGATTGCACTGACCCGTACAGCGCATTCGACGCCCAGCGTTTATTCCTATCTCCGTCGTCGTCCACTGTTGCCAACCATGCATAACTTCGTGGAGGCAGTACCATAACGTAGTGACGCGCTCGGCTTGGGACAGGGTTCGGAAAACCTACTCAGCAAGATGTTCCTGAGTCGCCTATCAGTCCAACATTTTTTCTTCCGGGAGCAAGAAGCCTTTCCTGCGTATTTACCCATCACGGCGAATCTTGGCGAATCCGTTTTTTGGGTCAGACAGACCTGGACTTATACCGCGTGGCACATCACCAGCACATCAACCGCGAAATCAATTCGAAAAGCCCGAGGCGGATGGCCGAAGTGCGCGCACCCTCAATTGAGCCATCTCGACTCGCCTTACAATAGTATGCGAGAGAGTCTCTGAAGGTCCCTGACGAGCAGTTGCGACCCTGTACATGATTAAACGGTTTAGCAGGCGCTACGAGCGCAACGGCTGTGCCGGGTCAGAACACACACTCGGCTTCGGCACGGTACAGCAGGCCCACCATCTTCTTGAGCAAGGCCGATCTTGGTTCGCTAGTGATGGGACTGGCAGCCTGCCCCAGGTCGAGATTATCTTGTCGTCGCGGAAGCATTACTTCCCTGAGTCGGGATTGGGTACTCTCTGACACGGTAATTTACCATGGCGAGCCCGCAACGTTGCGGCTCGTCTAAATAGTCTACTTATCAGAAGTCGAGGTAAGATAGAGGCGCTCCGGGTGTTCCATACTTAAATCCCGCGACGTCCGCAAGTTTTTCTCTCCTCTCAGCTTGTCCTCATGGTATCGTCCAAAATCGCGTCTCTCCGGCTCGAGTTCCTAGTTGTCGGCGGCGGTGAGTCTTCCCTTACGAATAGTTCTCTCCCAGCCCCGTTCCCAGCCTGCAGCCGCTAGCCTGTTAACAAGTCTACAATGATCGGCCGGTTGCTCGCGCGAACCCACGCAGGAGCCGCCGGGCTGTAAGGGGCTGTCTAATAGATGTCTACATATGGGGTTGGCGTCACTGATCACGCCCCAATTTGTACTGCAGGGCTCGCCGGCCTCGGCGTCGCGTACGCGCTCAGCAGGGCGGGGCATAAGGTGAAGGTGTTCGAAAAGCAGCCTTCGCTCGGCACCCCTGCTGGCGGTCTACGTGTGCCGCCAAACATGAGCAAAATCCTCAAGGCTTGGGCCGGCCCAGAGGAACTAGCCAAGATCGCCGTCCTGAACGTCGGTACACCATTCCACGACTGTGAGTATGCTGACTGTGGCGCAGGCGCGTACTCTTTCTCTTGTGGGGCTAATCCTACTGCGTGTAGTGGAGACTGGTGAGAAAATAGGCTATGTGGGATGGGTGCCTGAGGTTATGCAGGAGACTGGTGGGAACTTCCTGATGCTCAAGGTGCGTAGGCTCTCCCTTCACCCTGAATCGTTATACAAGCGATCCTGCGGCAGCATGAGGACGTCCAACTTCTCCTGCACCGTCTCGCCACCGAGGCTGGCGCAGAGATCATCTTCAACGCAAAAGTTGCAGCTGTCACTCCCGGCGAGCCAAGACCCTCGATTACCCTCGAATCCGGCTTGACCTATGAGGGCGACATCATTCTCGGCGCGGACGGCCCCAACAGCTTCGTTCGTGAAGTCGTCCTTGGCGATGATAATGAGGCTGGGATTCCATCAGGGATATCGGTCCTTGGTGCCGTTATCCCTGGAGAGCTGATGAGGGGTGATCCTCGGTTAGAAGAGTGGATCTCTAACGACGAGGTGCGTTTGCATCTCGACTGGTCGGCTAGCACCCGCTGATATTGTCTGTAGTGGCCCATCTTCATGGGAAACAACCGGTCAGTGTGCGGTGAGTGCTCTGATGTTCTTTCTATAAGCCGCTATATTGACAATCGGCTACAGCCCATCCTGTGGTATGTTACTGTGCTCTGATATGGCGCGGCGTTACCTGACTTGGATTATCAGTCCGCCAAGAAAGAGTTCGCGGTCCAGCTATTTTGGCCCGACGAATCCAGTGGCCCGGAGGAGAGCACTGCAGACTGGTTCGATGTCATTCCGACGGAGCAGATTGAGATGGACGTCTGTGGCCAGACGTGAGTGCAGGACATATCTGACATGTGCCCCAGATTTGACGAGACTCAACTTAAGCTCGGATAGCATTCAGAAGCTTTTCAAGTTGGCGCCCTCGTTCGTGCGTACTCGCTGGCTAGAATATCCCGAGAAGTTCGATTACTGGTCGGACGAGTCTGGGCGCATTATCCTGCTTGGCGAGTCTGCGCATCCGTGGTTCGTGAGTATCGCCCGCAGCTTTCTGTCGCATGTGCGCCGCTAACGGTCTACGCAGCCCGGAGGCACCCACGGCCCTGCGATGGCGCTTGAGGACGCAGCGGTATTCGCTGCCCTATTCTCGCGTCTCAGTCGCGAGGACCAGATTAGCGCATTTGTAAGCGCGTACCAAGAGATCCGCGAGGCGCGTGTCGTCGAGGTACGGCGCATGGACGTCTCGAACGCCGCGTTCATGCGCATACCGCCCGGCCCTGACCGCGACAAGCGCAACGAGAATTTACGGCACGCGCGCGGTGAGTGGGACGACGTCGCGTGCCAGCGCGAGTATGAAGGTGTCGCTGCCCTGTTCGGATACGAGGCACTGGATGCCGCTGATGTGAGCGATGTTCGTCAACTCAGCAATACGCTAGCACTGACCTCACGCACAGGAATGGTGGGTCAACTGGGGCCGTTTCCAAAACGGCAACGAAGAGCCCGAGCAGGCTGACTACGGCATGGGCTCCCTATCCATTTCCGCCCGGTGACCTCGTCCCATCGGTGCTGCTACGGCGTAAGCCACATGTTCAGATTAACCAATTATGTCTTCACGACCACGCCATGCTTCATTATTCGCTAATGTTGTAAGGTCCAGATACAAACATGTCACTCGCTCCTATTCGTATGTACCACGCCATGATACTGTACTTAGCAATGTCGCTTGTGACTCCTCGGGTTTATGCAATTTTTGTGCCCATGTTCTTAATTTTGAATACAGCGGCGGACGGAATGTGACGAAGTGCTGGCTTTGCTTCATCGCAAGGCTTGTCGAGTCTATTGTCCGATACGTGAAGGGTCACGAATGTGTCACTTTGCCAGTTATACACCCTAAAGCACACGCTTCACTAATACTACGTCGAACCTCATCCCTGCCCCAGAACTGATTCTTCGTAGCCGCAGTGATGACGGGCGGTAGACAAAGCGGCGCTGCTTCGAAGATGGCCTGCCTGATCTGCTGTACATGCGAGCGTGCGTCACCTCTGATGTTGTCCGTCTTCGTGATGATAGCCTGCATAGTTATAGGCCGACCAGCTTGCAGTGACATCATACACTGATTGTTGAGGTTCTCAAGCATGCTAGCGTCTACGTCTTTCGCGCCATGTTCGCCGTTGATGAGGATGTAGATGCGCTTCAGCCTGCAACAAGGTTGGCGTGCCTTCAAGCGGGGATGTACAAATACGCACTCTTCTCTGTGTTCGATGTAGTGCTGAAACAACCTTCCCCACTCAGCCTTGCTGCGCACGCCATAGCCGGGGGCGTCCACAACAACAAGCTTATGCGGAACTGGGCCAACGCCATAGAAGTTTAACGTTCGAGTGTGGCCCTAAGCAATAAGTAGGTAAAGGCATGCTTCAACATGTTCAATACACAACTCACGCCTTGCTTGCTCGTCGAGGCCAGACTAGTGCGTCCCAAAACCGCATTCACCAAGGTGGACTTGCCGACATTGGCACGACCTGTAAAAGCATTACGGAAAGGCGAAAATAAGTACACATGAGGAAGAAATACCAGCTATCATGACCTGGTCAAGCTGTCAGCCCTTGCCTGGGTATCTGACGATGCAGCACGCACCTCCGGAGGTCGCTTCTGTATCAAGGGTAACGACTGTGGTGCTGCTGCTGCGGCCAAGAACTGGGCTGCAGAGTGATGGCTGAAGGGGTTTATGAATTGTGCGGTCTTCTTAGGATAGCATGTTGAAGATGTGGCCTTGAACATGTCCAGAGGAAACTCGACTGCAGGAGTCCATCGGGGAAGAGGGCGAAGTCGGCAATTTCTTTGCAAGCGCGCGTCGTAGTAGAGCGCTTAACAAAGCGCTAATGACACACGAGCCGTCACGGGTCACGGGTCACGGCCGTGAACCTCTGGTTGTCTCCCTGACACGCTCACCACCTCACCTTTTTCTCTGCCTACACCGCGGTACACGTGCTGATATGTCCGACAGACTGCGACGAGAGCGGAAAAGCAAGCTCGACTCGTTGGCCGAGCTCAGACGCGCGAGGGCAGGCGGGGGAAGAGCCTACAAGGTGAGTTGCAGGTCGAGCTTGACGCGCCGCGTGTGCTGAATAGCATTGTTCGCGAATTCAGGTGGATGGCGATGATGCCATTTACGACGTAGTTACGGAGGAACAGTACGAGACTGTCGTCAGGGGCCGTCTTGCAAAAGATGATTTTGTAGTCGACGATGGTATCGGCGGTTACATGGACAATGGTATGGACGACTTTGACGAGACAGGCAAGTACGCAGAAAGTGACGAAGAGGAGAGAAAGCCTGGTGAGCAACTTACAACACTAGGAGTCGCGCTTCTCATCTGTGGACAGCTAAGAAGAAAGACACGAAGCCGAAAGCAAAGGGCAAGGCGAAGCCTCAGCCTCCGCCACCTGCTGCACCGTCGATCTCCGCGTATCGGCGTAATTATACAGAGGATCAGGAACAAGACTTCCTCGGTTCTATTATAGGCCAGATGGACAGCATAGTACCCAAGGCCCCGGTGACGGCCCGGAAACGCAAACCAGATGGTGGCAAGCCGAAGGCACGGACTGGAGGCTACGAACGAAGCGCAAACTATGCTGACGCAGACACATCTTCTGATGGTCTCGTCGACGACGGTTTTCCGAGCGGCCCTCCGAGCGAAGACGACCTCGATGTCTTCAGTCCAAAGAAGAAGATGAAGACCGAGGACAGCGGCGTCGCACCAGCAATTGAGCGCATGGGCAAGATCCATATGGCAAGCAGTAACGGAGACGAGGGCGACGCAAACATGCACGACTCCTTCGACAATATAGACATGGATGCATTCATGGAGATTGACGAAGACCTCTTGGACCCGCCCTCCAAGCCTGCGCCCAAGGCGGTTAAGAAAGAAGAGGTCCAGGAGATCAAACTCGCACCATCACAGAAACTCAAGTCCGACGAAAAAAAGTCGCTTGACGAGACGCCTGCTTGGTTGTCGGTGTACGACTCGCTAACTGTCACGAAAGATGATACGCTTGGCCCGGCTGCAGGCTCGTCCGCGAAGGCAAACGGCTCCAAAGACGCCTCAGTGCTGGAGGAGGACGGCTCGCTGCGCTTCTTCTGGCTGGACTACCTGGAATATGAGGGCAAGCTATACTTCATCGGCAAGACACAGGATAAGAAGACGAGGCTGTGGCTTTCTTGCTGTGTCACGGTCGAAAATCTGGAGCGGAACCTGTTTATTTTGCCCCGCGAGCGTCGCGTAGAGGAGGACCCGGAGACGGGCGAATTGTACGAGACAGATGTAACGCCAACTCTGCAGGACGTCTACGGCGATTTCGATCGCGTTCGTAAGAAAGCGGGTATCAATGGCTTCAAGGCCAAGTTCGTCAAAAGACGGTACGCTTTTGGCGAGAAGGACGTCCCGCGGACTGAGACGCAATGGCTCAAGGTCGTGTATGGTTTCGACCGTATGTCTTGAACCGTTTATGTGACATGTAGCCCTCACATTAGTTTTGCAGAGCCACAAATATCAGCGAACATCTCTAGCCCTAATTTTTCGCGAGTCTTTGGCACGACTACCAGCGCGTTCGAGCTCCTGGTGCTCAAGCGCAAGATCATGGGCCCCTGCTGGCTCCAGATCAAGAAGCCGGTGATGGAGCACAAAGGAGTATGTCGTGCTGCTAATGCGCTAAGTCATTCCACTGATGATCCCTCCACAGGTTTCTTGGTGCAAAGTGGAGGCCACGGTCACGGATCCGAAGGACATCAACCCCTTCCCTGAGACTGACTCTAACGCGCCAAAGGAAGTGCCGCCGCTGACCGTCATGAGCCTCAGCATGCGTACTATTGTCAACCACCAAGCGAATATCCGTGAAGTTGTTTGTGCATCTGCCCGAATATGGTCCAACCGTGAGGTTTCTGCTGAAACAGCTGATAATCAAGACTGACATGAAGTTCAACGTCTCAGTCCAGCTCGAGGACCCGACGCCCCCGGAATCGCTGCCCTGCAGCGTCCACACTTTTGTTCGTCCTCTGGATCGGTTCGCGCCCAACTTCGAGAACAGGGCGAGAATGAACGGCAAAGGTGTCATTCACCCTATGCAGACGGAGCGCGTTCTGCTGAACAACTTGCTCGGTTAGCCCGGTCGTCTCTTTGCGCGCCCGTGCATTGTCCTAACCTCCTCACAGCGAGTGTCCATAAGGCTGACCCGGACGTTATCGTCGGTCACGATTTCGTCGGTGATTCCCTGGACGTGCTCTTGCGACGCATGCGTGACCTGAAGGCCGACCACTTCTCGCGCATCGGACGCTTCAGGCGGTCGAAATGGCCGAACATCGGCAGGCAGGGCACGAACCTGAAGTTCCTGAACGGCAGGCTGATGTGTGATCTGGCAAGCGATAGCGCCAAGGTACGCCTTTCGGTCTCTGCTACACAACTTTCCTGATTTGCAATGTACAGGGCATGATCTCGTCGACAACCTGGTCGCTGATGGAAATGTGCAAGACGCATCTCAAGAGCGACAGGCAGGACATTGACCCGGACGACACCGCCAGCTACTTTGACGGGAGCCTGAGCTCGCCAGACCGCCTGCTCACGTTCGTCCGACATTGTGAACTCGACGCGCATTACCAGATGGCGCTTGCTGCAAAGGTCCAGATCTTGCCTCTGACACGGCAGTTGACGAACCTCGCCGGAAACTCATGGTAAGTACGATATTCGTCTTTAAGCTAAACCTTGGTCTGAAATTCACTTACAGGAACAAGACCCTCAACGGTGGTCGTGCCGAGCGAAATGAGTATATTCTCCTACACGAGTTCCACCGTCTGAAATACATCTGCCCCGACAAGCAGTGGGGTAAGAAGGCTGAGGCGGTTGCTAAAGCCGAAAATGGAGACGGCGAAGGCGAGGGCGGCAAGAAGGGCAAGAGCAAGAGAGACAAATACAAGGGTGGTCTCGTCTTCGAGCCAAAGCGCGGCCTGTGGGACAAGTTCATCCTCGTCATGGACTTTAACTCGTTGTATCCGAGTATCATTCAGGAATACAACATTGACTTTACGACAGTGGAGCCGGTAGAAGACGAGGTCAGCTGCTGCCTAGCATGAAGATAGACGAAGCTGACGTCTTATAGGATGGGGAAGACAAGATCCCCGAGGTTCCGAACCAGGGGACCGAGCAGGGCGTGCTCCCACGACTTATTGCCACGCTCGTCAACCGACGTCGCCAGGTCAAGAGTCTCATGAAGGACCGCAAGGCGACGCAGGCGCAACTGCTACAGTGGGACATCAAACAGATGGCACTGAAGCTCACGGCGAACAGTATGTACGGTTGTCTCGGCTTCGAGTACTCGCGATTCTATGCCCGACCGCTCGCCGCCCTCACGACGTTCAAGGGTCGTGAGATATTAACGCACACACGTGAGCTTGCGGAGAGCCTTCAACTTGATGTATGTTTGCTGTAGTCTCTTTCGATGCGCTGTCTGACAGATTACAGGTCGTCTATGGTGACACAGACTCCGTCTTTGTAAATTCGAACGTAACCGAGCTGGCCGAGGCCCTCAAGATCTCGGCTGAGTTCAAAAAGGCGGTTAATGACCGGTACAAACTGCTCGAGATCGATCTCGATGGCGTCTTCCAGCGGCTGCTGCTCCTGCAGAAGAAGAAGTACGCGGCCGTTAAGGTCGAGGACGGCACACGGACGAGCGTCGAGGTTAAGGGTCTCGACATGAAGCGCCGCGAGTACTGTGCGCTGTCGAAGAACGTGTCGCAGTACGTGCTCGAGCAGATCCTTTCGGGTGAGGCGACAGAGACTGTCGTGGAGAACGTACACGAGTACCTCTCGACGATGAGCGGTGACGTCCGGGCGGGGAAGGTTAAGTTAGATGAGTTCATCATCTTCAAGGTGAGTGGTTGGCGTGTTTGCTATGTGTATCTTGGCTGACATAGCTGCTGCAGCGACTAGGCAAGAACCCGGAAGACTACCCCGATGCGAAAAGCCAACCGCACGTCCAGGTAGCGCTAAGGATGAAGGCTAAGGGAAGTGCTGCGCGCTCTGGCGACGTCATTCCCTACATATTCTGCCTGGGCGAGGGTGGCGAGAGCTCTAAGAGCGCGCAGGCCGAGCGCGCGAAGCACCCAGACGAAATCAAGAGGGCGGGCAGCGACCTGCGGATCGGTGAGCACCTCTCGACCACACTCCGTCGGTGGCACCTAACGCCGTGTCACAGACTACGAGTACTATCTCTCGCAACAGATCCTTCCGCCGATCGAGCGGTTGTGCGAGCCCATCGAGGGAACGGATCGGGCGCGGCTTGCAGAGTGTCTCGGTACGTGCTTTGAAACGATTTGTGTTGCCCTAATTGCTTATGTTGAGCGCTGCAGGCCTCGATCCGAGCAGGTATCGCAACGCGACGGGCACGGAGTCCGAAGGACGACACTTCGGCTCGCTCGACTCACTCATGTCTGATGCGGAACGGTTCAAGGACTCGGAGCCCCTGCTTATGCGCTGCCGCGCGTGCAAGGCCGAGACGGCATTTTCGCCCATCGACGACCGCAGCGTGCGTATCCCCCATGACCACAATAATGCATACAATAGACTGACAGCGACGCAGGCATCGATGCTGACGCCGGCGGGCGTGCGCTGCCCCGCGTGCGAGGCCGCGATCGGCGCGGCGAGTGTGCAGGTGCAGCTCGAAGTGCAGATCCGCGCGCACGTTGCGCGGTACTACGAAGGCTGGACGATCTGCAAAGACCAGACGTGTGGGGGACGCACGCGCATGATGGGCGTGTACGGACGTCGGTGCCTGCGGCCCGCGTGCAAGGGCATAGTCGCGTTCGAGGTGAGCCTTTCCCCTCCTCCTTTCTGACGATAGCAGCGCTGAGAAGCGATCAGTATTCGGACGCGCAGATGTACAACCAGCTGCGGTACTATGCGCATGTGTTCGACGTCGAGAAGGCGCTCAAGGGTGCCGTAAGCCGCAGGGCGGTCGAAGAGCTTGAGGGCATACGCGTGACCCAGGCGGAGCTCCTCGACGCTGTGCAGGGCACCGTCGACAAATACCTCGCGCAGTGCGGGCGGCGATGGGTCGATCTCGGGGCGCTGTTCTCGGTCATTCGGATATGAGATGCTTTCCGTGCATGCTGTCGATTCTTTGCGCGTTTTGTTGCATTTATTTACTGTGTGTAGCTATATCGTATCCTTTCCAAAGCATGACAAGGAAAACAGGCATCACGTATCATAAACTCTTCACGTCTCCCAGACACGCAACGATGGTTTGCACAGAGTTAGGTATTAGGCGGGTCACGTCATACGCTCGCCGATGCTCTAACCGCGTACTATAGCACCAGACGCCGACGTTGTCAATCAGTTCGACTCTACACATAACTAATGTTCTCTCGTGAGAATTCATGATGATGGACAGAACAAGGTTGGACATGGTGGCGCAGGAGTTCTGGGTAGAGCGTGACGTGACGGCAGCATATTGTTCCTCGCTGCTCGATGGGGATAGCAGAAGCAAATCTATGGAGTAAGCATCTGTGAGCTGCAAGTTGTCCATATCTGATTCTGCTTGGCTCTGACGATCCGTGAGGGCCTTTAGGTGCTCGGTTTGGACCAGGAGCCTGTGTGACACCTTGATCCAACAAAGCCTTGGCAGCAGGGATGTGGGCGTGCGAGTGTGTGGTAGGACTCTAGTGAAGCCAGAGAGAGAGAGGAGCCATAACTGCGTGATATGTCATCGAGATGCTGCAGCGACGTCAATGGTTGAGGAATCCAAAGGTCAATAAAACCACTGAGCCACTTCACAGTCCAGCTGGCTATCCATGAGACACGTAGTAGATCTACTACTGCCGACCTCATGAAGCCATCCAGTGGCATCCTGTGATTCTCTGTGTGTGTGCGAGTCGGAGGGACAAAATTATCCAAGCGTGCAATGTGGAATGATACGAGGGAGGCTTGGACGATGAACGCGGCACGCGCTAATCCGATCTGCCTGTGTGCAGAGCTCGATGAGTGAAAAATCTCTTGATAACTAAAGCACGAGGGCTGATGGGAAAGCCGAATACCAAGAGGGGCCGAGAGGGAGCCCCACGTAATGAAGGCACTCGCAACTAGCTTGAGAAACTCTTCGAGATATTTCCAGGTGCCTGCTAACAAAGATGATAGCATGTAAACACTGGTACTGGGCTTGTCCGGTGAGTTGAACTCGACAATTGAAGAAGGGTTGGGATAGAGGCAGCGGAACAAAGGGTCATCAAAAGGGTAGGACTTGCCGGGGACGAAGCATTGATAGAAGACTGCATCGTTAAGCCAGTTCTGTTGAAAGATATCCCAGAAGTGGTCAGTGTTCTTCAACGACTAGTACGGCGCTTAGGGTGTTTCCTGATGTTGGGTAACGCGTTCGGAGAGTGGCAGGAGTTTGGAGATATGGAAAGCCTCTCGACGTTTTCCTCGTACGAACACGGCATGGAGACTGAGCAGCTCTTCGCTGGAAGTCGACGCTGAGTGTAATGAACTAGGAATAGAAGCGATATAGGTAGTACTTAAGCGTATTCCGAAAGCACCACAGCCGAAAACGCACCGCTGAAGGCAGACTCATGCGGGAGCTATTGGCCGGTGCACTCGTTAGTTAGTGCAAGGTGTGTCCTAAACGGAAGAGATAATGAGCGCACAAGATTCAACGTTCAACGTTCAACGTTCAACGCTCCAACATCCAACGCACAACATTCGTATATATCAAATTAGCTGAGTCCCCTACCGCGATATTCACTTCCACCAGCGACGAAGCGTATGAAGGTTGCTATTGGACAAAAAAAATTGAATTTGGAGCTGGCGCAGTCTGTATGTACAGTTTGGCGGACAAAAGTGCGCGAACGTGAACGAACGAGCACGAACGCGCACGAACGCGCACGAAAGTGCACGAAAGCGGGCGAACATGTGTGATTGTGCACGAAAGTGGACGAACGTACACAATCGTGCACGAAAGCGCACGAACGTACACGATCGTGCATGACGCTGAGCTTTGGTTTTCGTTATGCCCTGCTTTGAGATTGGCGATGGCGCTAATGTGTGCGCGTTCGTGCGTGTTCGTGCATGTTCGTTCGCGTTTGTTCACGTTCGTGCGTGTTCGTGCATTCATTTTATTGTTCAGTTTGGTGTAAGTTAGCAATTGGCTTTCATTTTCGTGATTATGCATCTCATTTGAATCGTCGAGTGCACGAAAGTGCGCGAAAGTGCACGAAGGTGCACGAAGATAAACACCTAGCCAAAATGAAACTGTGACAAAATGAATACGTAGTTCATCAGATGCACACTTTCGCGCGCGGAAGTGCACGAAAGTGCACAAACGTGAGCTTTCGTGCACGATGGCGCACGTTAGTGACCAAACGCGCATCATCACGCACGAACATGCACGAAAGTGCACGAACACGCACGCAAAATCCTAGACGCACATCGAAAACAAAACTTTGCAGCCAGTGCGAAGGTGAGAATTTATTTCTGTCCAATAACACCCTTGATAGAAGCGTCTGTCATGAATATTCCGGATGGTTCTCCCGGATTCTACAGTATTCTTTCACTTTCTCTGCACCTCCCTATATCCGTAGTATATTCTAGATATTGAGTCTGACATGTATATAAGGAGTCCGTTCTGCTCAATAACAAGCCAGACTCGAGCTGGTCTTTCCTCACCTACTTTCCTCTCGTCTGTCTCCTCAGCTTCGTCGTAGCCCAGTCCAGTTGGATTGTTGGTTGCTGACAGCGTCTCACTCACAGTCACGGGAAGCGGCCCCTGAATCTCATCAAGAAAGCCCTGGCGCTTCTTGGATTCATCACATCCGTCACATATCAAATAACGATGAGAGGTAGTCTAGAGCTCACATTGGGTCGCGGCCCATGGTGGGTCTACAAGGCCAACGAAGATATGGCCAACTTCTACCTTGAAATTCCGGGCTTCCTTTGGTGGGTGTTCAGGGCTGAACTAGTGGATGAATTTGAACGGGTGGTCATCAAGAGCAAGAACCTCAATGACCCCAGATTGACCTTAGCGAAGGCTAAAATTAAGAAGGGAGAAGAAATGGCAACTTGTGGTACTGTTGTGAGTACACGATGCATGAATTCTTGTGTAGTCTCCGTTCAGGTGAATTGAACCCCTTTCAGGCTGGCACTGTCAACACAATGTTTTGCAAGCTAGAGTTGCCCTTCTTCCTGGCCGTCACTTGTGCCACCTCTGAGAGCAACCGTGAGCCCAACCTAATTCTATATCACACGCGAATACCAGGCAAGCCCGACCCGACTGCTCCCTACTATCTCGAGCAGAAGAAGAGAGACAGAAATAGCAAACATTATGGTCGCACAATATGGGCTTCTGCGGTTGCAATAGTCAAAGTTAATACCGATTCTAAGTTGGCCCCATTTAACTTCGACGACAAGCCTTTTGCAGTGACCACAGGGAACTTCGAACTGCACAGCCTGAGTTGGGAACCAGATAGCCGAGATTCTTGTGTGCAGATGATCAGTTATGTGACGGAAATTCATGTCTGTCAGCATCACTGCTTCCTCTTCACCACCTTCATCCAGGAGCAATTTGTTTGCTTCATGAGATGGGACTGCTCAGGTGCAATCATTTTGGAGTTACATGATTGGATGAAGAACTTGGGGGCTCTCCTTGAGCCCTTCTGGTGTCTTGCCCAGAGCACTGATGAGCAGCTTGGGTATAATTCTACTGCCACTCTTGTGAGCACAGGAAGCACAAGCAACTTCACACCGATCTCAATGCTGACTTTGAAGAGGAAGCTCACAGAGCTCAAGATGAGACATCACTCCAACAAATGGCTCACAAAATATATTGATGATGCAGCTCAGGATGATAGGAAGTACCCCTGGGTCAGGGTTAGTGCTTCTGCCTCCTCCAATATGACACAGATTAACGCTTCTCTCCTTTGTCAGATTATGTGTCAGGACATCAATAATCCTACCCATCTCCATGCATACTACATAGCACGGCATTGTGCTGGTTCTCGGCACTCTGCCTGTGGCTGTGGAACGAAGAACTACATTGGACTCGGATTTGACTTCGAGTCAGACAAGATGCAGGTCGTGTTCATCAAAGATTTCTGGTACTCAGAAGGTATGCGCCCGGAGCTGGAGAATTATGCACTGCTCCGTGAGCATAGGGTGTCAAACATCCCCTCAATGCTTGCTGGTGGCAACGTAAGAGGCATGGAAGGTGAAACATCACAGATGGCTGGCAATCAAGAATTTTTCTCAAACAACTTGACACGGCCCTCCAAGCATATCCACTGCTGCATCATCATGAAGGAGATTGGTTGCCATTTGGAGACATACATGGATCAGGTGGAACTTCTACGGTGCACTCATGATACCTTTGAGGGTATGAATATATAACCTGTTTTGTTGCGGAAGCACAACCTCACTGACCACTTGGTTTGATAGCACACAAGCTTGCATATGAGAGGGCAAAGCTTCTACACCATGACACCAGTGCAGAGAACATTGTTATCAATGTTGTGACTGGCAAAGGATTACTGATCGACTGGGGTTATGCCAAGGTTGTCAATGGTTCAACAGACTCGACCACCTTGGATCGCTCAGTATGTCTCTCATCTGTGCTCAGTATAAGTTGATTTGAACATGTATGTTGGTCATAGGGAACATGGATCTATATGTCAGGGCCACTGCTCATGTGCCCCCTGAAGCCAAACCATTTATTCGATGACCTGGAGTCATTTGTGCATGTCTTAGAGGTCTTTGGCATGCGCTTCCACCTGCATTCTGCCTCCAGCACATCAGTATTTAGGTCAGAAGACGGTGAAGAGTGTAAAATCTTTGATGCAGCAGCAAATTCGGAGAACTCTGACTTCACTTATACTGTCCAAAGCCACTACTACTTGGTGCGGAAACAGGATGGTTATTTTGTGGGTGGTGACTTGAAGTTCTCCCAGCTATTCAAGGGCATACCTCTTGTCACCTCTGGATGCTGATCAGGACCCCTTCCAACTTTGATCTCAGACTGGTATTGGATGCTTTCGCAGCACTACAGGACTCTCGACGAATGCAGTTGGAAGGCTGTTTGGGGTGGATGGAAAATTGAATTGCCAGTGTCTCAGGACAAGCAGAACTCTGTGAACAGCTGCATGCTTTTCCAGTTGACACATGAAGATCTGGACAGCCCATGGAGAGCTGTGCTTTCTAATAAGGCATTGCTCAACTCTGCGAAGCCAAAGACAGGGGACCAGTTTGAACACCTGCCTTCGGTGGATGGCTTCGTCTTTGTGGTGGCTGCTACCGGGAGCAAGACAAATGACGAGTACTCTAGTGTTCCAGACGCAATTTAAACACGACTCTCACATGTAGCACTTGGTCTGCAGAGCATATGTTTGTTGACACCACATCGCGCTGGTCTGCTTGTAAGTTATAGCCGACCTCAGTCGGAGAAAGGGACTGATCGGAGTTTAAACTTGCTCGGCATATTGCGAACACGGTTTGGAGTGATTTCGCCAACCTGAAAATGTGCGCACACAGAACGCATGTTTGCTTGCGAGCGACTGAATGTAAGGCCTCGGTGTCTGTATCTTCAAAGCGCAGCGGCTGTCGCCCGCGTATTTAAACTTGGGGCGCCCAGGCCTCAATCACCGAGCATAGATACGGTGACCGGCCATCGTTCTTGGCGTATACACCGCCGTCGGCGTTGGTCCTTTTGGTATGCGCGAATTTCCCATTGATATCATGTGGATTATAGACAAATCCCCCCTTTGAGCAGCGTCAATCTCATGGGTGGCTCGTTGCGACGGCTCCGCAGCTCGGGGCCGGTACTGCTAGTGGGCGCTGCGGCCGCTGCCCCTCGCTGCGCAACTTTCCAATACCCCCACGCGGAAACATATCCACACTGCTTCGCCATAATCTCTCTTACTGAGACGCAATTTGAGCAAACCGCGCTGCAATGCGGCTGCACAACGGCTGCGGAGCCGCAACAGCATTGACAGGCCGCAGTCTTCCAGTCCTCACGGCTCCGGTTCTAGGCGATATGAGGCCGTGTGTGCTCGGATATGGGTGCATCCAACCATATCCGAGCATGCATGGAGGTACCTGCCATGCTTGCGGCATGCTGCTGCGTCGATATGGTGGGTTGTGCTATGATTTGGAGGCACTCGATTCAGGAGGTCATATCAGAATATCACAATTGGTCTTCTGTGAGGCCCCATCGTCCTTCCATTATTCGCTGCGTACCCTATCGTATACGCACGATCTGGCCAATGATCTGAGAGAGCGGGCCGACGAAAATAAGGCACCGCCGCTGAGATTGGTCGCTGTATAGCCGACGTGCTGCGGTTGTTCTCACCTGCTATCAGGATACAATCACACTTGGTGCTTACCTACGCATCATCTGCCGTAGCTGTGCACACACCGCCTATATTCCGCATACGCTCTGGCTTTCCGCATATAATTGGAACAATCGACGCGCTTGGCCTCTCAACATTACCTCCTCCTCCCTTCCTCCCGGTCGTTTCCCAGATATGTCTTCCGGCAATGTTACACGTGAGTCATTTTTGTAGCGATCTACTTGCCTTAGACACCGACGCAGATTTCAGTTACACCCCAAGAGATATTTAATCTATCGCCCTACCACTATATCCCGACAGAATGGGTGTGCATTACGTTCCTAGTCCTCTTCTCCCTCGCCACAGGTACACTTAACTTGGTTTCTGTCTGTAATCCTATCTAACATATGCCGTAGCCGCCTACTTTGCTACCGCTCTATGGTATCGCTTGTGGTGGCTGCTCCCAACCGCTGTTCTCGCGGGCACCGGAGAGATCATCGGCTGGTCAAGTCGTCTATGGTCTAGCCTTAATTTTCTCAACAACAATGCCTTCGTAGCGCAGTGCGTCTCGCCGCTGGGGATCTTGTGACTTGGCCTGACTGCTCAACATCTAGAATTTCTTGCACCATTATTGCACCTACTCCTTTCCTCGCGGCAATATTTATTCTGTTCTCGGCCTTGTCGAGCAGGTTGGGACCTAATTATGGTCGACTCACGCCCCGCTGGTGTAAGTTTTTTTTGGCTCCATGTTGTTGATACATGTAGTGACATTGTCTCCGACAGACTCGTGGATTTTCCTGACCTGCGTAAGTGCGCTTGCTCCGACTATTGAGCTCAAATGGCTCACCTCATGATGTGTAGGACATTATTGCTCTGGCAATTCAAGGAACTGGTGGAGGCATCGCCTCCTCATCCAACGTCAACTCGACGGAGATCCTTGTACGTTCAAGCTCCTCTGCGTCGTCTGGAGCACAAGCTGACCGCCTCCTAGGGGAGTCATATCATGCTAGCCGGCATCATCTTTCAGCTCAGTGAGTGAACTCTTACTGGCACCTTCGGTGCAAGATGCTAACCATCCCATAAAGTTGCGTTGTCTATCTTCATGTGTCTAGCCGCCGAATACTTCTACCGCTTCCTCACCGACCGCCCGTATCGCAGCGTGCCGAATAACGACAGCGTTGCGACCCTCTATAGCAGGCGTCAGTGGACCACGAAGCTCAAACTCTTTTCTGCGGCCATGGGCTTCAGCACTCTTACGCTCTTTATCCGGTACGGAACTCCCAGTCCTTGTACCCTACATTTGCGCATGCTAACTGCCTGATTTCCAGAGCCATCTACCGTGTGATCGAGCTCGCCGACGGATGGAACGGCAGGGTTATTGCTACTCAGGTATATTTCAGTGCGTTATCTGCCTTCCATCGCCTTGTGTATCTGCTGACTGACCGTTGCAGACGTGCTGGACGGGGCGATGGTCGTCCTTGCGATGTACTCACTCGCGGTATTCAACCCTGGCTACTTTCTCTACAGCGCGCAGCCGGCGGGGGACGAGACCGACGAGACCGACAAGGAGGCCGACAAATCCCCCACTATTCCTGTCTACTAAATGTCGGCTGCAAGGCCCTCTTTTCTCACTCAAGCTTGACCGTAGATATAGACATGGACTGTACGATGCGGACTCTTGAGTATGTATGCCGTCTATGGTCGCAATACACATTCGGGCCTCCTTTTGGGGCTGCATTCAACCAGGGTCGTTGTGGTCCCAATTGGCGGTGATCGCACTGCCTGCAGGCCAGGCATCTGGCCACAGCGTGCGCGCGGACTGCCTGTTCGCAGATAAAGCCGCGCATATGTGTAGCCTGCAGACGCATGACTCGCGCGTGCTATTCTACGGCGATGGCCCCCGCCTCAGCAACGCTGTCACCGCAGGATCATATGGACTTTGCGTGAGCAATGGTGTACGACTAGTACTCTATTGCGATCCCTTCGTGAACGCATATATTATGCTAGAGTACACGAGTCTTAACGAAGTTGTGAGTATATTTTCCTGATAGTGTGGTGCTAGATCGCCATGCAATCGAAGCAGTGTGTGCCGCCTGCAGGACGTATTACTAAGGCTCGGGACGACGGGATCAGCCCAGCCGAGCAATATTGTCGGAGGTCAAAGATTGAAATGCTGATGCGCTCTCTGACTGATGCGCGATCCTCGGAGTTTTAATTGCGAAGCGGGGACCATCGAATCAGCTCCTCCACTGAGGCGCGACTCCGAGATCGAGTACGGGGTGCTTACCAAGGCTGCGTCCTGCTCGCTGACCTCCCTGACCTCCAGGACGCAGCCTCGGTAAGCACCCCGTACTCGATCTCTTCGACGTCGCCAGGTGCGCACTCGCCAGTGCATGCAGTAACGCAGATGGAGGTTAGACGGGACGAGGCGTGCGGATTTGTCCCTCGCGGCTGCACCTGCGGTCAGGAGGATCCCCGTACCTAACACTCCTGGGCGGGTTTGTGTTTGTCCGCTGTTGGACTCATCCTAGGCCGCGGGCCTCAAGGTGGCGATGATGAGCGCTTCGAGTCTGTTTGCGCACGTCGCTCATTCGACTTGTGTAAACTACCTTTAAACTCGACAAAACAATCGGTCTCCGACAGTTTCGTGGCGGCTGTCATCATTCGACGTTCAGGCCTCAGGTCTCTACCCACGACGAGGCCAATCTTAGGTCAATCTTTGTGCCAACAGAGGCGATGGACAGAGATATATGTCTGCGTCCCACGAGCATATTGCTCGCCGGAGATGACTCACCTCTCCCGAACGCAGCAACTGCGATCGTCGTCTACGTTAGCGCCACTTCGCGCAGGCCATGACCATGGCTAATTGTGAGTGTGGCTTGGGGCCCAGCCTAAAATATCGTGGATATAATCAAAGTACGCTCGACAGCTTGTGCGAGGACATTAGCGGAGGGGCCGCCCTTTGCAAGAACCCTGATGTCCTCAAGATCTTGATCTGCGTCATAGGAGTAGTCCACAAGTCCAGACAGGTGTGCCATTTGCGCGCACGTTGTGCAAATGGCGAGGAGCGATGGATCGCCTTTGGGATTCGGCTCAGCGGTGAGGCGAACTCACGGGAACAGCATACTACAACAGTTGCGGCATCTTATCGTACTTCACATACATAAGGAGGTATTATAAACTTGAGGACAGGTTGTTCTGCTCTTGTATGATCATGTTTATTAACGTTTCTCCGTTCAGACACTAGTACTCTGAGCGGACTTCTTGATGATGTCCGCAGCTGCAACCACATGCTCGATCAATCATTCAACAAAATAAACGCAAAACCCTTACCTTGCTCGGCAATCCCGTAGACGACCGCTGAAATGATGATTAATACTCGGACCAAGAAAACTCTGCTGTTACTCACCTTGGGTATGAACCGCAACCATGAGTGGTAATACCGACAGATCCACGACGCGGAGGTTCTTCGTACCATACACTCTCAGCTCCGGATCTACCACACCGCCAAGCCCCCTGGGCATCATCGAGCAGGTTCCGCAGGTGTCTGCAAGAGATAGTGTGAGTTGATAAGTTAGACTTGCGCTATCTCGATACATACGCCATGTTGTAGAAGTGTTTTTTCTGATAAAATCTGTACATCGTCCGTAAGTGTAAGTCACAATATGACATGCTTTTGCGCACCTTTAAGCTTCTCATCAGTGGAGACATCGACAGCCAATCCAGGTATCAACTCGAGGTCGACCAAATCATTGAACGGAGGAGTTCGGATGACCTTGAGAATGTACTTTAAGCCTTCGGCCATGATCTCCAGGTCCATCTCATCCTCGAAATAATGCGGGTCGATCCGGGGTTGCGCTTTTGGATCTGCGGACGCGATATGCTACATATGTGTCAGTGGCTGCTACGAGGATAGCCAGTAGATGCTTTCTTACAATTGCACCACGGGACCAGGGATGCGTCAAATTGGGAGTAACTCCCATATGCGGCTTTCGAGGCTCCGGCGGCTGTCTGAACATCGACGCGGAAACGAAATACTCGATATCGGCACCCTTGACACTCTCGAGAAGCTTCAGCATGAGCTCATATTGCTTGCGGAGGCCAGGAGGATAAGTTTCCCAGTTCTTGGCCAGCTGCGCCTTCTTCTTTGCGATCATTTCGGGCGCCCTATCTGTCATTGTCTGCAAGGGTGCGAAGGCTAAGGCATTAAGGACAATGGCATAGTCGATATCTAGCTTGCTAAGTATGTATCTGTCGAGTTGTTTTGCGTGTGGGAGACGGATGTTACTCACTGCATCTCTTTCAAGTCTGCAGCCACGCGCTCATCAGTCGCCAGCATATAGCCGGTGATGAGCCCTTTCCCTTCCTTCATACCTAAGTGAAGAATGTCATGTCAGACCCGCATTGCTACCTATCGCTGTCAAAAAATACATACGCAGGAATGGGGCCCGGCAGAGGTGATGCTCTTGCGAGTTGTTACCGACTGCCGGAAGGTCAACAGCTGTACGAATACCCAGAGGCTCCAGGATCTTCCTATCCCCGATTCCGCTGAGTTCGAGAATCTGAGGAGATTTGATACCCCTTTATGCACACCGCACATCATAAGAATACAAAGACAACCCAGATGGCCGGAGTGAGGCTTACCCGGCACTCAATATGACCTCGCGTGCAGCAAAGGCCTTCTGCGTCCTCCCACCATGCTCGAATTCGACTCCGCGAGCCACGACGCTCTCTCCTTCGCCCTCCGTCAGGATCCGACAAACATACGCCTCAGTTAAGACTTTGAGATTTGGTCTATCGAGTATCGGCAGTAGGTATGCCTTTTCACGATAATCTCAGACCCTCTGAGCATGAAGGAGAGGACGTGCTCGCACCGTTGCAGCATCCACCCGACGGCCTGAATCTGGGTCGAAAGTCGATAACCCTTTCCAGGAACCTATTATCTGCGGGCACGGCCTTAAGTGCGATGGATCGTTTATGGCGGAATGAGCACTCACCTCACCGCCCAGCTGGTAGAAGAGAGTTTAGCGGTTGTAGCTGGCGACATTGATGACACTCGACTTACTGCATCTGTGAGGACGTCGAGTCCATTCTTAGCCAGACTCTAGAAGGTAACGGGATTCAGATCGTTGTGCGCTTGGCCACGGCCAGTGGCAACGAACCTGTTGGAATGCGGCATCGGCGCCAGATCCGGTGGGAACGAAGGACACGGTAAGCGGACCTAAAGGAAAGGTTATTGTGAGCAGATGTAGAGAATAAAGAACGACGAGCCATCGTGTCCGACGGAGTCCGGGTGATAGAGGTCTCGGAAGCTATCGTCGATCTCGCGAGGGCGAGGTATGCGGAATCTGCGATGACGCTGACTGAGCGACGATGTGCATATCTGCAGGAGCGTAAATACCCTTCTGCCTTCTTGATATACTTCTGATAAGACTCCCAGTTCCAGCCCGGGTTTCCTAAAGCTTCCAAAGCTGGGCCACAGATCAGCTCGCCAAAGCCGGTAGGAGGCAACCATCCACGCACCATCCATCTCCTCGCGGGCTGGTTTGGTGTAAGCAAGGATGTTCATCTTAGAGCTGCCACCAAGCCCCGTCCCTCTGTAGTTCGCTTGTGAGCGCTATATCATGAAACATCGGGGGACTGCTCACCGACTCCAAGGAAGGAGGTGCGCCTGCGGGGCATTCTCTTGGGGTACGACTGGGAATGCCCAGTCGTACTCGGGGCTCCCAAATTGTTTGCTAAATAGTAGCGGGCTGTCTGATCGGTAGCACGGTACATCAGTGTCAAGTACCTGTATATCCGGGGCTGTCTTACTGATCAAAGGATCATCGAAGTGAGCCTTGCCTGCCTCCAGAACTGCAACGGTCACATTGGGATCCTCACTAAGGCGATGGGCAAGGACAGATCCCGCAGTCTATCAGGGTCAATTAGCGAAAAATAGCGCCTTAAAGCGGAGTGTCGTACCCCACCACCTGAAGGAAAAGCCTCAAATAAGCATGCATTACCTCAAAATGTCTGAGGCACTTGCCAATAATGATGTAGTCGAACGCTCTGCCGTCGATGTCTTGGCTGCGAGCCAACTTTTCCGCCATCCCTTATTTGCAGTGGATCAGAAGATGGTGGGAAGATATAGTGGGAACAGCGAGCTCACATATATAGTGAGGTGCCAAACGGGTCTGCAACGTTGCAAGAGCTGGAACGCTTCCCGCTACTTTGATGATGAGCACTTTACGTTGAGCGGAATTCTAGGAAGCAATACAAGATGTCCGACCCCTGGCCCTAGACCTCTTCAATACGGTCTCTATCAGCTTTGTCTCGTGATTTTTTTGGCTTGTGTACAGTCAATGTGGGCTGCGGCATGTCAGCAATGCGACCCTGTTTATCTGATACAATTACATGCGCCAATTCCGCGAGCTGGACAAGGGCACTGTTACGTTGTCGCGTTCGACAGGCTTAGCGGTGCGACACGGCCTCGGGCAGTACGTAGGACCTTATGACCGACCGGCTCCGCACTGTATGGGCACGCCAGCAAACCCCGGGCCGAAATCAGAGCACAGACGACGCATCCTGGCTCAGAACAAACGTTGCGAGGGCGCCGTTTTTTTTTCTGCCACGGCCGTGGGTTCGATAGATGCTGATCATGGCAAGGTTGAATAGAGCAGGGCGGGCGAAAGGTCAAAACGAACCCTCATTGCAGTGATAGTGTACAAAGTACAGGTGCTAGCGTAGCTCGAGTTGTCTTAACATTGCTTGAGAGATCTAGACTGTTTTCGCCAACGCGTCAATGTCAAGATATGAATCCACACTAGTATTGGTGTCGCCTAGGGCACGGGCCGGCTGCGCGGCGATGTTGCTCCCGTCTCGGGATCCATGGATTGCGGCCACGAACGTGCTGACTAGAAAGGCATTAGCTGGGCCGATGCGGTCTCTCGTAGGCGTGGTAGACGCGGCCTCCGAAGGAGCGGTACCAAGAGCGCCTGACAACAATGGACGACTACTGCCGCGCTGCATGGCTATAGTTGCTGCAGATCGTGTTCTGCTTGATATAATATCCCTGCAGCATCGCTACAGAGCTAACGCATCGAGGTTGGCACTTACTAGATTACGAAGAGATCAATATCCCCCAATAATCTATATGTGATATTTCCTAGACGTGTTGAATCTTGCTACAGGACATCCGTAACTCATAGTTATCTACAATCACGCTTGCTCAAAAGAAACTTGTACTGCAAAGCCTTGATCAAAGGTAATGGCCTCTCATAATGCTCACAGAGTCAAGAAAGCTCAATATTGTCCTGCCCTTACGCGGGGCTCCACTCAAAGTGCTCCGAACCCTTCTTCACCTGTCCACCGAACCGCCCTGCGTCAGAATCCCACCTGTCGAACTTGTGCGCGCCGAACCAGTCGAGCTCGGCCTCCATGAACATCGTCGGGAGCACCGGCGCGCCCACATACTTAATCCACTCGAGCGACGCCGCAAGGGTCGGGACGTGCGCGTCGCGCTCGAGCGCCCAAAGCATCACGCGGCGGAGGCTTGGCATGGCCGCCGCGAGCTCGGAGGTCAAGTGCGGATGTGCAGGGATCGTCGCTGACGCATCCTTGGGCTTGGCCATTTCGTTGCCGACGGCCGACCCGTTGACATTGCCGGGCTTGCTGTCGAAGTCCGCGACGACGGGCTGAAAGACGTCCAGCAGTCCGTCGGAGGAGATGATGCAGCCGGCGCGCCAGATCTTGAGGCATGTGCTGAGTGAGACGCCCCATTCTTCCTTCTGACTCTGCCGGGCGATGAGCTGGAAGCCCTGCGTGAAAGAGGCGAGACAAGCGGCATAGACGGCCTTGCGAATATCCTCAACAAACTGAGATTTCTCGTCCTTGCCCAGAGTGGTGCGAGGAGTGATGGGCGGAGGGGGTAGATTGAGGCTCTCACCGATCTTAAGGCGTGCGGTGCGGTCGGCAGAAGCCAGACGGAAAAAGTGGGAGGCGGCGATCGTCGGGGAAGAAATATGGATACGAGCTGCTTCGGCGACAGTCCAGGTGCCTGTACCTTCGGTGCCATCGGCGTCTTGGACGACCTTGTCTGCGACGGTAGACAAAACATGTTCTTCATTGTCAGATGCGCCAGTCTTGCCAAGCGACGGGTCACGCTTCTGGCAGATATCGACCCCAATGTCGATCAAGAACGTCCTTTTCTATAGTAACATCAACATGAGAAGGGGCAGATGGGGGCAACTGTGCTTACCAGTTCCGGCGTATTGCTCCATTGCTCGAAAATTTCGCTAATCTCATCGAGCTCGCATCCCAAGTTAAAGCGTAGCAAGCCCCAAGCCTCCGCAACTGCACCCATCATGCCCTGCTCGATGCCGTTGTGGATCATCTTGACGTAGTGCCCGGAGCCGCCAGGCCCTATGGGGGCGACACACGGATTGCCTTGCGAGTCCTTGGCAGAGACCTTCTCCAGCAGCGGCATAACGCGTTTCAGTGCGGCGGAGTCCCCTCCTGGCGAGATCGAAGGTCCGTGCCTCGCGCTTTGGTACCCGCCGCTGACCCCCATGCCGATGTGATCAACATTTTGCTCGCGTTTAAGCTGGGCCTGGCGTCGCTCCGTGTTTTCATACCACTCGTTGCCGCCGTCGAGGATGATGTCGCCCTTGGCAAGGTGCGGCCGCAAAGCCTCAAGGACTTGGTCGGTGGGATCGCCGTGAGTGATACTGAAGACGAGGAGACGGTGTCCTGGGGACGGAAGAGACATGACGAACTGTTCGTAGTCCTTGTAGCCCTTAACTTTGCCCTTTGTTTTTGGATTCTTCTCCGCCATGCCGACTGTGGTGTCGACATTGCCGCACTTCACGTCGAACACAGACACCTCGGGGCCAGCCTCTGCGAACAGCTGGCACATCATCGACCCCATGCTACCAGCCCCAACAATTCCGATCTATTCAACATTAGACGTGGCGACGCAAAGATACGCGGCAAACGCATACCTTCGTGTACTTGGTTGTGCTCATTGTTTCGCGTTCGAAGATGTCAGGTAGCCGAAAGGTGCAGACAGCAGCATCGCTCCTGTATGTCTTTTATGCTGCGAGTGGTGGGGGGGCCGACGCCTCATCTACGTCACCGAGCTGCTAGTGAAGTCAGTGTCAGTGTCAGCCTGCTTCTTCCAGCTGGCGAACTTACTATCGGTGAGCAGGTCTCCTGGAACAAAGATGGAAAGAGTTTAGGTATACCACAGAGAGACACTCAATCATAGCAAAGTTTTAGTAGCCTGAAATGGGCCACTCTGAGCGAGCATATGAACCCCATAGTGAAGACGACTGTGATGTCCAAGGAGCTGTTCAAGCGCGGATGATACGGTTGTCCAACTTTGGCAATTCCACGATAATCATCTGATCGCACGTCAAAGAGCGATCGTAGGCTTGAGCCTCATAATCTGTAACGACTCAATATAAGACCTTTCCATGTAATTGGATCTCGTCTGAAAAGCTCAGTACTTGCTGCATGCCATCGTTAAGCTTGACGAGTCAGGCTGCTAGGTGATTATCTCACAGCAACTGAAAATACTGTGAGTACAGTACAATATTGAGGCTCTGAAATTAATGTTGTGCTGGCAAGTACCTACGAGACAGCCCAATCTCGGCAATACGATATTCATACTCACTCGTAGATGAAAACCTCGCTGCCAGTGAGACCCACCAGGTGTATACAGCAAATAATGTGGGGTTGGCTTTGACTCCAGATACTCTCCTACTGCACCGATCTTCTCTCCTAGCAGATGTCTTTGCTGTCACAGCACATCACCGCGTTTATCGAGAATCCCGGAATAGGTGCGCAGTAAATGGACACTCATTTCGTTTGATGGGAGCGGACGCAAGGCGACCGCTGACTGCTAGATGGTGAAAGCGATATCTATTGTAAAGACCGAACAGTCGCACGAAGGACGGACGCTTCGAACCCAAGCATAGCTAGCCTACTAGCGTGTGGCGTATTGTGACCAGAGATACGAACAAAGGAGCCCGCATGGTATCTCGTCGCTCGTAGTACAACTTCAGGTATTATTTGTCAGGCGCATACGAAGATTTTCTGCAGGTGGTTAGAATGTTGAGTACCCTAACCACTACACAGACTGGATGTTCGAAGTTAAAGCTTAAAGCCGTAACTTTCTTGGGTTCTTGATGTGCGCAGTCGACGGTGCATGTGGTTAACTCGGGGCAGCCGGCTTCCTCGCCATTGCAGGCATGTCTGCATTCGCCCTACACGTGTACCGACATCGAATGATTGGAGCTGTGCTATGCAGTGCCAGCGCAGATATCTTCGCGCTGCTTCGCACGGTGCGTGGCAACCGAGGAGGACAGCATGACCTGTCTACGTAGTGTTATTTAGGTTTTGAAGGGTCCAAGACACCAGTCAAATTGTACTAACTGTGGCTAATTATACAACATGAGCAGCTAAATAAATCGAGCCCCGTTGCGAGAGAGCAGGTTGTAACCGCCTGCGCGAGGGAAAGCATCGCGTTTGTACATTCGCGCTGTATCTGTACCGTATTCGGGAAGAAGGCCCGGAGGGCAAGTGATGTCAGAGTTTATGTGTCAAAGTTGCCCATTTCGGGACCCGCGGGCATCAGGCGATACGCCTGTGTGCAACCGCCATCCACAGCTTCGACTTGTACCGCTTGCCCCGTTAATTCCAATCTCTGATATTCCGTCAAAACGTGAGGCTCAGCGGCATGCCGCCAGCTGCAGCTCACACGCAAGGCTCTCCTCCCGGCGACGAGGAGCTTACGGCTCTCTACCATCAGGTCCTCATCGGCTTCGCGGAAGAGTCACCTACCTCTGAGCATTCGTCCCACAAGCTCCCGTCGCCAGGTGAACGCGACTACGAACGGGCGTACAATCAGTACGTAAACGACGGGGGTGATACATCAAGATCGATGCAAACCAAGACAGTCCGCCCGACGCAACCCGCCGGTATGTACTGTCTCGAGCGAGACGTGAAACCTGATGCTCATACACTGAGCTCCATCTACAGCTCCACCACCTGTTGGCCTTCCATCCTCACCTAGAAGCCTGCCCACGCCCGTCCCAACTTCTCCAACGTCACCCAGACAAGTCCGACGGCTACCACCTATCCCTAGCTCTGCGGCCGCCATGCCACCACCACCGCCGCCGCCGCCCCCACCGTCTTTCCCGGTCCCCGATACTCATGCAACATACTATGCAGACTCGCCGTCGCAGCCTCGTCCCAGTTCTGACTCGTAAGTAGGCCTGCGTCTCCATTGCAGGACGGTGTATTTACCATTCACAGTGGACGCCGCCTACCAGCGCCGCCAGTACAGCCAACCAACGGCGTGAACGGGCATGCATCGCCTTATGCGGTCCACAAAGGTCTTCCTCCTGAACCACGTCCGCGACAACTACCGAACACAAGCCGGCCCGGTTCTGGCAATAAGTCCGTAGGAGATGTTCCGCACATATCGATGCCTATACCGGAGGTTAGCACTGAAGCTGAAACGAGGGACTGGAGTTCCCCCAGTGAGTTCAGTGATGGTACTGTTAGTAGGCAGCCTTCCGGACGCTCGCAAACTAATGGGCACGACGACCGGCCTCCGCGTTCGCCGTCTTCTCTGGGCGACATGTACGATTATCCCCCGCCGCAAAATCAGGCTTCAAGCCAGGCCTTGACACCGACTGCGCCCTCGATATATCCAGACTCAAGCTGTTCGTACCTCTCACGAGTTGATCAGGGAAGCCGCTACTTAACGCATTCACACCAGATTCGCTCGGCAGGTCTCCGTCGAATGCCTCATCACAACCAGCCAGTGTCGTCCGCAACGTATCGACGACTACCACTTCAACTTTTGATTCGGGTCGTTCTTCTTCTCTCTACGCCGACAATGACACGATGATCATAGGCGGGTCTTCGACCGCAGCTACGACAGTCGATCGAGGGAACTCCGTTAGTTCTTACGCCTCTCGATCGACCAACAACAGCTGGGCTCCTCTTCCTCCTGCAAAGAATACACCCGCAATTGATGTTGGCTACCTACAACCGCAACCCGGCCCGTCGCACGCTCCCGCAGTGGCGTCCTCGAGCAGGTCTTGGAAGGACAACGATATCATTCGCACACTGCAGGACATAAAGCGGCCATTGCAGCTACACGAAAGCTACGAGGAGGAGGAGTATTACGACGACGAGGATCCCAGCGAAGAGGGCGACGATCGGTATTTCAACCCCGCGCAGCTGAGCCACATTGCCGTACGCCTGCGGGACAAGGTTCCGCGAGGGACACATGTGAAGGGCAGCATACCATACGAGCGTGCCTTTACAGGCAAGGATATTGTGGTAAGCTAGCCCACTTCCTGATTTGGTGGTTAATGTACTCAGAAACGTCTAGTCCACGATCCAGTCCCAGATACAACGAGATCTTCTCATTACGCATGGGATCTCGACGAACGACAGGCGAGCGGCACTCCAAGTCGCGCGTAGTCTGCAGTCACAGTTGTTCTTCTACGAAGTCGAGTGGGGCGGCAAGCTTTTGCAAGATGGTGTCGAGGATGTTTACATGTTCCTGGACGACCAGGAGGGTGGATCCGACGCTCGCATGGAGCAGGAGGAGCTGCCGACAGCCGTTATCACTATGCTGACCAAGTGTTACTCCGTGACATGTGATGAGGGAAAACCTTGTTACTTATATTCCTGTCCGCGCAAGGTGCGCTTTTACTCGCACGAACTGAAATAGATATCCTGAAACCTTACGTGCAGAAGAACGTGCTTGCGGCAATACCTGCTCCTGACACTGACCATACGGAAGACAAGGTGAGGCTGGCGGTTTCACTGGCACGGTGCGATGCTAATATTTGCATTGTATAGGATGAATGGGTATCGACGGTGCCCCCTGAGCTGTTGCAGACCTTGCCAGAAAGCGAAATTAACCGTCAAAAGTACGTTGGACGTGTAAATGAGTCGCAGTTTGGGCTCTGATGTTTCGCATAGCATCATCTACAAGGTCATCAGTAAAGAGAAGCAGTATTTGCGGGACCTCGATACTGTGGAATCGGTACGCCAAATATACGATATATTCCATCTCTTACCTGACTTGGGTGAAAACCAGCTCTTCATCCGCCCTCTCCGAGCTGCCCGGCCTCCAATTATTAGGCCGGATGACATAGACGAATTCATCGATGACGTCTTCCACAATATTCTCGACCTCCGGGAATGCAACCGCAGGTTGCTAGAGGTTATGTACGTTAGGCAAAGAGAGGAGGCTCCTGTTATTCATGGTATCGGTGATATCTTCCTCGACGCTGCCACCGAATTCCGGCTCGCGTACCCAGCTTACGTTGGGCACCTTCCTCTGGCTGAGAAAAGGCTAAAAGACGAACTCGAGCATAATGCCGAATTCCGACGCTTCCTCGAGGTAAGTCTTATCTCACTGGTATCGAAAACGGCGCGTTCTTATAGGACTATCCTTAGCAATGCGCACGACACCCAGATGCCCATCGGTTGGACCTCAAGCACTTCCTCAGTCGGCCCTCTGAGCATTTGCAAAAATATCCGGCCACGTTGGAAGCCATCTGCAAGGAGACAACGGAGGGCAATCCTGATGCTGAGTTCCTCAAAGAGGCGATCGAGGCTATCAAGAAGCTGCAGACCGTCGCTCAGCTCTGGACATTCCAGTCAGCCATGAACAAGGGGCCCAGCGGCAAGCTTGAGTGGTACAACTTGGTCCCTGAGGAGGTTCGCAAAGCCATGCCGAAAAAGGAGGCGAAGCGCCAATCGTAGGCCTATAACTCTACCTTTGCGGTTGACGACTAATGCTACGGGCCAGTATCATCTTCGAGCTAATTAAAGGCGAGATGGACTACGTGAAGGATCTCGAGAATATCGAAGTGGTGAGTGATATCATTCACAAGATATGCACTTACGGGCATGTTGACCGTCTTTGACAGATGTATGTTCAACCACTCCGCGAACTAGACCCTCCTATCGTCCCACGGGAGCGTCTCACTCAGTTCATCACCGACGTTTTCCACAACTTCGGCGAGTTGCATATGCACCACCGCAAGATGCTTAACACCTTCCACGAAATCCAGCGGGATGAGCATCCGTCCATTCGCAGTATCACTGCGGCAATTTACGATGCTGTTCTCAACTTCCGTGAGGCGTACATGGAGTATATCCCAAACTACCCCATTGCTGCCTACCGTATCGATGACGAGATGGCCAATAACCCCTTGTTCCAGCAGTTTGTTGAGCAATGTACCCGTCTTCCGGATGCCAGGAAGTTGGACATGAAGGCGTTTATCAACCGGCCAATTCCCAGGTTGCTTCGGTACGAACTGCTGCTGAAGGGTGTTCTCGAGGAGACGCCTGAGGGTCACGAGGACCGGGAGACTATCCCTCAGGTCCTGGAGGTCGTCAAGGCTCTTGGTAAAGAGACTGAACCCGGTGTCGTCTCTGCGAAACAGAAGGTTGAGGTGTGGCGATACAACTCCAACTTAATGTTCAAGCCAGGAGAGGCGATCGTGAGCAAAGAATTTTTCGTCCTGCGATCTTGTTTTTCTCACGCTACGAGTTTAGGATATGGATCTATTGAACGAGAACCGATCGCTAATCCACACCGGGAAACTTCTTCGCCAGCCTGATAGCGGTTTCGAGTGGAGTGGTTGGACAGAACTCTTTGTTCTACTCTTCGACAACTACTGTATGTTCGGGCGTCTACTCTTGACGTCCTGCCAAACAGCTCATCATTTTGCAGTGGTCATGACGAAGCCTAAGGATAGGGATGGCGTCTCGAAATACCAGGTGTACCGCAGGGCGAGTATTCATGTGACTCTGACATGACATTCAGTTTTTGATGCATCATACAGCCTATCCCACTGGATCTTCTGACGCTCGCCAACTTTACGGACCCGGCGACAACGCGAAACACAGGTCTTCTGCGCCCACGATTGCGTGGAGAGAAGCATGACACCAACTCGCCTAATCCTGGCGCGACATCGAGTCCAGAAACAGCGACCGACTCCCGTGCGGTGTACCCATGTACCATTCATCATAATGGTAGACTGGGCGGCCTTTGGACGCTCTACGCTGAGTCTGCACAAGCTCGGAATGAATGGAAGCAGAAGCTGGACGAGGCGATCGGCCTTCGGAAAGCGGTTCAGGAGTCCAATAAGGTGTTCGAAGTTGAGACGCTCAGTGCCGACACCTTCCTTGTGCCCTCCGTTCTTCCCGGGGCATCCACCCAGCCGTGGAGTCACGAAAACGCATACACCGGGAAGGTCACTTGCTCTGTACCGTTCAGTACGTTGAACTTCAGCTTCGATGGCTCAGCAGCAGCTAATGAAATTATTCAGACACTGCTGACGGTCGTGGACTGGTCGCCATTGGTTGTGCGGAAGGTGTTTGGATTGGGTTCCGGCACGATTCAAGATGTGGGTGTTGCTGCGTGTCCCGCCTTTTCTTGAGCGACTGACCTGTGGCTCTAGCGATGCGTCGTGTACTCCATCTCAAGATGGTTACACAATGTGCCATGCTCGAAGATTTCGGCATTTTCCTTGTGCTCGCTGACAAGGTCGGTTTCCATTGGGTAAAGACAGGCGCGCGCTAACCTGTGTTTACCAGTCACTCTTTGCGTACCACATAGAGGCCCTTGTACCATCATCGCCTACGAGCGCGCACACGTCTCAAACCCCCCAGAAGCTGAGTGGCAACAAGGACGTCCATTTCTTCAGCGTCGGCAATCTGAACGGCCGGACCCTTGTTATCTATATGAAGAAGAAAGGCGTAAGTACTTTGACATTCCGCTGTGAAACGCTTCTCACAGTCTGGTTTTAGTTGGACAGTGTCTTCCGTGTGCTCGAGCCGGTCATTGGCAAGATCAACGAGAGGGCTGAGGCGCCTCGCAGCTTCGGCTCACGTCTCGGTCTCCGATCACAACGATCAGAATGGTTCCGAGTCTACCGAGTGAGTGCGCCTGCTCTGGCATCGCCGCCGCTGACTTGACGGACTGTCCAGGACTTCTTCCTGCCTTCTGAGTCGTTCGACTTAATCTTCCTCAAGGCCAAGATTGTCATCTTGTGTACAAAAGGCTTCGAAATCATGGACTTGACCGAGTAAGCTATAATTTTCACGTGCGGGACGGCCCTAGCTCATTGTTATGTAGCTTCAAAAGTGTCACCATTCCACAGCGCGACGACCCGCGTCTCGAGAAGTTGGCTAAGCGGTGCGAGTCATGTAGGCCTATGGGGATGTTCCGTTCAAGTAAAGACGAGTTCCTGCTTTGCTACGACGGTAGGCGCCATAAAGTTGAATTCCGCCCCTATGCTGACTTGTGTTAGAATTCGGTCTCTACGTTGATCGTCACGGAGACCCAAGTCGAACAGGGCAGAGCGGCGCGGTACAGACCATCGAGTGGGAAGGCACTGCCGAGCATGTTTCCTGGCATCCCCCGCATGTTTTGCTCTTCGATTCGCGTTTCATCGAGATCCGACACATTGAGACCGGCCGGCTCGCGCAGATCATTCCTGGCAACGAGATGCGTTGCATCTGGGATGGCCGAGGCACAACGACGCAGACGCCGGTGACACCTGGGCCTGACGGCTGGAACGAGGGCATCTCGCAAGAGCCGCGCGTGCACGGCGTGATGAACTCTCCTGACCCGGCGCCTCCACCGGTGGGCCCGAACCGTGGGGGCCCGCGACCCGTCGCGCAACACGTCTTCGAGCTAATCCCCACCATCCCGCTGTACCTCCCTGGGTCGCTTTCGTCGCCCTCGCAGTCGACATACTTCAACCAGTCCAATTCGCCGCCTCACTCGCCGCGACTGAACCCTACGCTTTCGTGGAGATCATAGCGTGGTCTCTGTTCCACCCTTTGTTTCGAGTCGTTAAGCTTTCGTCTTCCGTTTGTATCAGCCTGTTGCATATTGTTTTGATAACCTTTCAGAGGATTCGCAATATATTTAACGTATCATACCTTTTGGATTGGTTACTATTTTTCTACCTCCACTTATTCTTGCAGCGCCAGATACGTTCGTGGGTTAATGACAGAACTGGCTTTAGCTGCGTGCTACAATACAGTGGCGAGTGTTACATGGCTAATCGCAAACTAGTTTTTCGGTCGATCGTTCCATCCATCCATGAACTGAGCGAGGCTGCTTTAAGAGATAGTGATCTTCTTCGGAGCTTGCTCTGCAGTAGTCTTGGGGAACGTCACAGTGAGGACGCCGTTGTCGAACGAGGCCTTTACGTCGTCGTGCTGCAAAAGGCAGTCGTCAGCACCTTGCTTAATCTTTCTGTTATCCAGCGCGCTGGTACATACCTTGACACCCTGGGGCAGCGAGATCGAGCGCGCGAACTTGCCGTAGCGACGCTCGCGGACGACGTAGCCGTTCTCATCGCGCTCGGCGGACTGCTTCGACTCGCCGGAGACGGTGAGGACGTTGTTGTGCACGTCGATACTGACGTCCTCTTTGTTGATGCCCGGCAGCTCGAACGTCGCCGTCACCGCGTTCGCTTTGTCGTCCTCGTGTACATCCATCCTGACGGAGATGCTCGTCAATACCCTGCGCGTGCCCAGGACAAGTGTGTTGGGACGACGTACCTTGGTCGTAAGGCCCGGCCCTCGGAACCCTGGCGGGCAATCTGGTTGCTGCCGCCGTTTCCGCCGGCATCGGTGCGTGCATTAAACGCCTCTTCGAAGAGGCGGTCGAAGTCGGAGAGGGTGTAGGAGGGCTCGTAGAAGAAGCGGGGGAATGACATTGTGGTGTGTGTAGCGAGTTGGGACGAGATTATTGGAGGATTTTCTTGGATGATTCTTGTTTTTTTGTTTTGAGGTCTACCTGCTGAGACGTGTGGTTTAAATACCTGTGCCAGTAAGACGACTACGGTCTATTCATCGAACATCCTGGAAGGGCACATGTCCTCCAGCAACTTCTGGACTGGCGCAGAAATTGGAGTCTCGGCTGGATCATGACCTGCAGTGAGCTATACAAAATATCTCATTACATGACGCAAGCCCCTAACGGTGTTCACGCACATTCAGGAAAAGGAGGCAGCCGAGAAGAACTCTAGAGTCGGACGCCCAGAACAGTCGAGAAACTTGGAGGCGCTCGCAGAGGCGTTGTGGCGCGGCAGTCCAAACACTGATCAACAAATGCGAAATCCTCTTCGCCTTCGACATCGACTGAGTTCAGTGCTGCGAGCAGTTGCTGGACTACACCACAACATGTCGATGGAAAGCAAGGTCATAGCTAGCAGTAATAAAGCTTCTCGTACGGCATCGTCTGTGCACGACGTTTCGGCTGAAAAGCCACCATTCGGAGCTCGGTCAGTCGCAGCCATCTCTGTTCGTATTCTAAACCGACAAGAGATTTTTCGTGCACGATAGATTTCTGACTCCAGATCAAGATGTGTGGAGTCAAAATGCGTGGGACCATGTGCCGCCGCCCGACGACCAAGATGATATTATCGCTGCGGCTATAGCGAGACAAAAGTCGGCACCTGTCCCGGAAGACGAGAAGAAAAAACACAACGAAAAACCTGCGAAAAATTGGTGAGATATACTGGAATTCTGAACCTCGAGCTTTTCCAATAGATCTCCAGGGATAATTTCTACAAGGCGAACGCGGGGAATTTCTTCCGCAACCGTAAATGGTAGGTGGACCTTCTCTTGGCTCGGCATATTGATAACATGAATAGGCTACACCTAGAATTTCCAGAGCTTGTTAAAGCGGCCGAGCCTGAGGTCCGTGCGTTTTCCTCCAGCCTCTCGTCTTCGAAAGCTTATGTTAGCGATAGACTGGGCCGTTAACTATCGCGGAGATCGGCTGCGGTAGGTCGGATTACGATGGCCTGAGATGATAATGAACTCACTTCAACGATTTTTCAGGCGCTGGAAACGCCATATTTCCTCTCCTGTCCGCGAATCGTAATCCCAACCTGACCTTGCGAGCATATGACTACTCGTCGCATGCAGTGAAATTGGTGCAGGTACCTATCGAGTTCATTACCCTTTAGTCCAGTAATCGATGTGCCCCCTCTCAATAGTCGAACCCGCTCTATCAGTCGCCACCTTTGGGAAATATCGAGGCTGCAGTCTGGGACCTGTCTTCGAATTCTTTGCCAGCAGGGCTGGAGGGTGGCGCGGACTTCATCATCCTGATCTTTGTGCTCAGTGCGTTGCACCCGAACGAGTGGCACCAAGCCATGACAAATGTCCATAAGGTACCCGTCTCGAAGCGCCTCTCTGCATTTGTGCTTTGCTGACTCACCGAGCTGCATGATACGACAGCTATTGAAGCCTGGGGGAATGTTGCTCTTTCGGGACTATGGGCGATACGACCTGACACAACTGCGTTTCAAAGGCGGCCGTCTTTTAGAAGACAACTTCTACATTCGTGGCGACAAGACGCGGGTTTACTTCTTCGAGCTCCGTAGGCATTCTCTCCGCGCCATCACACCGCTCACTACTAAGATCATCTATAGATGAGCTCGCTCTCCTCTTCACCGGGTCAAAAGTCCCGTCCACTTTCCAAACAACAGATACAGAGACCGTTGAAGAAGAGGACACCACCACTTCCGACGACACTGGTGCCGCGGCGCCCCCGCTAATTGCATCCGGCTTGCACACGCCCGCCAAGGCCGAGACATCCCCTTCGCGGCCTTCAACCCCATCTCATGCAAAGCCGAAATCCGCGGGTGACATTTACCCTTCACTGCTCGAAGCGTCTGGCCTATCCCACCCGCTCTTCGCCATCGAGCAGCTTGGCGTTGACCGCCGGCTCATCGTGAACCGGAAGCGCCAGCTGAAGATGTACAGAGTCTGGATGCAGGGGAAGTTCCGCAAGCTGTAGTGGTCGCGAAGCTTATGTGCAGCTGCACATTAGGAGTGCATGCGCATGAAGCATATGCGAGAGAAGGGATTCCAGACTTGAACGTCCAGCCTACCCGTTAAGCAGACAGCTGAGATATCACTTATAATTACGCTTTACGACAGTTTTGTCTATGAATTGCCCAGTCTCTAGCAATCCGCATGAATGGAAGGTCGACTTTGAGGCAAATATGGCGAAATACCTACTTTTTCTGGCAATCGGGGCCGCAATACGCGGTATGCCAGCATCCGGTGCACACACGCAGACGATGCGCTGGTTTATGCACGCTGCACAAGCACTGGTCCCGTGCACATCGTGAGAGCGGCGAGAAAATACCGATATGGGCCAAGGATAGGTCGCTCGAGCCATATTTGCCGACTCCCAGAGACGCTCCAAGATCGATCCACGCGTTGGAGATCGTTCGCCAGCCGCCATGGTAAGCCAATCTGGGTGAACTCAGCTTCTGAAGAATCTCTCTCCAGAGCGAGCAACTGAAGCGCCGCATCGCCTCCAGCTGCGGACGATTGCCCAGACTGTCAACTTGCCGTGTGCGGTGTTCGTTGAGGTGTACGATGCACTGTTCGATTATCCTGTGCACCTGCGTCAGCTGCCCATCTTGGCCTGGCACTATTTGCCACAATAAGCGTCCTTTATAAGCGAGATAACACGGGTGGTGCTCACTGCGTGGAGTGCTACCCTCCAATATTAGACGAATATACTGGAAAAGAAAGACAACAACAGCGTGGACACATCGTTCCGAAGATTTCTGATAGATAACTGCAGGCGGTGTACTGTAGAGTCGTCAGTTTCTTCGACGTGGACACGAGTTGTGGAGCACTAACATGATGAAGAAACGTAGAAACTCCAGATTTATGGCATGTGACTGCGCACTGGCAACGGAGGATAGACACGTCTGAGTTCTCGAAGCCGCTAGGGCGCCGACGAGGAGTGCACGCTCGACTTCTGGATTTGACGTCATTGGGCTACTATCGTCTTGGCGAAGTAGTGTGAGGGCCCAGAATACCGCGTGGAACATCCGATCGACGCCTTTGAATTCGCTCCTGAAATCCCTTAAAATAGCTTTGGCGACGAACATTGGGCTTGTGCACCCTGCAGCTCGAAGTTCCTGTTGGAACACTGTGGTGTAGCTAAGGCCGTGGGCAGATGTCTGGCAGCGGTCCTCTGCTATTAGCATTACGTGCTCCAAAGCGACAGTGCGCCATGATTCATCTGAAACCCATATCCAGCAGGCAACCATGACATGCGCAATAGGACAGGATGTCGCCCTGATCGTTGGGGGCCACGATGGTCTGTGGTACAAGCTAAGCGGAAGTGAGTGAGATGGCGATCACTACACTCACCCGAGATTCTGCTCAATGATCCAACTCGCGGCAGCAAAATCGGTTATTATCTGGTCGACCGGGTAGATAGGAGAACGCGCAGCCTCCCAGGGATCAGGCTGCGAGTCCAGAAATGGAGTCTTGATCTCCCAAAGGGCGTCCCAGAATCTCAAGCTGGCGCGGAGCAGGGAGTGAAGAGTTGCGAACAGCTGATTGCGCGGCGTGGAAAATACAGGAGGGGTAGGATCCCAGATCGAGATGGCAACATTTAGGCAAGTGGTGAGTAATTTGATCGCCCACCCAAAGTATGGCTAGATGCAAAGTCAACGAGTCAGAGATTCCGGTTTGGGGTGTGAATAATGGCATATGTACCTTTACGGTTTCGAGATAGTAAGTCATATCCGTGGAACAGCATAGTAACTCATCTTTGCTGAACCCGCACAAGTGGCTATCCAGAATGATGGCCAGCACTACCTGCATAAATTCCGTGTCGAACAGATCGTCCACGCTTAAATTGCCCGCCTTGATCGTCCCCTCAATGGTGCTGGCAGTGCCCGATAATACGTTAATGCGAGATTGCTGCGTGTGAGGCTCTTGATGATTCTGCTGCATCGAGCCTTTGAACATTTCCAACAGGAAGGCGCCTGAGGATGTTCTCGATTGTAACAGGTCCGCAAGTCTGTTGGAATTCATCTTGGTTTCTGCACTATGTCTGTCAAATTATAGCATGAGAGTTGCAAGATCATGAGTCGATAGTGCAGAGCACTAAGAACCTCTCTAGTCGAGCAGTAGCAGATGATCGATGCGACCTTCAAAGCGCTAGAAGAGCTCAAATTAAGATAGAGTTCGCGGCCAGGCGTGGGTACCCACGAGGCCCGCGGCGCTCTGCGCCGTTAGAGGTGCCACTTTCGAGCGGCCAGTCTGAGGATAACCTCACTGAGCCTGCAAATATGAAGATGAAATCAGAATATGCCTAGGGTGTAAGTCTTATGAAGAAGCTGATCCCGATAGAAAGTACTTGCTAAGATGCGTTATCACGGCGAATACCTCTAAGTCAGCACTTGGGACATGGCGTAGGAAGAGAGGAAGATACGGAAACACCCACTGATAAACGCGACGCTAGCAGAACATATCTGACGATAATCAAGGGATACCGCTAGTCTCCCTAGGTACACCTTATCTAATCAGCCGATGATAGTCGATCGACTTTGGTAGTAAGGGATACCCGCAGGTGTCGCATAAATCCAGTTTTACTTCTAAAGCGTAACCGAAATTCTCTGAGACCATCGCTTGTCGCTGCTCCGAGAGCAGTCCGGCGTATCCTACCCGCTCTTCGCCATTTGGTATTGATCAGCTCGTTGTAGACCTGGAGCAGCAGCTGGAGAGATACAGATCTGAATGTAGAGGAAGGCGCGTAAGCTGTAGAGGCCGTGTAGGTACCGCGAGAGATGCATCGCCCCTAGAGTCGCATCGGACTCTAAACAATCGTGCCACGTGGTCGATGTTCTGAACCGGGCTTGCGCATACAAGTATAGCAACCAATACACTTTACGGCACCATTTTTTATGACTTGCGCCCATGCGAACATGACCAAATATCGTACCCTGTTTGGCAACGGGAACCACAGTACGTGGCACGCCAACATCCTGTACACATACGCACACGATGCGCAAACTTGTGAACGCTACATAGGCACTGACTCCACGCACAGCGTGTGGGGGGTGAGAAAGCATTGACTACGTCTAAGAACGGGTCATCCGAGCCATACTTGGCAGTTCTCAAGGCAGCCCCGAGGCTCAGCCACGCACTGAGAACTGAGTACCATCTGCGGTGGTTGAGGAGCTGGGGAGAATGCAACTTCTGAGATGTCACGCCAGAGTATGCAGCTGAAGCGACGCATCGTGTCCAGCTTGGTGTTGTTGTTGTGGTCGCTAGTCCGCTTAGGCCGTACTCGCTGTTCTTTGAGGTTTGTGGACGACGTTTGGACGGAAAAGCGTCCAAACGCCGTCCAGAATGTTTAATCGCCATCTTGCACATCACTGTGATCGTCCGCCTCTGCATTCTGAAGCGCCCGAGGATGTCCTTGCCGAGCCCGCAAACAAAGGAATGGTCGGGATACTTGATCGCAGCAGATATCTCTACTGTGACCGCTGCAAATTCAGCCTATGACGACAAGAAGGTACAAGATACCAAGCAAACGCAGACAAGCACCGACAGAACGGAGCCTGATGATATACGGGAGACATTCCGGGCAGTACAAGGTGAATTGATGCAACTCCTCCAGTAAAGCCGAAATATTCGAATCTGCTGCCGTCTCGGAGCGCTGTAGCGTGCGGCCCCGTTTTCCGACATCGAGGGGCTCGGTATAGACACCGGCTTATCGTGAGCCGGAAACAACAGAGTTATGAGAGTATCAATTAGCACACTCTGCGACAGTGCTGTTTATGGCTCGCCCAGTCTCTGGTAATCCGCGTAAGCAAGATGTCTATCCCAAGACGGACATGGCCAAAAACATACTTTGTTTGGCAGCTGGAACCGCAATATGCGGCGCGCCAACACCCAGTGCACACGCGTAACCGGTGTGCAGGTTTGTGAATACTGCACAGGCACTGGCTCCATGCACAGCGCGCAAGAGGCGGGAAGGCGTTGGTAGCAGTGAGATGTGAATCGTTCGGCCCATATTTACTGGTTTGCAAGGCCACTCCAAGACTGCGCCACGCATAGATGACTAATTTCCAGTCGCGATGGTTGCGAAATCGAGGTGCACGCAATCGCTGAGCGATGTCGTGCCAGAGGGTGCAACTGAAGTTGCGCATTACGTCCAGCTGAGGTCGACTGCTCGAGCTATCAACTTGCTGAGTGCGTTGTTCTGTAAAGGTTGCGGCGCACTGTCCGATAGCACTGCGCAGCTGCGACAGCTGCATGTCACGTCCTGCTTTTCCCTACTGTTAGTATTCTCCATAGGCAAGATAATATGTGTAGCGCGCACTCTCTAGAGGTCTACCCTCCAACATGGGACGAATATACTGGAAAAGAAAGGCTACGATAGCATGGACACATCGTTCTGAAGATTTCTGATAGACAGTAGCAGGTGGCGTGCTGCGAAGGCATCAGTCTTGGCAACATGAAGGATCACCGAGCACTAACGTGATGAAGAAGCATAGAAGATCCATACCGAGCTCCCACCCGTTATCTGTGACGTTGACCACGCACGCCTGTGTCCTCGCAGCTGCTAGAGCCCCCATAAGAAGTGCCCGTTCGACGTCTGGGCTCGACGTCATTGGGCTTTTTTTGTCTGGACGAAGCACCGTGAGGGCCCACAACAGTGCGTGGAGCATCTGGTTGACACCTCTGAACTCGCCCCTGTAATCTCTCAGGATAGCCCCAGCGACTTGCATTGGTCCCGTGCAGCCTGCGACTTGTAGTTCGTTTTGAAAAATCTTAGTGTACCCAGAACCATGAGCAGGGCTTTGGCACCTGTCCCCTGCCATTATCATCGCCTGCTCCAGGGCGGTGTGGCGCCGTACTTCCTGTGAGCCCCATATCCAGCAGGCAACCATAACATGGGCTATGCGACAGGACGGTGCTCTGATCGTTGCGGGCCATGATGGCCTGTGGTACATGGCTTAGCAGAAGCGAACAGAGCAATATTACTGTACTCACCCGAGTCTTCGCTCAATGAACCAGCTCAACGTGGCAAAGTCGGTTATTATTTGGTCGACCATGTCGACAGGAGAGTGCGTGGCCTCTGAGGGAACAGGCTGCGAATCCAAGAACGGGGTCCTGATCTCCCAAAGTGCATCCCAGAATTTTGAGCTGGCACGGAGTAGGGAATGAAAAACCACGGAAAGCTCTCTGTATTGCGCAGATGACGCGGGAAAGCTGGACTCCCAAACCGAGATGGCAGCGTCTAAGCAAACAGTGAATAGTGTTATCGTCCACACGACGTATGGCTAAATGCAAAGCTAATCAGTCAGGGACTCCGGTTCAGTGCGAGAAAAAAGCTTATGCACTTTGACATTCTCGAGGTAGTCAGTCAGATTTGTGGACCAGCACAGCAGTTCGTCTTTGCTGAATCCACAGAAGTGGCCATCCAGGATAATGTTGAGCACTACAGACATGAAGTCCGTGCGGAGTAGATCATCCAAGTACAGATTGCCCGCCAAACGAGCCTGCTTGATAGAGCTGACGATGTCTGACACCACGTTGGCGCGAGAACGTTGTGAGTGAGGCTCTTGATGATTCCGCCGTATGGTGTCCCTATACATGTCCAGCATGAAGGTGCCTGGATCTTCCTCGAGTTGTTTGTACTGATGGACAAGTCTGTTGGGGTCCGTGGTACCCTCTACACCACCCTGCCCTAGTAATGGCACGTGAGAAACATGAGGCGACATGAGGCGACACGAGGAGTTGCAGAGCACTGACAGCACTGATACTCTGAACTCAGGTAGTGGCGGAGGGGTGTACGGGGTAACCAATCCGGACGTCGCAGTTTAGATCAAGGTTCGTGAACAAGGGTACAGCCACTTGCAGAACGACGCACGGCGGAGTTTGTTGACTCATTTCATCGCTCCGCCTCACCCGTCGGGAATTTCCACACTGGGGCTAGGGCGAGATGATACGGATCTGATGGAGGTGGGGCGCCCCGCGGCGCTCTACGCTTCTGCGCCATTTGAGCTGCCAGTATACTGGTGAAAGCAGAATATTGCATGTGCAGGACGTGAGGTCTGTGTAGGGAGGCTGGCTACGGCATGGAAAAATGGTCGAGGTGAGTGCTACAGTGAGCACCGTATTTCTATGGCGCATCGAAGGAAGACAGTGCAATCTTGGAACCCGAGACTTATCCCAGCTACGTCAAAATCTTAACGAGAGTAAACAGGCTTTACCAAGCACAGACAGGCATCCAGAAACTTTAATTAGCGATGTTTATCAAACTTAACCAATATTTGTGGTTACGGGGTCCCACCTCAGCTTGCGTGCAAACGCACACGACTAATATATGGCCTTCAATGTCATCGCGTATGCAGCTGCAGCCATTCTGTTATCCAACCCAAGGCTTTACGGCCCTTAGTATATCCATAACACAGATGGTAGTACTGCGTCTCTGCATACAGTACGGTACGCTCCCCCAGCAGGCAAGGACCGATAGAACAGTCCGATGATATACAAGAGATATCGCGGGCGTCACATGAAGTCAATGGCACGCTTTCGCCCCCTCTGCAGGCCCGCAACACTCTCGGTGTCTACTTCCAGCGGAGGCTCACTCGGGACATCGTCGACAGGCAAGCTCTGCGCGACTTCCGGCGGGGGCTTCTCGATCCACATGCTGTCGTCCTCCCCATCCTCCGCGCCCTTCCTCTTTCGTTTCTTCTTGCGCTCGCCATCTTCGTCTTTCTCGCGTTCCTTGCCCTTATCCTTGCTCTTGTGCTTATCCCTGCGCTTCGCGGCACTAACATCGATCTGCAGGCCCTCATCCTCGGCGTCGAACGACACGAGAGGCGCAGCCTTCTTCTTCTTCTTGTCCTTCGTCTTGTCTTTGTCCTTCCGCGCCTCTCGCTCACCACGCGGGACGAACATCGGCTTAAACGTCGTGAGGTCGACCTTCTCTGGTTCTTCAGAGACGGGAAGCGCGCTTGTCTTGGGCTCGTGTGGCACTTGTGTTGACCCGGCCGCGAGGAGATGTCGAGGGGCATCCTGCTGCGTAGATGTCGATGCCAACAGGTCCGTGGATGGTGCAGGCTGTTGGAGATCCGTGGCATCCTCTTCCTCATCAGAGTCCTCCTCATCGCTCGCGAAGATGGCTTTGAAGACGTCCATGGCCGGGCGCTGATACGTCAAAGTATCTCTGCCTTGATCCTCGTCTTCCCCGAGCCCAACGTTGGCCAAGTTCCTTGGCCCCTGACTTTCCGTACTTGCAGGTGCAACGCCCGCAGCGCCGTCCGTGATCATCGGCGGTGGGGGCGCGGCCATACCGGTATCCGCAGGAGCACCTGCACCCGTGCCCGGTGTACTTGCCGCGTGCTCTGGCGTATCCGCGTCTGCTTCTACTTCTGGGGGCTTCACGCCGAATCGTTTGCAGAGTAGCCTTGCAGGTTGCCACGGACTGAGTTCGCGCGTAAGCGGACCAAACATGCCCATGCGCACGGCCGCCATGCGGGGGTCTTCCTCCTTCTCCTCCTCCTCCGGCGGCGTCTCTGGCGCGGAGACGTCGGGTGTATGCAGGCCCTCCACGGTTTTCGGGCCCATCTCGACGATCGCGGCGCTCTTGAATCGGCTTGCCATCGCGCCCGAGAGCGGCTTGAACACTGTCGCCGCTTTCGCGTAGTCTGCGATCTCCTTGTTGAAGTCCTCTACGCGCTGGCTTGGAAGCGGGCCGAATCCAAGCTGGGCGCCATCAGACGAGTCAGCGGCATAGTTGAGGAAGGCGGTATAGCGTGACTGCTTCGCCGGGTCTGCTGTGAACGGCTGGAACCCCTGAAGCGCGGCTTTTGCGACTGATGGGTGTACGTGCGGCATATCGATCTCTCCAGGTAGATGCGATGAAGAAGAAGCACTCCGATCTGGCTCTGGAGTCGATGGTTTCCCCGCTGTTATATTATTTCGGATGCTTTCCAGACGCTCACGGTCCTTCTGGGACATCAAGTCGAAGATGGACCGCTGCTGAGCAGGCAACGGAGTCTCGCCCAGCATAGAACCTCGCTGCGGGAGAATGATATGCGGGTGTTATCGTTGAGCTTACAGCGCATACAACCAACGCACCTCATCTGCAGAGAGCTGACTCCGTTTCCACTCTTCGTGCGTTTGGTAGGCTTCTCGCTCTTTGTCCTTCGCCATAGGCCTGTTCTCCTTGTCTGCGCCAGCCTCCCATACTCGCCTCGGATTAGGTTTCCACTCTGGAGGTACTTCTGGTATGGGAAACCTATCATGTATAATAAGTTCAACCACTATCAAGTTCAATATAAGCCTCGTACCATCCATCTTCCTGCACGGGCCGCTCGGACAAGATGAAACCCTTGAGGACAGGTCGTCCGTCATTAAATGCCTGTGTTGTTTGAGGCTGCGCTGGAGTTCTCTTAAAATTAAGGAGTAGGGATTAACCGCATGTAGTCAGAGAGGCTGTGAGGTAACGCACAGTGTCCTGTCTACGCCTCGATGACGAGCCCATGGTAATCTGATCTTCGTCCTCTGTGGCGTCATAGGCGACAATTCTTGTCTTTGGACCTCTTGATCCTAGGGCACCATCGTAGATGTCCAGGTCGTCTTCGTCAGCATCGTTTAGAGCGCCCAGTCCAAAGCCCGCTACACACAAGATTAGGCACGCTATATTGAGGGCTCGCAGACATACCAGATAGGTGGGGACCCCTTTGCTCTCCACCACCCCGTCCTCCAAGGGACTCACTAAGGCTAAGACCAGGCGTATATCCCAGACCATGCGAGTTGTCCTTCCGCGAGACGAGCAACAGCGGCGTGTCCCTCCTCGGATACATGTGCTTTTTCGCTTCTTCATCGTTTTCATCCTCAGTCTTGGAAATACCTGCCTGGCGATCTTGCTTGTTGCGCTGCTCGTAGGTTATTCGTGGGCCGATACCTTGCCCGAGGCGCCATCCCATCTTTCTGAGTATACGTGCTCCTACAGAGTCTTGTGAAGGAGGAGCTAGGGAGGCAGCGACAGCTGAAGCCATGGAGCTGTAAGCTATAAGCTTTCGTATTATAGAGCAGGAACCAAGAACTACTCACTCCTCCTCAGTACCAGCACCCGCTCGACGTCGGAGCTCGGCCTCGGTACCACCTAAGTCCATCTCCTCATTCTCATCTATCAATTGCCTACTTTCCCTCAGCTCTGCAAGGTCTTCTTCGTCCATAAAATCCTCTGGTCGAACCTCCTTCTTCTTGGCGCGGTCACCCCGCGATGACATGAACGTAGAAGGTGTCCACCCTGAATATCCCTCGTAAGCCTTGAACTACCATCGAGAAACGATGCACGCACCTTCTTTCGAGCCAACAGAGTTGAAATATCCTGCAGAGAACCCACCCGTGAATGCTCCGTGCAGTCGTCTACGACCCTTCTCATCTCGGACCTCTTGCTTCCACAGCGGGACAAACTCCCCCGTATCCCTCGATTTCTCGAGCGGTGGGAGAGGTGTTCCAATCTATCACACGACAGTTAGCAGTTGCACACGTCGGTGAGATATGTCGCTGTGACATACCAGACAAAAGTTCTCATTAGCCTTCGAGCTCGAAGGGTCGACGCCTAAGTCATTGAGCTTACGCTTAAGACGACTAGTCATGACGAGGGAGCAGTCTCCAGGAAAGGCTTAATCAGTCGATTGAAAATGAAGGACTGAGGCAGCAAAGTCCAGTTCCTGTATGTGCCGTATGCGCCGCAAAAAGAGGACGTGATGAAGATAAAGAGTTGGAGCGCGGCGTGCGGGTCGAAACCGCGGTGGACTGAAGTATTCGGGGTCTTTACCGCCATCTGAGATCCGAGTACCCCGAGCACTGCCCCTTACGATGTTGACATCTTGTGTACGTATCCGTGGTCCCTGCAAGCCACTGGTTCCCCTTTGAAAGAGGGTCCACTACCAACGCAGAACCCGGAACTCCGGACCTCAATGTAGCAACGCCCATTTGGCCTACTGTGCGCTTTCGAATTGCATTATTATTGCGCGGCGGCTCAAGACATTGCTGACCGTTCACTAACCATACGAGATTCACAAGGAATTATAAACCCGCGTTGTCAGCGGTGTCCGCGACAGCTTCGAGATCTGTGTACGCGCTTGACGTCCTACTGCCGTAGTCTTGTGGGGCAAGTACCCCAAGCTCGCTGCCGATATTCTTTGGCACGTTCTGAGTCGCTATCAGTACTAGTGATAGTCATAATTGTACAGCGCGCATACCGTGCGGCTGTCGTCGTTGACTCCGGGAGGGGTACCGCCGCCGACTCACCGGCCAAGTCATCATTCCAGAAGTGGAACAGATGTAACCATATGTGGCAAATTTCGAGAGAAGGAAGCGTCGAAGAAGCTGCTTCTCGTCGATCTTGGGCGAGTCAGCCTCTTCCGCGCCGTTCTTCGGTCTGCACTCCGGCCGGCTGACAGGGACGGTATATAACGGACGACGCTGGTTCGTTTTCATCCAACGCCCTTTCCCATCCCCCTTCACTGCGTCTCGACCCCGGTGGTCTTATACCCCCCTTGCTTTCGTGTTGTTTTCGCGCTTTCGATATCGCAAATATCTCCTCGCGACAGGCTCGCTGATACTCGTCGATCTTACCCAACATGGTTGTCCTTTCTCCCAACTTCGCCATCCTCGCTTCTCTCTCTGCCCTGGCGGTGGTCTCTATGCTCCCAAACGCAGAAGCCGTTGCAATTCCTAGCACAGATAGTAGCGAAGGCTCACCGTCTTCCCTCAACGGCCAAAGCTCATCGAGCCCTAGTGTTCAAGGAGCAGACGCACCGCCATCTCCGGAGACCGTTCCCGTTCTTTCCCTCCCGGGACTGTCTAGGAGGCGCGTAGAGACTGAATCTCAAGGAAAAGGAGAGGTGACGGAGCATCACCTGGAGGAGGTGAGTATTCCAGCCTGTATAGCTAACTGCCACCTCCTTACTTGATGACTCAGCGGTGGAATCCATTGCATCCCCTCCTTCAGGTCGGAAAGATCTGGATCGGAACTGACCCGCCTTTCGCTTCTCGCTCGTACCACGATAACGTCGTGGTCAAGGGGGACGACGACCACGTCCATGTCAGTAAACACCACCGTGGGCATGATGACGTAGTAGTCAAAGGCGACGATCAGCACGTCCACGTCCACCGCCGTTCACCTGTACCTCATAGCCGCCATCATGACGACCACCACAAGACCATTGTCAAGGGTGATAATGACCACGTGAACGTACACGAGAAGCGTGTGCCACGGAGGCACCGTCACCATCGCTACCACCATGGTCATCATCGCCGATCGTCTCACGGTCATTCGTACCACGAGAAGAGGGACGACACTGGCATTTCCGGTGTCTCTGTACCACTTCTAGGCAAGGATCGGACTTTGGTCGTTCCGGCCTCTACGCAGCATCGTAGGTCTGGGGCCCTCGGCGATACCTTGATTCTCGACGGGAATGGAGAGCATTTCATCATGGGCTTGAAGCGGCAGCTCGGGGATACTCTAATTCTCGACGGCAGCGGCGAAGACCTAGTGATGGCTACAAAGCGTCAGCTCTCTACCATGTCAGCGTTCGCTGAGCCTGAGGGCGTACCCGGTACCATTGATATCATGGTATGTGTCGAGCGTGTTCATAGCGTCCCGTACATTCATCCCTTTTGCAGAGCAGCGTCTTTGGGTCGCCGGTAGGCGAGAAGATCGCGTCGCTTGTCCTTTCTTCGGCGATGGGCGACGACGTTCTTGGGAACCGAGATCCCTTCGTGCTGAACGCCTCGGGTACGAACCAGACTCAGATTTACATGGTTCTTCTCTCCGATGATCCCGATTCGACCAACCCAACTTCTCCTGATGCTGCCCCGAACTCGACGTCTCCAGCGTACCCGGGCAACAATTCAACTACGTCAACGAATACGACAGAAGCATCAGACGCGTCCCAGACCTTCACCCTGGCCGATCTCTCCGGTTCCACCGCACCAACAGACCCCTCCAGCTCTTCCAACTCGACGTCGTCGGGCAACTCGACCACTCCGGGAAACTCGGACAACTCGACTACTTCGGCACCATCCCAGTACAAGAAAGTTGCCTTGAAGATTCCACTCTTTGACGCCGGGTCAGCCACGATGAAGGCTTACTGTGCGACTTTCGACCCCCAGCCGATGGCGCCTTCGCCGTTAACGGTCGAGAATTGTGCGAACGGTCCAACGGTTCAGGAACACAAGAGCCAGGTTTTCGCCTATGATCCTGAAACGGGTGCTATCCAACCGATGTGGTACAACGGCGAAGACGATGGGATGCCGGATGATGAGGACGACGGTGGCGACGACAGCGGCGATTTCACCGGCGGCGACGGTAGCGATGAGGATGGCAGCCTTCCCGATGGTGACGACAGCGATTCTCCGTCTCCAGCTAACGTGACGTCCACAGCTGACGTTGACAACACGGTTGCTCGGATCGAGAACTTGAGTGACAAGCTGCTCAATGACGACACGTTAATCCATCCTCCGGCTCCTTCCATAGCGGCAAAGGCCCACGCGTTCGTTGCCGATAATTATTCCAATGCTCAGAACGTGACGCTTATGTTTACTCCCACGCCTCCCGAGCTTTCTTCTCAAGCTGCAGATGAGGAGCGGTTGGCCTCCCCGTCTTCGTCTTCGGTACCCGCTACAATCTCTGGCACCACTTCGTCGACCTCAGACGCTGCGCCGAGCACTGGATCGTACTCCAACTACTCGTCGATGTCGACGGCTTTCTTCCCTGCTGCTACGTCTTCAGCTGCATCTTCGATGACGCGCTCTGGCTCTACGGATACCAGCTTAGGCACCGCCTCGACGACTGTGACATTCTCTCCCGCGTCCGCGGTTGCGACGGGCGCATCTTCGGCCGCTGGTGTCAGCACGACAAACATAAGCTCAGACGTGTCGTTGTCTCCTGCTTCGGCTACGCCTTCCTCGTCTTCTTCTTCTGAAGCCACCGATGGCTTTAGCTCGGTAACCGTTTCTTCGACGATGATCTCATCGGCGGACGCGACGACAGCCTCTGCGACGTTGAGCGATCCTTCCGCCTCCGCAACTTCGGACAGCGCATCTATCTCTGCGACTCATACTCTCGGCGTGCAAGTGTTTGATCCTGATGCTACTGCCTCTTCTGATGCCTCCGGCTGCTCGAACGCGACCACGACGGCTTCCAACACAGACTCTGCGACCGCTGGCTCTGCGACCGACTCTTGTCCTGCGGCAAGTGCTACTCCGACCTCTGCGTCTGGCTCTCTTGGCGCTCAGGCCGCTTCTACCTCGTCGAGCACGTCGATTACAGGTCCTTCCGGCGCATCGTCAACCGAGTCTTCCGGGGCGCCGTCTATGACTCCTGTTAGCACTGCGCCCTATGAGTGGAAGTTCAAGCAGGGTTCGGAGAAGAGAGGCTACACCGCTGCGTACGGTTGGTAGATCACGTTGATCGAGAGTGTCCCCCCGATGTGTTTGCGATGTACATCACTATACCTTACATTCTCTTGGTTTTGAATTTATGGAATTGGGCGGATAACTCTTTGTGTGCAGCTCGTGAAGAGGCCCGGATTGAGTCCAAAATTGCCTGACAGTCAAAAAAGGACGAGACTAAGGAACGAGTGGAGACACTGAGGACTCTGAGGCGGAGTTAAGACTCGACGAGCGAAACAAAAAGGATTCATACTAATTCGTAGGTGCGAATGGCAATAAATATTGAGACCCGTAGGTCTACCACTCCGGGAAAGCGTGTCATCCTTGTGCAGGGGCCATGCTAATCTTCTCTGTATCGTTCCAATTTTTTCGTATGTCACCCCGAAGGGGACATTAAACATGGTGCGGGTGCTCTGTCCCGTGACACATTTTTGCTTTTTGTTTAAGTCGCGGGTTACGGGCGCTCGGCTTTGGCGGCGGCCCTGCTGAGAGCTAGAGGAATATTGTCTTCATTTTGTGATCTGCCGGGGTACAGACGGCTGTCAACTCGAGGTGCATTCACACTCTCTAGCACGTACTTTGATTTCTACCACTAATTGAGAGTGAACATAGTCGCACCGAAAGGTGACCATGGCGGAGGAATTCATCACAAAGCGGCTGCACGTCTCAGGACTCACGCCCGCCATTACGCCCGCAGACCTCTCGCAAAAGCTGGGCTCGTTCGGGACCGTGAAGGCCCTCGACGGCTTCGGTGTCCTTGACGTGCTCGGCCGTCCACGGCCATTTGGGTACGTAACGCTCGAGACGACAAAGCTGAAGCTCGCGCGGTGCATGAACCTCTTGAGCGGAGTTACCTGGAAGGGTACCAAGTTGAGGATTGGCGAAGCGCGACCAGATTTCCGGGAACGGTGTGTGTGCTGGTCTCGAATCTCGGGGCGGAAAGCTGATGCGGGGGTACGTGCTGCAGGCTGGCGAAGGAGCGCGAAGCACAGGATGGCGAGCCCCCGCGCAAGAGGAGGCGCCTCCTCCGGGGCGTGCAGGGCATGCACGCTGCAGAAATGTCGCTCGTCACGCCTGAGAATGTTGCACAGCGCAGGGGGTGGAAGGTCACGCCCCTCGGACGACTCGTACGCCCGATTCGCATGCGTCCGGAGCGGCCGCTGCCTGAGCCCGTGGCGACTGCTGTCGCAGCGAAGGGAAAGGGAAAGGACAAGATGGGCAAAGAGAAGACGAAGAAAAGGAAGACTAAGGAGCCCTTGACGAGGGCACGCAGGCAGACAATCGATCCGCTCAAGTATGGGTCTCAGCAGATGAAGGGTGTATTCCTCGAAAGCTTGGTGGTTGAACCGAGGAGGGGGGTACAGGAGGAGCCGCTGAGGAGACTTGACGAGAGAGTAGAGGGGAACGGTGAAGTACATGAAGAAGGGAGCGAGAGCGCAGAGAGTGGGAAGGAGGAAGACAGCGAGATGCAGGTTGAACAAGAGCCCCCACCAGCAACCGTCCAGCCGAAAGCACCACCGCCAAAGGAGAAACCTCAACCCTCACCACCTTCCTCAGCTCTAGCCGCGGCAGCAGTGCATGTTGCTCCTGCTACAGCAACAAATTCGCCGACCTCATCAACTTTAGGTGGTCCGAATCTTATGCAAGAGAAGAACACCGCCCTCGTCCTCCTGCAGTCGTTATTCGGAGACGATGACAAAAACTGGGGTGGCGAAGAAAGCTTATCAGACGTGGACATGGACGAGCTTGCAGAGCGAGGGAAGGAAGAGTTCAAGGACGATACCGAGGTCGTGCCCATTGTTACAGGTGCCAAGAAGCGTACTGCCCCGACATCAGATGTCGAGGAAGAAGAGAGAGAGGAAGAGGAAGAGAGCGGAGAGGAAGCGGAGGAACCTTCATCTGCACAGAAGGCACCTGTGCCCTTACCTGTGCCTCCTACTATCACGCAGGCAGTGAAGCCGACGAAGCTGAAAGATCTGTTTGCTCCGAGAGAGGAGGAAGGTACGCCTGTACATATCTCTCGCTATAACGCAATGCCAAAAATGCCACAACCGCAGCCGTTTTCTCTTTGCTCGGCCATCTCGACCTTGACGACGAGCTTGGCGAGGACTTAGACCCTGCATTTACGCAGCAGGCAGTACCTTCCGTTTATGCTGTGGAATCCACGCAGTCAGTCTCTCCGCCGTCGACAGCAAGTGCACAAACCCGCTTTACACTCGACCCAGCTGCCCCGCTGTTCTTCCCTATACCGGAGAACGAACGTGCGAATTTCAGAGGTCGTGTCAAAGACCCATTGGATGTCGCGTTGGAGAAAGGCTGGGACTGGCGCAAGTTTTGCAGGACTCAGTCTGCAGAAGAGATCAAACAGCAGTGGGAGGAGCAGAAGGTTGAGCTTACGAAAGATTGGAAGCGGAGGCACAGAGAGGCCATTAAGAGCAGGCGGCGGAGAGGCGGTGCTGGCGATGGCGAGTAGCTTGCTCGAAACCGAGTTTTCTATTGACCCTCTCTGCTGTCGTCTGTCGTGTGCGCTCTGTCCTCGACTGTATTAGTTTTCGGCTCACAATTGCACCGCTAAGTCCGAGGAAATCAGCTTATGAGATTACGCGTACGTTATCGTGCATGGGCCCGCGCGGGTAGCGCTCTCAGTGCGACCGACGTGTCTCTTCTCCCTATCGACCCAAACGAACCATACAAGCCTGCTTGACGACGCTGAAGCGCTGCTCAGGTTGTGCTGCACGTCTGGAACGTTCTCTTAGCTGTTGTATACGTAGAGGCAAATTGAAGACCTCTACCGAGGCAATAACGCCGAATGGCACCTTCAACAACAGCTCGCGCTCGCTGGGGACCCATACGCTCGTTGCTGTGCCTCTCCCCGCTCTTCATTGCTGCGCCATGGCTTGCATATAGGGAGCATCGAGGTGCGTGCGCGATTTGCTTGGGAGAGTCTCGACAGTTGGCTGACCATTACGCACGCTTGCAGCCCTGCCAGAGCCCGTCGTAGACTTGTATGTTACGCCGCTCTCTTGGCGCGAATAAAAACAGCTAATGCGTGTTCTCCCCCCAGGATTAATCCACAGACCGCTCTCCCACAATTATCCGAGGCGCAGATGCTCGCACACGCGAAATACTTGTCAGAAGACATTGGATACCGCACGGTCGGGACGCGTGAGCATGCGCTTGGTGACGCATGGATGTTCGCGCGTGCAGAGGAGCTGAAGGCACAGTGCGACGAAATTGTGAAGTCTGTGCCTGGTCGGAAGCTGGAATGCGAGATTTGGCGGCAGGAGGGCAGTGGGCATCATCGGTACGTCCGACGAACAAAAGAAACGGCGAACGTGAATCTCAAACACTGGTCATAGCTTCGATATCATGGCGAAACGGCTGTACAAGACCTACGTAAACCTCTCGAACATCATTGTGCGCGTGTCGGACGGAACAAAGGCGGGCAAAGAACATGCAGTGCTGGTCAACTCGCACCTTGACAGCACGCTGCCATCGCCCGGTGCCGCGGATGATGCGCTTGCTGTCGGTGTCATGCTGGAATGTATTCGGGTTTTGATCAACACGCCTGGGTGGGAACCGAAACATGCCGTTATCTTCTGTATGTACTTTTATTTACTATCGCTTCCTGCGACTAACAGCTAATCTTACAGTGTTCAACAACGCTGAGGAGTCGTTGCAAGATGGATCGCATTTGTTCTCTACACAGCATCCTATAGCAAACACGTGAGTGTATGCGGTTGGGAATACTTCATTTGGCTAACAAAGAACGGTTCTGCAGTGTGCGGGCAGCGATCAACTTGGAAGGTGCGTTGCTCATCCTACTCTAAGTACTTTCTCGTGTTTGACAATCCGTAGCTGCTGGATCCACGGGCCCCACGCTACTGTTTCAGGTAAGCTTTCTCTGCACCTGATCATCATAGCCCGCATTAAGCCGCTATTTAGGCTACGTCTGAACAGATGATTCAAGCATATTCGCGAGTTCCGAGGTATGCCTTTCCAGCCGTGCATTTCACTCTAGAATCATGCTGACTATATCCAGACCGTGTGGCACCGTCGTCGCGAGCGAGGTCTTCAGCTCGGGAGTTATGTTGTCAGAGTGGGTACTTTCTCTTGTTGTCCCCTGTCCGTCAGACGACGTGAACATAGAACGTGAGTAACGCGTAGTCCAATAGCACGGATTTCAGGCAGTTCGAACTCTACTTGAACGTCACGGGACTGGATGTGAGTTATACGTATGATTATGCAAGCTGCCTTCTAACAGCCCATTAGATGGCCGTCGTCGGAAACAGCTATCTCTATCATATGCGAAAGGTTAGTTCAACAAGCAAGTAGTTTGACCTGTGGGCTGGACGCTGAACCCGGAGCATATACATAGGATCTCGTGGAGAACATTGAACCTGGCGTCGCACAAGTGAGTGGTGCCATTTCAAGTGGCTCGACAATTTACTTATTCCTTTTCAGCACATGGGCGACAACACTCTTGCGCTCCTCCAATTCTTATCGTCTTCTGAGTCCCCGCTGCCATCGCTAACAGCTGGCTATGCTAGGCCTACGACCGTTTACTTCCAGAGCTTCAGATACTTCATCGTATACTCTTTCGACACCGCCAAGATCCTCTACTCCTTTCTCTTCGGCCTCTCGGCGTCGTTCTCGGTGCTGACATATAGTCCTCCCGCACCTGCGCTGAAGCAGCCACGAGGTTTTATCGGCGATCATCTGCGAGGATCCTTCGCCGTTGGTTGCGCCGTTGTTGGTGCTGCTGTTGGCGCAAACGTCGTAGCTTTCATTATGGCTGAGGTGCTGAAGAAGCCGCTGAGCTGGTTTTCGGATGAGCTTTCTTGTGTATTGCTCTATGGCCCAGCTGCTTTGGCAGGTTCGTGCAGGTTTGTTCTGTATTGCAGCATCTAGAGCTGATACGTACTTTGACAGGTGCTCTAGTATCTCAGCTCTTCGTGCCGAGCGTCCGCGAGAGGACGGTCTTCACCTCCTTGCTGCTGACACAAAGTGCCCTTGCATGGGGTATCCAGAGCATCGGCATCGGCTCTGCCGCCTTGTTCTTCCTCTCCAGTCTGCCGCTATGCCTGGCCTTACTTCTCAATTCCCTCATCTCGACCGGACCTGATGTCTCTCTATGGAGCTACGCCATCGGACAGCTCACCCCGCTGACGACTGGTTTCCAACTGGCGTTTGAACTGTTGAACGTATTCGTGCCTTTGGTAAATCAGGGTTGCATATTCATGATTAATTCATGTTGTTGATTGATCTGTAGACAGGACGCATGGGTGGGGAGGCCCCGGCTGAACATATCATTGCCACTATCGTCGCCGTCGTAGGTTCATACGTCCTTCCTCTTCTGATCCCCTTCATCCACCGCTATGATCGTGGCGTTCTTGTGCGGTCTATTGCCCTCGTCTCGATGGCCACTGCCGTTTCCATCGCGGTGTTCTCGGCGCGGAACCCCTTTGACGCTATGCATCAAAAGCGTTTATTTGTCATTCACATGGAGAACGTGAGCCTATTCTGACCTCAAGCTACCTGCTTTGGCTGGTACTGAATTTAATGAACTTAGATCACGAGTCAGGAACAGCACTTGCACATTGCCGCGGCAGACAGTGCGCCAGGCTTTGATGCCCTCGCGCACGACATCGCTGAACGCTTCGGGGTTTCGGGAGTGCCGCCGACTCCGGTGATCATGAACGACTGGAACGCAGACTGGGACACCATCTATCCTTTCTCGACGGTATGTGCGTATTCATTGAGTGAACGACAGGTCTACTGATCCATCGCCCGTAGTTCATCACCCCGTACAAGATGGAGTTACCTCTCAAAGAGGAGTACATGGATCTCTTGGACTACTCCTTCGCTGTCAGCGCTGTCAATGACCACATCGACACCGCCGCGGGTACGAGGAAGCTCACCCTCAAGGTCACACACCCTGGTATCATTTGGACGGCCGTCGCCTTTGATGCAAACGTGCTCGAATGGGATCTTGACGACAGTCCGCCAGATGAGCTCGCGCGGCACCACATCAAGGAGGGTTCCTTCTATGGGCATGATACCTGGACGGTCGACCTCCTGGTGAAGCTCGCGCCTGAGGGCCCCGCAGACGGCAAGATCCGGGTCGACTTCGTCGGTATCCACGAGAAGGCGATGTGGCCAGGCAAGCGGGCGGAGAAGCACCTCGGTGGACGCGCGATGAAGCTGTTTGAGGAGCTCGATGGCTGGCTGGACGAGACGACCGGCGGGACTGTCGACGCGACGCTTTTGGGATGCGTTGGTGGGGTTGCATGGGTGTAGTAACTCTGACGGGGCTTCGTCTGGTGTTTGATATCATAGATTCCTGTTCCGCTATCCCATGCTAACGCTAACCGTTACGACACTACATTCTGCCTGTCACTGTGTTCTGTAGGTTGGCGGTGTTTTCATTTTCCGCTGCCTCCAAACCATTATTCATCTTCTGAGACATTTCAGTCTGCACACTGATTTGGCCGTTGATTATCCTAGCTATGTGGGTGAAATATACATGCTTACTTCACATGAAAGACCTAGGTCAGCCTTTTATGACCAAGTCGGATTCTGCCTTCTCTTCCAGCTGTTCACCCTCGTCTCCGATCTGCAAGTGGCCTGCTCTCCACGATCATTAAATTTTGATATGGCGAGACTGAGACAACATCTTGCGGCTCCGAGACATGTTACCCCAACAGCTCTTTTGTAAATACGTGTACAGAAATGTTGTCGACCCCGTCATATCGAGCGAAGCCGGGAGAATCGGCATCCCTGGTTGATCTTGCACTCCTTAAGCGCCACGCCTATCCAATGGGCGGCGCGTGTCGCAGTATGATTCTTGGCACCTTTGCGTATCTAGTAAGCCTGCCAGTGGTGGTGATTGACGGGATTTGTACTCGGCGCCCAATGGACGCCCGGCGCCTAGCGAACGCAGCGGGCTTGAGGATTGCGATGACAGCGAGGGGAACGACATCAGACCGATCCTACATTAGGTAGTGCCCAGTATATATTATACAATATGCAGTACAACGCGGTGGGTAGATTCCCTTCGGATACGAGGGCACTTCTTAGCCCCAGATCGCTGCAGGGCCCTCGTAAGCGCGCGACGGCGACTTTTGTGCATGGCGTGTGAAAACGTAGGGTCATGTGGGTGTGACGCGCAATGTGCGAAAGGTACCTGTGGGCTGAGGTAGTCACCATACTCTTCCTCGTACTTAAGCCCAACTTCTGTGTGATTCGGTGCAAGTTGGCAATGACGGCAGGGTCGCGTTGCATGCCCTTTCGGCTCGTTTGAAGTTTGTGTAGCTTCTTTGCCTCTATTATTAAGTGGATGTCCATATAATTCTCCATAAAATGAGAAAATGCTTGCAGAATGTCTGAAGCTGTAAGTGACTTTCATAAGAAGTGAGCTGACCTTCAATGCCATAAGTGTGAATGGTGCCAGGGTATGGCAGTGTCGAAACGCCCATTTGCTTTTTAACATCAGCTCATCGAATAATGAGAGAGCGGCGACTACACCTCTCCCGCAAGAAGTCACATTGTAATTCACAGGACGATTTTCGCTGGGAAATATTGGCGCACTTCGATAGCCGGCAATGACCGCGCCACGAAGCCATATATTAGCGCTCGCCTAAGATTTGCAGAAACGTATGGCTGGTCGGAGCAAGAGTAGAGAGCTAAGGCGGCGAGCCATGTTCCTACAATATTTAATTGTATCAATCACGGCTGAGGAGCTAGTGGGTCCACCCAATGAAGGTATGCTGCTAGCACTGAGCGATGTATACAAACATCATGCAAAGTACCAGACCGCGAGAACGCACTCTCTGCCTGAGGAAAAGATCTAGACGCCTTTTAGATCGTCAGCACTGCACGTGCACTTGCACCAAGGCAGGTAAATGATGTAGTGTAAAACCAGAACGATGCCTCGCCATTTTTCGCTGGACGTGAGAGGTTGCGAGTCTGGTCGCGAAAGTGGGCAGTGTGGAAAGCGAAAAATGAAATCGAAGATCAGGGAAAAAATACGAGGAGCCCAAAGCTTCGCCGTTGCATCACAGTAATGCGAGTATGAATGCGTAAAGTGTCCCCAGGGTCGGCAACATAGGACAAGGATGAGGGCATCACGCTGCAGACACGAGAGATGAATTATCCCAAAACAACTCAGCTTCGCATATAGCCTTGAGATGCTCACATGAGCAGTATCAGCGAGTCATGCTCACGAAACAATTGAATATGTCAGCCACCGCTTCGAATGATTGACATCCTTTGCAGTTGTGTCGCTCTGTCATCCAGCGATCTGTGATTCACAATAGTCTACAAATATGCATCTATTATCTGCTAGACAATATGACCTACTCGTCTTGCTACTACTAGTTGCGGGATATCGCAGCCGTAGATCTGCCTGAAGGCGAGCGTCTTGACCGCGGACCGTTGTCTTGTAATATTGGGAATCTTCGGGGGAGGCTTGTGCGCACGCATGTGCTCCTGAGGACTTCTAATGGATCTGAACCCCCGGCGTTCTTCAGCTACGACATGCCATGCAAGCACACCAATAGAGCAGACGTGCCTTCTCTCCATTCACTTCGCACCCTGCTCCTCACGAAGAGCAGTAGTCAACTTCGACAGCTGTGCGGGGACTGTTGCGTCTCCACCGCTCAGAGGCGTGCTTCGTTGTTGGAATTCCTCGAGGAAGGAAGAGACACGAGCATACGCCTCTTGCGAGGAGATCGTCGACGATTTGCTAGGCAAAATCCGGACTGGCGGGGTGGTAGCAGCGTCCGACATAGCAAGTTTTAGGAAATGTGACGCAGATGGTGAGAGCTATGGGCTGTATTGCTGTCCCAGATAGCAAGGAGCCCCTCCGACGACAGACGAGTGGTGGTGTAGGAAATAGTCTAATCAGACTCAAGCTCAGGTACGGGAAAACCAAGAATTGATGGGAATCATCCTGAAGCGCCCGCCGGCGCGGTGCAGCGCTGGCACAGAAATCGTACGTTCTGCAACTTCTTTTCTACCAATTCGCCCATAAAGATCTCAACGCTAGCTCGTTGGGACTTGTCATATTCCGGGCGTCGGATTTTTCGATATGGGTGCTCTTTCGTGGTTGGTTCTACTCGTCACACATCCTCTGGAGTTCCGCATCCTTCTGCAGTACTGGCTCTGGCACGACCAGCGCGATGTCTCACTCCCAGGCGATCACGCAAACACAGGATGGAACAGGGAGTCGATGAAGAAATGCTGGGGCTTCCTAGACGTCACCAGTCGTAGTTTCGCTGCGGTCATCAAGCAGCTCGAGGGCGAGCTAGCACGCGTGGTGCGTACGGACGCTTTGGTTTTTTTTTGCTGCGCCGCTGATAATGTGCTCAGGTGTGCTTGTACTACTTGGTTCTTCGTGGCTTGGACACCATCGAAGACGACATGTCACTCCCGGACGAAAAGAAGCAACCATTGCTTCGCAACTTCCATAACTATACCCTGACATCCGGCTGGACTTTCACCGAGAGTGGTCCTGACGAACCTGACCGCCAGCTGCTCGTTGAGTATGGCAACGTCGTCGAAGAGCTTCGCATGCTCAAGCCTGAGTGAGTAGTCGCATTGTGCGTCGCATGTATCGATCTGACACTTTCTAGTTACCTGGATGTTATCGTCGAGATCACGAAGAAGATGGAGGCGGGTATGGCAGACTATGCACACAAGGCCCAAACTACAGGGGAAGTCTACCTCGAGAAGATCGAAGAGTACGATCTCTACTGCCACTATGTCGCTGGACTCGTCGGCGAGGGCCTGTCCGGTCTCTTTGCCGCATCTGGCAGGGAGGGCTCGTTCATGGCTGGCCAGCTCGAACTTTCCAACTCCATGGGCCTCTTCCTCCAGAAGACAAACATCATCCGCGACTACCGTGAGGACGTAAATCAAAAACGCTACTTCTGGCCACGCGAGATCTGGGGCAACGAGAAGTATGGCGCGGCGGTCGGCAAGCCCGCGTTCAAGGAAATGAAGGAGATGTACATGCCCGGCAACGAGAAGCAGGCTGAGTACGTTCAGAGCGCGATGGTACTCAATGCCCTCTGTCATGCGGCCGATTCGCTCGACTACCTCCGCCTACTCAAAAACCAAAGCGTCTTCAACTTCTGCGCCATACCCCAGACCATGGCCATCGCTACGCTGCATCTGTGCTTCAAGAACCCGACTATGTTCCAGCGCAACATCAAGATCCGCAAGGCTGAGGCCGCTCATGTGCGTCTGGTCGTTACCTCTACCCGGCGCTCATCTGACCGTTCCCGCAGCTGATCATGCGCTCGAAAAACCCGCGTGACGTCGCATACATCTTCCGCGAATACGCACAACGGATCCACGCCAAGTGCACGCCCGACGATCCGAGCTTCATCAAGATAGCTGCCGCCTGCGGACGCGTGAGCCCTTTCTTTTTTTTCTTGACAAGCCAAGGGGGGTTACGGGTCGCTGAACAGCAGCTGCGCAGATCGAGAAGTGGTGCGAGGACCAGTACCCGTCGTTCGTGCAGATGTCGCAGGCGGGCAAGAGCCAGACTTTCGACCAGTCGGACGCGCGCTCGCCCGTCGCGCGTGCCCTCGACGAGCGCCAGCGCACGGCCTGGCTCGAGAAGCGCCGGGAGGAGCTCCTCGCGACGACCAAGGACGTCGTTGACGCCGCCAGGACGCAGAGACAGCAGGAGGCGTCAACCGGTGAGACGCTCAAGTATGTCGCCATGGCGTTCGGCATCGTCGTTGTCGTGTCGCTCGGTTCGGTGTACGGCATCATGTGGGCTATCGACAACCTCTAATAATATGTGTCGGATATTTTTGCTCTTATGTTATAAGCTGTGATAATCAATGGGCTGGGCACGATGATCCATCTGCGTTTGTGTGTGCCCGAGGCGTCGAGATCTTGCTGTGCTGTGATGATCTGGGTATGTGGGACCCGGGTGTTAGGCGGCGTGGTGTCGATGTGGCACCCTGACCTCGCCGCTTTTGGGATTATGTGGGAATAACGACGAGACTACATTCCTATTAATAAACTAAGACCCTGGCGCCAGCGTAGGTACTGTAGCGGAATGTATGGTAGCAACGTCACGCGTCACACACCACTACCCGCGTTTCTTATCTGGCTTAATGTCATGCATCACAGCCAGTTGGTTGTCAGTTTCTGTGCAAGTTGCACCTGCGGCGCCGCTGCCTGACGGCGGCGGTTTCTTATTAGGCCTTAGGTCACAAGTCACAAATGACTGGTTGCCCGTCATAAAGCGTCATGCCTTGCCCTCGGTTGCTACCATACATTCCTCTACAGTACATGACATCTCCAGGGCTGCTGCCCTGCGTTGCAAGAATAATAATCTCTCGTTAGTCAGACGGTCAACGTCATCGAGCGAGTCGTGGGGACCGGAAACAACCGCGCGGTCTAACGCCGATGACGTTCTAGATCAAGATACCGGCCTGATGGGTCGCCACAACGGTGTGCAGCGTGGCGAGCTCGGCCGCTGTGCACAAATTGTCAGAACAAAATTGCGGACGCGCAGGCGGGGGCGACGACGACGCACCAACGACGGGGTTGGCGTCCTTGAGTGCCTCCATCGCACCTAGGACACGGTTCAGCGAGTTGATGACGACGATCTCGCCGGCCGAGACAGAGACGGCCGGGGACAGTGCAGATGTGGAGGCACTTCTCAGGGCAGACAACGCGGTGACAAACGTTTGACATACCATGGCCCATAGCATCTGCCAGGGCGTGCGGGCGTTATCAGCCACACGTAATAGGGACAGGAGGGGACCACGCACCCCGAGGACAGGGTCGACGTGGGTCGACTGGACGAGGTCGAGCTCGTCGAGCGCCTCAGCCGCCGCGACGGCGGCGCGCAGAATCTTGCTGTCCTCGCAGTCCCACCGCGGGCCTGTACGCGCGTAGAGCTGGATGGTGGCGCAGCACAGCAGGGTGCGCACGAGGAGCAGCCCGCGCTGGAGCGCCGCCGTCCGTTGGCGCGGGCCGGCAGCGCAGGCGGCGACGACCGCCCTGAAGCTGTCGACGCGGCCGTCGAGCGTGTGGAACTCGTTCTGGAAGGCCATCGAGCCTGCCGGGGCGCGTCAGCAAAACCACGCCATGTGGGCGCGGGGGGGGGGGGGGACTCACTCGGATTCCACTGCTCGGCGAGGTGGTACGCCTGTTCGAACAGGACGGCCGACTTGGTGAGCAGAGAGAGCAGAGACTGATCAGGCAACTCCGTGCTGAGACCGTCGAGGAAATTTTGCACAGTCAGGGCGCTCGTGCTGCCCTGGGGCATCATCAAATGCTATGAAAGATCGATGCCCGTGAGCTTGGGAGGAAGAGAGGGTGGCATGTCCGGCCGCTTACTTGCTCGTACTCCACCATCTCCAACGGCCAGGGCGTGTCAACCTGGGTCATCGCGGTTGCCGGCATCATGAACACCGACGAGGACCGCGTCCAGACAGACCAGCACCGGTCCAGGGCGAACACCGTCCAGAAGGCCCGGATGCGCTCGCCCTCCTCGATGTCATCCGTCGGAGGGAACAGCTGGACTTCCTGCCCGCTCGGACTCCCCGACGGCGCCACGAGCCAGGCGGCGCTGCGGGTTTTGTGCAGGTTGCAGGCGACGGCGATGGACACGGCCGCGGCGGCGTGGTAGCTGCCCTCGAGCCGCCTGTTCTGGTGGAAGAGGTAGTGCGACACGAGCACCTCGGCCTGCAGGGTGTAGACGATGCGGGTCGGGTCCATGTCCGCCGAGAGCGTTTGCAGCACCGCGGCGAGCTTGCGCGGCGCCTGCTGTTTCAGGGCGTCGTCTCCGCAGAAGAGAAGTCCCACGAGCTGCGCGGCGTGCACGAGGGTGGCAGGAAGGGGGGATTGGTCGGTGGGCGGCATGGAGGCTCGCAGCTGGGCGAGGAAGCGGGGGAGGTGGAGGAAAAAACCAAAGTCGGGCGCGACGTTGACGAAGGATTGGATGCTAGGAGGAGACCAGGTGAGTGATACAAATGGTGTGCGCCAAGATAAGTGGCATACATTTTCTGTGATGAGTTGAGTTGTGGGGAGCCAGGGCCTGTCGCCTGGCCAGCAGGCTGATTGTGCGGGTGAGCGGCGTGGGGGTTGTGCAAGGTCACGGAGGCGGCGTCGCCCTCGAGAGCACGTATGCGAGCCTCGAGAATGGTGACGTTTTGCTCAAGTACCTGGGAGACTGTAGGACCTTCGTCTGTGTATTCGCAGTCGACGACCCCCGCACGTTCACACTGGTTGCATGTTGGCCGCGCGCCGTCACATCTCTGCCAATGACCGCATCAATGTCAGTGCTGGGCGAATTCGTATACCCAGTGTGTACATACCATTTTTCTCCTCCTGTGGGCCCGGTAGTCAGCGATACCGATGGGGATGGTGAGGGTGGCCTGATTGCTTACCTACATCTCAGACAGGCCTTTCCTCGTTCAAGCTGGGGCGCACGAGAGGAGCTGTTGGCCATGGTACTCGAAATTCGGGATTCGAGATTAGGAATAGGCAAGTAGTGTAGGACAGATGCTGTGAAAGGGCTGGTGGTGTCTGCAGAGAGGACTGCGTCACCCTGACCAAGACACTTCATATAGGATCGAAGAGCGGCGCCAGATGCAGCTGCATTTCCACGGCTGCGGCCGCACAGGCGGGGCAGCGAGTACGGTGCAATCCGCCTAAACTCGGTGAAGACACAAGACGATGATCTAAAGGTAGCCTGTGCACCTGGCACATGCACTAATCCAAGGCATCGCGCACGAACGGGCTACGGAGCTGTAGCGCCGTTGAGCCTAAACCGTCTTCATGCGCACGAATAGCACAGGAGGGGACCACGAGGAGGCAGAGTTCCGATAGGTCAGAATGCTGTACGGGAAGGGCGGTGTAATCCGCTCTGTCAGGCGGAACGTATGGATCCGATGAGGTAAGTACGGGCTCGAGACGATCGTTGGTAGACAAGGGCCACTAACGTAAGTAAAGTTGATCCCGTAGGCGCAAGACGGGACAGGAGAATTCGGAATTGGACTTTCATACGTGAGCTGCGACGCAGAGAGCTCAGCCTGAAGACGTCCGCTGCCGAACGACCGACTCCCGTACCCGGCGGCAGAGGCACCGCGGCTAATAGGCGCCTTCGGCCGCCGCTTCGCAAGCACCTCTCGGACCCGGCGTCGCAGGCGCCCCGATACCTGCCAGAAGCGTCCACCGGTCACACCCGCGGCTCGAGGACGCTCCTGCTTGGTCAGTCGCACACCTCGCTCTTGAGTGTGGTCAGGCCACGTCCCTGGATTCTCTCAAGCTGTCTCTCCAGGCCCAGAAAAAATCTATGATTGGAATATAAACGTACTTACCTCCGCACGCCCTGGTGTGGGAACGCCTATATTCCCGTCGATGTCCGACTGGCCGTTTTTTTTTTTTCTATTCTCATTTCCGAATGCCGCGGCGAGGGCACCCACTCACGCCCACAGAGCCTAGCCATACAAACAGCCGCGGCTGTGCCCGCGAATGGCGGCCTAAATTCGCCAACCGCAAGCCCCGGGAGACGCCTGAGACTGTCCTTCCGACTAATAGCATCGGCCCACAAAACAAGTACCGTCCATCTAGATGAGCGACCTCGTGCAGTACAAGGACTAATGCTATTCGCTCTGCCGTGTAGATGACAGAGTGCAAGTCCCGTGCCAGTGTTACCAGCACCACTCTGCAAAGTTGCCATAAGCGGCAGAATGCCTACCTCATTTATGCACCGCAATAGTCAGCGACAACCAGACGACACCAAGACATCGTCGTCTCTCTGCCTGGTCAGCATACCACAGCCTACCCCGCATACTTCTTCCGTGGTGACTTGGTTCAATTGGGCCGTAGTGCGACCTCGGTGAGGGGCTGTGCTTGCCCGTGGTAGACCCTGGGTTGCCCTGCCGTAAATCCCATGTCCGCACTCGACTTCCAGATCACCAGTAGACTTCTTCTATCCACCACCCTTTCGACCGACATCGTCGTCCGAAAAAAAAAAACCTGGCGTGCTTCACTCGCGATGACGATCATCGATGTCATGGTACGGCGGTGTCCTGGGTCTCGGTACCAATCAAAGTTGGCCGGAGTCTCGCCCTGCATACCGTAACTTTGCCTCTATCGCGTCGTGACGCCTCGGTACGTCTGAGGGATTCCGAATAACCTGGCATACACGCGGAACTCTACTCTAAGAATACAGAACTTGGCTGGGACAGGACCAGGCTCTACAGCTACATAAATAATAAACGCTCGAGGGCGAAAATATTCGTTCATGACTGTCAAATCAAAGCGGCGATGACAGCCACTTGATAGACTCCAAGGCCGGATAAAATAAGATAACAGAGACCATCCACGAGGAGGCATGAGTCACAAACTTCTCAGGAGTCGGGGGGTGCAGTCCCCCGACGTGCGCGAAACGCCTCGATAGCACACGCGTCCAGCGGGGGGCGAGGCAAAGTTCATCCTCATTCACTGCGCGGCCGCTTCGCGAAGCCTGGCAGTCTGACTCGCTGCGAGAGAGAGAGAGAGAGAGAGAGAGCAATTAGGTCTTTTTGGGGGCGCACGGGGATACAGACAGCAGGCGTGACTCACCAACGAACGGGCTCTGCGTCAGCCGCTCCAGCGCGGCGACGAGCTGGTTCGTGCTCTGCGCAAACTTGTCCTCGCCCGGCAGCGCCGCGGACGACGCCCAGGCGGTGCGCGCGCTGCGCATGCTCTGCAGGCCGTGCACCAGCACCTCGCCCGCCGTCGCCGCGAGCACCTGTACACACACGCACAAGAAAAAAACACAGGCGCAACGTCAGCGGAGAGAGAGACCGGGACGAGGGGGGGGGGGGGGGGGGCGGCGTGACTCACCCCGACGAGCGGCGAGACGACGGCGAGGCGTCGCGTGAGCTCGTGCACGACGCGCACGAGCGCGGACGCAGACGCGAGGCAGCGCGCGCGGGACGTCGCGCTGCGCTCCGCGAACGCGCGGTGCAGCTGGACCGTCGCGGCGTGCGCGAGGCCGTGGAGGACGAGCAGGCTGTGCGTCGCATGTTCGTCGGCGGGCGCCGCGACGGAGCCTGCGCGTTCGAGCGGCGGCAGCGCCTGCTTGAGCTGCTCGACGGCGCCGTCGAGCGCGAGCAGCGCGGCCTCGTACCCGGCGGTCTCTGCAAGGGAGGCACCGTCACCAACACCCGACGGCAGCGCGAGGAGGAGGAGCAGGCCCGTCAGCCGGCGGTGCCGCGTGAAGACGGAGCGAGAGCACTGACTGTTGGTGTCCGTGTGCGCCGCGAGCGCGCTCGCGCGTTCGTACAGCGCCGCGGCCTTGGCGATCAGCGCGAGGGGCGAGGACGCCGCGCCGTCGGCGGTGACGTCCGCCAGGAAGCGCTGCACCGTCGAGCCTGCGTTTGGACGGGCGGACGCCGGTTGCTTTTCGCGAGACACACACAGTCAGCGTGACGGCCGAAACGGAATCGCGACGGAATGGGCGCGACTCAGAGGTGAGGGGGGGCTTACCTGAGCGTATTCGTCGACGGTCAGAGGCCAGGGCGTGTGGATGACGGTGCCCGGCTCCTGCGTCTCGCTGATCATGGCGGGCGCCGACAACGCGACGACCCAGGACTTGTCGAGGACGAAGGTGGTCCACCAGGCGTAGATGCGCTCGGCCTCGTCGACGGGGTCCGCGGGCGGGGGCAGGAACGCCTGGCCCGCGCTCTGGAAGCCGCCGCCCTGGGGCGCGTTGATCTGGTGCAGGTTGCACATGATCGCGAGCGAGACGGCGGCGCTCGCGTGGAACTTGCCCTCGAGCAGGCGGTCGCAGTGGAAGAAGTAGTACGCGAGGAGGACCTCCGCCTGCAAGACGTAGAGCGTGTTCTGCTGCTGCTCGTGCGCGGACGACAGCGCGACGTGCACGCTCCGGAGGGCGCGTCCCAGGAAGAGCGGCTCGCGCGCGGTGTACTGCGGGTTCCGCGACAGGTTGATGCCCCACAGGTAGATAGCGTTGCGGATGACCGACGGCGGGCGGGGCCTCGTGGCGGTCGGCTTTGCAAACGCGGTCAGGAGCCGCCTCGCATCCAAGAAAAACCCGAATTTGGGTGCCTCGCGAAGGAAGTATTGCACGCTAGATGCAGTTCGTCGTGAGCGGCGCGGAGAGAAGGACAATGCATGCTCACAGTGTCTGTTGCATCTGCGTGGGCGGGTCGGATGTCTCCCACCAGTTAGGCTGAGCTGCATGGGGGGCTACCGCAGTGTTACCGCCGCTGCTGCTGGCGGCGGGAACATTTTCGTACGGGTTACGAAGTCGGACGAGGTTCGGATCATCCTGCTCGAGCTCGTGGATGCGAGACTGCAGCCGGGAGATGTGTTGTTCGAGGACTCGGGCAGTGGAGGGCGAGGGTCCCTCGACGAACTGGCACTCTGCGGCCCTGTCGAACCGCATGCATTGGTTGCAAGTCGGCTGGTTTCCGTCGCATTTCTATGGATGCACGCGTCCGCAGCGGGCAAGGCAGCGGTTAGCTACTAGAATATGCTGTCCGAAACGTCAAGCGCACCATCTTTCGACGTCTAGGCGAGGGTAAGAGATAGAAGACGACATTAAGCAAGTGCACTTCGTACCTGCAAGGAACGCATGCCCTTCCACGGGGAAGATGTTGAGGGACCTGGCTAGCCATGTTGGGATTAGTGTACTTGCGATTGTGACAGACTTGGAGTCTAGGGCAGCTTGCATTTATACATACAGGCGGTAGAGTCATCGCGGTGACCGGCCTCCGAAGTGAAAGAACGGCAGAGTCTGCACGGTTTGACTTTGCAACATCTACGCTATCACCGATGGAGGCTGTAGGTGCGCCTCCGCAGGCATTAAGAGCCAGTCAGTCAGGATACTCGGCATCGTGTCAGAGGCCGTTGGATTGCTCAACCACGCAGCAATTTGCTGTTTGCGATGCACGAAGTGCACAGACACGGAGTGTGTAGCATGCACCCGATCAGCCGTATTTGCATGCGTAGCTTGGATTAAACGGCTGCGAACAGGGAGGCGACGGCCGACGGGGCGTCAGTCGAGGAGAGTTGGAAGAGATGGTCGCGTCGGAGAGACGGCTGGGGGCATTCTGGCCGTGACAAAGCCCGACATGCATACGCGTGCGGGATGATGCACCGATGATGAGTGCGTTACCGGCGGGGAGCAGCGGGCGTGAAGATGTAAGCCAAACCATCCCGAGGACTCCGGACTTTCCTAAAATCACGGACTCGATATTCGTGGCGCTAATTCTCACGTGACAGCGCCCTCCCCATCATTCGAAAGACCGGCAGCCCCGCAATCGCGTCTTGGCCTCTCCCGCCTCCTGCTCACCGTCATCGCGTCATCAGCCATCGCCCTCGAGCACAACCGGCTGCGCAAAAAATCCGCGATTATTCCCTCGCCATGCCCCGCGGAATTCCCAAGGCCAAGCAGGACGAGTCCGCGATGAAGTTCACCTCGTTTCATGTCCCGCTGCCGTCAGTACCATGCTGTTCCTTTCCTGTCGTCGGTCGGCACTCATCATCTTATCAAAGTTAGGCCAAACCCGAAACATGTTGGTACCACGTACCTCAAATCCGAAAACCAGACCTTGTGGCACAGAAATGCTGTGAAGGCGAGCGCCGCCACCAGGTCGCGCGCTCAGGCAGAGGAACTGGCAGGGGCGACGTCTGCCGAGGTCTGTCCCGCCGTTTCATGTTCGACAGGCAGTACTCACAACACCGTCATGCAGGGCAGACGCGGTTCCAAAGTCATCGTGATCCATCCAGGCTCGCGCTTCCTGCGGATAGGCAGGGCGTCCGACGTCACGCCAGCTTCCGTCCCGAATGTCATCGCGCGAAAGCACCAGCCTGTTCCTGCGCCAGCCTTCGTAGAAGGCATCTCTCGCCCACGCAAGGACCGCGAACGCGGCGAGGTCTCTACCGTCGTCCAACCCGGAGACGAGTACTCCGTAGGTCTTGCATCTGATGATCCCGTCAGTGCATCATCAACACCCTTGCCGTTATGGACAGCTTCTAAAAAACTTCGATAGTTTGACGCCAAAGTTGCTGCGATTCAAGTTTCGCTCAGAGATCGTATGCGCTTCTACAAACTCAGGGTGACCACGAATGCCGCGGCGACTGCGTCTCAGTTCAATGAGCAGTTCAAGCCCGAGACCATACCAGAGGCGAATGATCCGTTTAGAGTAGACTGGATTAAGGCGCCCTCAGACGAGGCCTATGTTGTTGGAGACGCGGTGTGTCCAATGTCTGCGCCAAATCTCTTTCCTGGCGATGCTCATTATGCGCTCAGGCACTCCGTTTATCGGATCCAGCGGAACTAGGCTATGTGCTCAGGTGGCCATTATACGGTGGCAACTTCAATACTCGTAATTATAATTCTACTGAAGAGATTTTGGGCGACATCGAGACAATAATTACCGCCGTCCTCGATGAAAAGTTCAACGTTGCCCCAAAGAGCTACAAGGTACGTACCACGCGAGCATTCTTCTACAGGATTTCTCACGACTCCGATCAGGAACACTCTGTTGTTCTGGTTATTCCAGACTTCTATGACCGCAGCTACGTACAGCGCATGGTTCGGATGCTGCTGGTGACCATGGGATTCAAACAGCTTTGTGTTCAGCAAGTAACCGATTCCATTTTCGCGCCTCCGCGTGTACCTGACACGTTTGTACAACTGTAGGAGTCATTAGCCGCCACCTACGGCGCAGGCATCTCAAACGGCTGTGTGGTCGACATGGGTGCCACAACCACGAGCATAGCTTGCGTGGACGACGGGCTTGTTATCTCTGACACAAGGTAAAAGATGACCGCTCTTCTATGTGTCACCCAATTTGACATACATGGTAGGATAGTTTTGAACATGGCCGGAAACGACATTACAGAGTTCCTCTACGTTCTGCTGCAAAAAATCAACTTCCCCTACAGGGACTTGGACCTGGCCCGCTCGTATGACTGGAACGTCATAGAAGATCTCAAAGCGCGGCTTTGCACGCTTGCTGAGGTGAGCATCAAGCCGCTTTGCCGCCTGCTTTGCTGATCCTGTGCCTCGGCCTGATTGCCCGTAGGGCGATGTAGCCTTGAACCTGTATGACTTTGTTGTCCGGCGTCCGGGAAAGTCCACCGAGAAGTATGGTCTCCGGGCATACGACGAAATTATCCTGGCACCCATGGTCCGTGATCTCCGTCGGTGCACAGCTATACCTTGCTGCGAAAGCTGATATGACAGCCTGATCGTAGTGCCTCTTCGAGCCGCGGGTGATCGAGTTTGAGCAGAAGCGGACAGGCACGCGCCCCTACGCGTCGCTTGAGGTAACTGACGAGATCCTCGAGCAGGCTGCGGACCACTTTGTGAGTTTCAAGTGGATGGATGACGCGTTCCTCGCGGTTAACAGGCTGTTCATGATTGACGCGGCCACTCTGATAGACGCAGGCGATGATCATCTCGACGCAGCACTTGCTGCCGTCCGCCCTCCCAACACCAATCGTACTGCAAGAGGTCCCGCCGGCTATGCAGACTACTGGCCTGAACACGCCGGCCGCGAGCGAGCCTCAGGCGGAAGCGACCAACGATGCGTCCAGCGGTGCCGCCTCAGGTGTGTGTCTGTTCGCCGATGTCCCGTCCCCACACGGTCTCTGAGCAGCGCGTCGCCGGTCAATTTGTTCATCTAGGTCCGCCCGAGGACGCGATGGAGGCTACCCCCGGCGCCGATGCGGGCGAGGAGCCGAAGGCAGAACCGGACCTCGCCAAGGCGGACAGCACGAGCACCGCCGACGGCGCGGCCGAGGTCATCGACGTGGACGAAGCCGAGCTCGACGCCGCAGCCGTGCCGGCGGGAAGCAGCGTGCCGCCTGCGGCAGCGGGCCACCAGCAACAGCAGCAGGCGGCCGCGGGAACGCCGGCGGCGGCGACGTACCCGGGCGGGTACACGATCGACGTCTGCTTCGAGGCGAGCAAGCTCCCGCTCGACGTCGCGATCTTCAACAGTGCGCGCGCCGCGGGCGGCGACGAGAAGATACGCAAGTACCTCCAGGCGGTGCTCGTCGTCGGCGGGTGCGCGCTCGTGCCCGGCATGGGGCACGCGCTCGAGAGCCGGTAAGTGCTCCCACCACCCGCTCGTGCGTGGGTTTTCGCGCGTGTGAGGTTGACGACTGTGCGATGCAGGTTACAGGCCATCGCGACACCGCTTGTACAGAGCATGGAGAAGGTGCAGATTATTCCGCCACCTAAGGATGTGGACCCGCGGGCGCTTGCGTGGAAGGGTGCCGCGGTCCTGGGCAAGATGGATGGTGTAGCCGATCTCTGGATCACTTCTCAGGATTGGGTACGCTTCGTGTATCTTCCGCGGAGCATCACGGATGCTCATCGTTGCATTTCCAGGACATCCTCGGCATGCGAGGGTTGAAAGAAAGGTGTTTCTACTTGTAGACACCTTCCGGCTTCTAAACGTCGACCGTCTGGCCGTTTCCTGGGTATGGAAGAATATAGTTCGATAGATAGGCGACTTTGTACGACGCTAAGTCCGCTGTGTTCTATAATCTGCTACAGAGACGCCACGCTGTACAATACGACATAGATTCGTAAACAAAACGATAAGTGGGGGACTACTTCTGCACATCAATAAACCTCGGACACGTCGTTCGCGGCGTCCTATTTCCGTCGTTTCGGAACTATAGGGGTCATGTAAAGACATGTCTAATACGGCGATAACGGTATGAACTCACCGGAGATGGACCCAGAAGCTTTGCGCTTATGGCCGGATGCCCCCTTCCTGGGCTTCTTGCCAGAACCAACAACGATGGGTGCGCCTGGTTCGTCCTCGCAGTCAGGGCAGAACCACTCGCCTTCAGGCACCGCATCGAGCGGTGGATCAAGGCAGGCGAGATGATACGGGTTGTCGCACTGTGGCCCGTCCGTGTGAGCATCGCGAGAGCCCGGTGATACAAATTATTCACCTTCTCGCACTCCAACAGCGATGGGTCGTCGCCCGTGTCCTGGTTGCATATGACGCATAGCTCGGGCGCCTCCATGTCGAGCGGATGCCGTGGCATGTCCGAGAGCTTCTCGTTCGGCTTCGCGAGCAAGAACGTCGTGTTCTGACCTGCTGCCACTCTGGTGTTCCGTCAGCGCAACATTCGTCTGTGTGATACGGGATGTGGACTTACTGCAGAACGTGGATCCCGGCCAGCGTCTTGTTCTGTGTCGGCTTTGTAGCGCTCTTTGGCTCGTCGGGACCCAGTCCGAGCTCACCGTTGGCTGCACCTTGTCCAAAAGCGATAGCCATGATACTGCCATCTTCCTCCTCGACGAGTGACCAGTGAGTGACGCCGCCACAGCTGGCAGCGATCACATTACAACCCCTGCGAAACTGTAAGACCTGCAACGAAGACGACAGTATACAGAACATACATAATTTCCTGGAAGTACCTGAAGGAGGAGTACGGTTGCCCAGCAGATCCTGCGTTGCAATGAATTACCAGAATAGGATTTGGTCAGTAGACCCAGCTTACCATCTCCGGTATTCTTCCACTGCGCAGGGGGTCAACACTGAAGCGATACACCAATGACGGAACACACCTTGCCCGCCATCCAATACATGTTTTGCTTGTCCATGACAATTGTATTGGTCGGTCCGGCCGTGATACCCTTAGCTGTGGTCGCGGGATTAGGACCTGCGAACTGTGAACGACAAGTAGTAAGCAAACCACAATCAGGCTAGCCGAAGATGGACTTACGCTAGGGACCACCTTAGGCACTAGGACGTCATTTTGGAGACCGGTGCCAAGCCCCATTCGTCCGTAACCGTTGCAGCCCCAGACATGGACAATTCTACACAAACGTTAAAAATTTACCATTGCAAGACAGATGAACTTACCCTTCGGAGTCCATTGCAACGCTGTGCTGTTGCCCGCAGGCAATCTGGACAATGTGTTTGCTCTCCAGGCCCCTGATTAACACTGCACGTCGGAATCAGCACGAGTGGATATATGGGAAAGAGACTGCGTACAGGGCTCGTGTTCTGCATCATACACGAGCTTCCCGCCCGTGACAATGTGTTCGCCGGTCTTGCCATTGCCGAGCTGGCCCTTCTCTGCGCTGCCAAATGCATAGACTACACTTCGTGTGAGCGAACACCGGGCCCTTGAGTATTGTGTGGACATACCCTTGCCGCTTTCAGTAAGGACGAGCGAGAAGTTCAATCCCGCCGCAGCTTTGATAACCTTCTCTTTGTGCTCCGCGTGAGTCGGTCCGTCAATTAACCTGAACTTTGTGATCTCAGGGCAGACAGGATGCCCGCACTATGACAAGGACGTGTGTCATTGCGTTTTGTAGCGCACGGAAATTCCTCGCAGACTCACCTGACCCATGTTGTTTGCACCGCACGACCACACCTGGCCTTCGCTTCCGACTAGGAGGGTATGGCTCCTGCCACACGCTGCATGGACGAATTTCGTGCTATCAGCTGCGCCGAGCGACTGTGGGGTCACCTTGAGCGGTGCGTTCTCAGATATCACGTCCCCGGGGGCACCGAGCACAGCGCGTTCATTCCGTCCAAAGAGCCAAGCCGCTCCGTCTACGTCAAGGACTACACAGTGACAAGCTGAATGAGAGGTATGGACCGACAGCGCCTTCACGTTGCTCAACGACCGAAGAATGTGCGGCTCGAGCAGGTCGGGGCCTCTGCAGGACGTGTTCAGCTGGACACGACGGGCGGAGGCTGGATGAACTGTGCACGCACTGAGTTTCATCTGGATCCTTCTTACTCCCTTTTCTGCCCAACTTGGCCCTGTTCACAACAACATATTTGCAACACATACACCACACGTAGGGTGACACAGAGCAGGCGGGAGCAGTGATGCAGTGATCAGCGGCATGGTTCGAAACATGAAGTGGTGGTCACGCACCAGTCTGTCCCACCGCAGAGCAAAACTGGAGGGGGCGGCTTCAACGGAGCAGCGAGACAAATAATGTCGCGGATGACGCACCTCGGCCCCATTGTGGCTCTGTTTCAGAACTTGTGGCTCGGGCGGGCGGATTCTCTGTGGTCATGTTGTTGCTCGGGGGTCAAGGAGAGGGGACGCTCAACACCGACAGCCGGCTGCCTCCAATTGTGTTCGAATTCAGTCGTCCCAAATAATCTCTTGGCTGTGCTCGCAGAACGGCTTTTGCGCAACACCGACGTCCGAGCTCAATAGCTAAAACAAGATGGTTATTAGGCTATGTACAGGTATTGCATGGTGCTCTAAGGTACAATGATGCATGCAGCCCCCGGGAGATCCTCGATGTCCTGACGATGTGTGTGTTGACAGAGAAAGCAATGAACATAGCAATAAATTATGCAAAAAAATCTCTAGATGTGTAGGTCCGCTCAGCCATTACGGATAATGCCTTTAGCGTACTGTGTACCAATCAAGACTGCGTAAAAATGCGTCAGCGTCAAAGGAATAAAGAATATAGCGAAGCTACGTACGCATGCTCATTCCAGTACGGTGCAACGTGTACTATGACGTGGACATGAGGAAGGTAGAGTAAGTAAAGCTTTAGTGACAGCATACCTCAAACTCATCACCAGACAGCAAGAGCATATCCCCATGAACCAAAATCACGAACATGGACTCGGTCGGTTTCCTCTCGGTCATTGCCCGGGTGCTGGCAGCACGGCGTGTCGACAAGGCCTCATCCTCTGAGCTACTAAGCGGGCCGTCAAACACCGCACTGAACTCGTCCTCGGACTCGGCAGCCTTCGTTATCGCTTGTCGCGCCGACACGCGCTCAGGCTGCTTGCTGATAGAACGAGTTGAAACCGGGAATCCATGCTTCGGGGTGATGTTGAGCTCAATATCCGAGCCCAGACAGAGCATGGCGATCGTCCGGCCCCTATTTGGCAAGGCGGTGCCCTGCCGAAGATCTTAGCCTATTATCCTCCGTCAGAGTGAGAGAAACATACCTTCCGACTACCCGTCTTGTGCCAGCCGAGAATCGTGAGCTGGTCGATCCTGAAATTCTCTTCCGCAGCATGCTTTGTGGCCCACGTTTCTATGACTTCACGTGCTAGCTTCACGGAGGGCGGGATAGAAGTCCAGCCAATACTTGGCGGATGCCCCTCATGACCGACACCAACGAGGCAAGTGAAATAGGGCCCTATAGCACGCCATCAATGACTGGCCGTTTCAAAAGTTCGAACTGATACATACCTGTTGCTACCTTTGTCTTTGCTCCCTGCCAAGTCATCGGAACTTCCATCTGGAAGTCGAGGAACAGCCTGTCCGCCGCCTGCTGCATCTTCGTCCGGTTGCACGTGAACACATGTTTGATCTCGACCGAGTCTCCTATGGCGTACACAAACGTCCGCAAGCCGCCTTTCTCGCCCCCCAGGACGTTCACAGTCACTGTTTCGGGGTATCTGTCCAGAGGCGTCGCGTCGGGCGTCATCTTGTGCGGGTCGCGAACATACTGCGCATCGACCGGGATCATGTCGTTACCAGCCTGACGAAAACATTCAGCGCTGGTCGTGCGACACATATACGCGTAGTATGACGTACCTGGCATGTCTCGCACTTCTGGAAGCATAAAAGCCGCTGCACATTTAGCCGACCACACTGCACACAGTGCCAGCCCTTCTTAATGACGAGCTCTGACGCCACGGTCGCTTCGAAGCTAGGTTTATCGAACTCAGATCGTAGATGCATCGGGAGAAGCGAGTGTGGCGACGGCTCATCCATCTCTGCCGCAGGGAGAGCTGCAGAATTTTGCCACCACGGATATGTGGGCTGCTGGTCCTCCGGAGCGTTCTCACCGCCAGGTACCCAGCGAAGCTTGAAGTGCCAAGTCACACGCACTGTTCGCTCTTCATCATCCTCGCTCTGAACGAGGGCGGTTCGCTGGTTCATGTGAGTATCTGGTGCATATGATGGTAGAAAGGAATCTCACCTCGACTTCCACGATCTTGTAGAATCCGAGTACGCATATACCACAATCTTCCGGAAGGTTGAACGGCAAGAGCAAGTAATCGCGCGACACGACAAGAACGACAGGTATCTGATATGTCTTGCAATCCAAAAGGTGCTTAACATCCTGCGGCACTTCTTCTGGGAAGAAATTCAACTTCTCCTCCTCGACAGTGGGTGATGTCTCGAGAACCTCTCGTTCCAGAGCAGTTTCAGGGATGCGATTGGACAGGTCACGGTTCAGAGCGTCAAGATCCTGCACTGTATTCTTCGTCTTCTCTACAGCTTTGTATTGCATGTCATACCGAGCAGGTATCGACCGGGAGCGACCTGTCAATTAGAGGGAGAGCTCAGCATCGGGCTTAGCCACACAACTGCGCATATTATGGAGGCTCACTTTGAGAGATGGACCGCTCGTGAGGTGCGTCTTCATCGGGGCTGTCGTCGTCGAGTGCAGAGCTCCGTCGCGCAAACCTATGCGTATATGTGGCGGGGGGGAGGTGCGGTCTAATCCTCTCCCCGGCTACCTTCTCACGGAAGCCTTCGCCCATCTTGAAGGTACTATCGGGGCTGTCGTCGTCGAGTGCAGAGCTCCGTCGCGCAAACCCACGCGTAGATGTAGTGGAGGGGAGGTGCGGTCTGGTCCCATTCCCGGCTGCCTTCTCATGGAAGTCTTCGTCCATCTTGTAGGTACTATCGGGACTGTCGTCGTCGAGTGCAGAGCGCCGTTGCGGAAGCCCAGGCGTAAATGTGGCGGGGTGAAGATGCGGTCTGATTCCCTCTCCGGTGGCCTTCTCACGGAAGTCTTCGCCCATCTTGTAGGTTCTATGAGAAGGAGTCGGATATCTGCACGTAGTTAAATCATCGCTATCGCGAGAAACTGATGATCCCGGGCTGAGTCGCTGCGCGCCGGGGTCGGAAAAGCGACGGCTCCCATCCGGGTGCCAGATATTCGTTTGCTGCTGGTGGATACCCCAATCGCTCTGGTGAATCGAATTGTTACTGCCGCCGAACCTGCCGCTCAGACTAGGCGCGGTCGGGGTTTGAGGAGCGGGTTTCGCGGCCTGCGGTCGCGACTGTTGCGGTGACTGTGCATGTTGCGAGCTCTCAGTCTGGGCGAGCCATGCCTCAGGTAATTTCGAGGATAGAGGCGAATATACCTTTCGAATGCTTGGGGCCTGTGGCCCGACGCTTGGGCTATCCGCCTGGCGTGATGTCGACGCCTGGGGCTGCGGAGTAGACGGGGACTGCTTGGCGCTGAGCGCCCGCGAGGGGTGACAGGACACCGCAGTTGGCCGCATATCCGCGACAGATTGCGAACGAGGTGTCAACAGAGATGGCGTCGAAGCGGAGGAGCGAGATTCTGATATCTCATCGACGAGCATCATATCGTCTCCGCCGTAGTCGACGTCTGTCCCAAGATGTCCCCTGCCTCGCTCGGCTGAGATAGTGAAGTCTCGAACTCTGAACAGGAGTCGGAAGAATAGCCACCTAAAAGAGGATAAAACTCACAAGGTGATCTCTGCGCTCCCTTCAGCGGTCAGCGAGTCCTTAGGCCATGCATGACCTTCGAGATACACCATAGGCGGCTCCAGCGTAGCGTACTCCATGTGCACTCCAGGTCCATGACCCTTCATGGCGTCCGACACCCAAGGCAAGACTTCCAGAAACTCTGCTTTATTCTGAACGAGTTCAGGTGATTGATGAGCGCTGCAGGCACAGCTTAGGAGTATGGGACGAACCTTCGCCCATATTCGCGGCTTGCCCTGGGGTGTGAACCTCGGTGGTACGGACTCGTCATGGAGTAGTTTAGCTAGAGATCTCGGGGTCGAGGATGGCAGTGGACCTGGTGGTGGTCGAATAACATGCCAGATAGTACCGTCATTCGCCAACCACCTCCCTTCTGCGTAAAGAGGTATACAATAAGCTGGAATGAAAATCTTTGTGACCGGCATACCTTCCGTTTCCTTGCCTTTCCCGTCCACGATGACCCTCTTCTCCGGCCGTTTACCCCTCCTCCCAGCCAGCTTCTCAGCGACAGCCCTCTTCCTCCCGTTCACCGATGCCTCGTTGCTGCTAGAGCTCGTGGACGCCGCAACGGCGCTTTGACTTTCCTGGCCGTTCTCGCCGCGTATTACGGGGGTAACCCGTTTCGGTAGCGGTTTCTTGGGCAGTGGCATGGGCTCATATTGGACCGAGGGAGTCGGTGTCGAGCTGAGAGGCGAGAGGCTCTCGTCAAAGGGATGTGGCGCGAGGGTCCGCGCACGCTTCGGGACGGGCATGCTGTCGGAGGTAGAGGAGCGAGCCTTGGCCTGCTTCTCGTCTCTACTAGCATTCGCTGTCCGTTTCTGGAGCTTGGGCTTCTCGCACTTGGGTCCCGGAAGCTTAACCCAGCCGTCCTCGACGTGGCAGACTCTGTCCGGATCGCCTGACACGGCGCACCTCTGGCAAGAGGGTCTGCTCCTCGAACAGACCTGCCTGATTTTTGCGCAGTACTCGCACGGCTTCGGCGTCACATAGAAATCGCGCTTGATGCCAGTGATAGGATGCACGGCAAACAGGAAGATGTGGTTTGGGTCAATGCGAGTGTCGTACTGGTGTGGAAGCTGGGGTGGTCGCCGCAGATGAGGCCCCCATGAACGCGTGTATTCTGGTAAAGGTTCTGCGGGGTCGAACGGAGCAAATGTAAATTCTGTGTCTTCCAGCCGCCCTGCGTATGTCGCCAGCCCGAGGTTGGGATCAGGAAGATTGTTCATATTGTCGGAAAGCGCATAGACGGGATAGGGGAAAACAAGGTCCATGTTTTCTCACAACGCCTGACGAAACGGACGACCCTTGCGCGAGCGTCTATCGCATTCCACCCTCCCGCTCATGGGCAAACGGAACTCGACATTTGCTGGTTTCTCTCATTTCGTTCTCGACGCTTTCAAGCAGGCAGAGTCGCTGGGCAGTGCTGAACAGAAGGAATTCGTATCGCCTGGCAACGCTCACAGAGCATCTGAGGAGGGCCCTCCCAGAAAGAAGCGTAAAGCCGGCCTCTTGGGACCTGGACACGAGAAATACGATGCCACGGGGCTCGTGCCATGCTATACGGAACCATCGGAGGTACCTGAACGTCTGAAAAAATGTGCGTGGCCTATATAGCGTCTCCCCGGCTCGTGCACGCTCATTCACCCCAAGACTTCTACCAGCGAGAACGATACTTCTCTCTCTACTCTGAAGGTTGTCTCCTCGACGAAGAAGGTTGGTACAGCGTCACGCCGGAGCTTATAGCGAACCAAATAGCTGAACGGTGTCGTTGCAAAACAATCCTTGATGCTTTCTGCGGCGTGGGAGGCAACGCCATCGCTTTTGCGCAGACGTGCGAACGAGGTACTCCACGACTTTCATTTCTTGGTTCATGGTGCTAAACATGTGGCATAGTGATTGCCCTGGACACTTCTCCAACACGACTTGCCCTCGCTCGGCACAATGCAGTCATTTATGGCGTCGAAGACCGCATCGAGTTCATTCTCTGCGACTATCTCTCCTTCGCCCGCTCATACCTCACTCTCCCTCACCATCCAGGACATCGGAAAATTGACGTGGTGTTCCTCAGTCCGCCCTGGGGTGGCCCAGAGTACTTGGCGGGTCCTGTAAGCGGCCTGCTCTCTGACAAGGACCAGCATCCAGAGTTTGGCCTCGCAAATATACGGCCGATCCACGGGGCGGAACTTTTCAAGCTCACTCGTCAGATAACCAACAACGTCGCGTACTTCCTTCCGCGCAACACCAGATTAGAGGAGATCTCTGGACTGCTGACGCCAGAAGAGAGCAAAACAGAAGTGATCGAGGTCGAAGAAGAATGGATGGGCTCCAAGTTGAAGGCGCTGACATGTTATTTCGGAGGCCTTGCCGCGGGACAAGAAGAACTGTTCGAGGAATCGAGCCCTTGACACCACTGAACTTGCGCTTCACTTCAAAATGAATCGTTGTTCGTTCAAAAGATGTGCATCACTGTTGTGTACTGTTTTGAGAACTAAAAGTAGCGCATTCGGATGTTTATACAAACGTCGCGACTAATGATATCGCGTAGCCATTTATTCATCGCCAGTCGCAACTGGATTGCGAGTCAAGCTTTTCAGCAACTCCCCGTCGAAAGCACCTATGCACAAAGAACATCATCGATGCATGTTTGGACACACCCTCGGGGAAATGACACTTACGTCCAGCACTACTCTTATGCTTCCCTCGGTACGCGGCAAGTGGCGAGTTGTAAGCCGGCGAAGGCGATCCTGGGAAGGACGAGGTTGATGACGCAAATGAGCTATCCAGCTGGGACGCTGATGGCACCGAGTAGTACATTGTTCGCGACGGCGTCGAGATGGGTGAAGAGGCGTAGAGGCTCGAAGAGAACGCTCTCTGCGGTTGAGGTTGCGACTGTGATTGCTAGAGAACATAGTGAGTACAAATGTACTACGAATATTTGAAGGCAGATGGAAGAGAAAACGATCAATTCTGGAACAAGTCTAATGTGAATATAGAAAAGACTATGGACGTACTGTGGGGGTGAACGCTCCAAGACGCCTTTGCGGCAGCGACTTCGGTGTCGCGGGTGTAGACTTCGCAGGCGTCGGTACGGAAAATAGGGGTGCTGGAGGAAAACGCAACGCATACGACGCTTGCAGCACATTCAAGCCGAGGATGCCAAGTACACACAGCTCTGACAAAACATGCGTCCGCACGAGCATGAGCACACCGCGTTTGTTCATGTTATCCGTACGACATACCGAGCAAGCACAGCCAATGCCACCACGTCCCTCCCAGCCCTTCGTGGTCTGAATACCGGCTCCCCAAGACGAGCCGCAACGCGGTGAACGACGAGGGAAGCGGCAGGAGGTTCGTGACGATGAGAACCGAGACGAGGCCCAAGCCGTTTGTGCGTAGTCTAGCCGCCGCCTGGCTCGGATGTGGCTTCAGCCAGTCCAGCACCCTTGACGACATCTTCTGTAGCAATGACCTGTTCGTATACGCAGGACGTGAGGGCCACTCGAGCAGGCGCCCCGCAAAAGGGCTCAGTCACATGACCGGTAGCCGCGCGGCCGGGACAGGCCGTGACGGGCCGCAGCTCGAAATTGTATGCACTACACGGTCTTCCCAGGCAGGCCTCAGGGCGACAGACGACACTATCTGGGACACCACTTTCCGGATTTGTCTTTGTCCCAGGAGGTTTAGTCACTAACGAATGCCTTCACAGTTTCGCTTGAGAGCAGCTTACGTTCGCAGAAGGACAACAAACGACGACAATAGCAAGTGGCTCTGTATTGTCAAGCATACAAGGAGACAAGTCCCTACTTATATACCAGAACTTGATCTTCCCCACGCTGACACAGTCCTCATTGCACCACGAGTCCGAACGGAAGCTAGACAGCCTGCAGAATGACAGCTTTAGGCTCTATGGAACATCAAGACACCTTTTTTTTGTCTCCGAGTTTGCCTGCAAGACCTCAGATCTCACTAAAGACTCGTTTTGGTGAACACTTGGAAGGGCTGGCTGGCTCAGCAAAGAGCCTACCCGATGAACAAAGGGACAAGGTTGCGCTCACTGGCAAGGTGCCGCAGCGGTGTAGTTAGGGTGAGGGTCTATGCTGGATCCGCTAAATCGTCGCACAAGTTGAGGACATGCACGGGCTACTTGGTCATCGCGTGTTGCGGCACCTCATGCTTAAAAAAGTATGCGCTAGGGCTTATTATCCTCAGCACGTTTATGGTTTGACTGATTGTGTCATGTTCCAGTAATTGGGAGGAAAGCAGGTACCAGAGGCGCTACCGGAAATACGATATGTATAGCCTGAACGTTGAACGTTGAACGTTGAACGCTGAGCGCTGAGCAACGGCAAGATGCTTCAAGTTAATCAAGATGCTCATCTTCGCTCTAAGAGGCCGAGACGTGTCATTGCTGGTTTGAAGCAGTGGCCGGGGCGCTTACACTTGTAAGGATTCGGACTGAAGGCTCCGTATGACGCCAGACTTGCCTGCTCGAGGATTGGTAAAGCCCTGCGATATCCGTCCAAACTCCGTTCAGAGGTGAGATTGTTGTCAAAAAGCAATGGGCTAGGCTTCGACCTTCCCAGGATACTGCTGCTGCGCCAGTTCAATGTGCCCGTGGCGGCTGTTTGCCTCATCGCGACTCGGGATTATGTCATACGATGTAACATTGTTTTGACAAGCTGGCGGCATAGTCTCTATTGCTTGAGAAAGCGGTCGGTATTGTGGTGGCTTACAGAGCAGACTTTGCTGACTGATGCAGGAGTCGGCCAAGCGATGAGAGTAACGCATACTTAATAGTGTCAGAACTGCTCCTGGTTCTCAAGCCCCACTATTGCGAAGTCAACCACTCGTATCGACAACCTCAGCCAGTGCAGACCTTCGAACAGCCCTCACGATGACCGTCGCAGTCCTCGTCCCTCACGATGTCCCCACCGTTTTGAACTACTACGTCCCTGACCCGGAATCCGACGAGCCGCCACACATTTATATTATAGATGCACCGGCCGGGAAGAAGAGGGACAACATTGGCCGCGAGCCGCACGATGTCGTCATTCACGACGCTCGTGGCAAAGAGAAGGAGTACGATCTCTCTCTCGACACATCTGGCTTCCAGTTCGTCAAGCACGTGAGCCAGGAGAAGGAGTTCGACGACGACGAGAGGGTCAAGAACGTGTACTACAAGGAGGTGGAGGAGCTGCTCAAGAAGGAGACCGGTGCGAAGAGAGTCTTCGTCTTTGATCACACTCTCCGTCGCACCGAGCCGGATTTCGTTAGTCCGGAGGGTAAAGTCATTCGTGGCCCAGCCGTAAGTCAACTTATGTTCTGCGAATTGACGCGCATGCTCAAGCTATCTGTAGGAGGCAGTCCATGTTGACCAGACTTACGAGGCGTCCGTTGCGCGTGTCCACCGTCACCTCGGCGATGAGGCTGAACGCCTCCTAAAGGGACGTGTCCGCATCATCAACGTCTGGCGTCCCATCCACAACCCCGTGGCACATAGGCCACTCACCGTGTCGGACTGGCGCACCGTCGACAAAGAACACGACCTTGTCCCTGTCCGTTTCATTTTCCCAGACCAACGCCTCGCAGGTACGTGCCCCTCGTGTATAGCCTCCAATTGTCGCTCATAAGTCTTCGACGTGACGCAGGTGTCTACTCCGTCCGCTACAACGCGAACCACAAGTGGTACTACCTCTCGGATCAGACTCCGGATGAGGTCACCCTTATCAAGTGCTACGACTCGGAGGTGGATCGTGCGCGGTTCACTCCACACACTGCATTTCTGGATAAGACTAGTCCGAAGGATGCGCCTTACCGGGAGAGTATCGAGCTCCGATGCTTGGTATTCGATACGGAGTAGAAGCTGCAGATGACTCGCAGCGGGGATGTACCCAGACGCAACTTGCACTTATTTTTGTACCGTTGCATTATATAGTAATACGTGTTTAATACATTCAGCATGTTTACGGAGTCGGATACTTGACTTGGAGGATGCAACTTCAAAAGCTTCAATACGTAAGCAGCCGCACTAAGCGCTTATCCAAGGAAAAGTCGAATTAATATCGTTATCTGTTCCCGCGAAGCTTTGCGAGCACCACTGTAGTCTTGACTGCCTTGTGGCGTGCACGGGATTTTATTTATCCACCATCATCATATTCTTCGCTATTTCTAACAATTTGCAACTTCCAAACATCCTTCCGCCCAGTCATCTCGCATCGAGCTGGATCGGTCCCGGCGACAAAATCCAGCGGCTGTTTGAGGATCAGATTTGTGAGCATGACACCGTTGGAGCGGGAAGAGCTATGAATGTGCCAAAGCAGTATGAGGCGAACTATATGGTCCGGCATGTGATGCATTTCCAAGGATGACGGCGACTGGCTGTGCATGGAGGAGACAGACAGCTAAGCTATCGTGTGGACGCCTCTCCCTCCGATAATTTCGGTCATCGAGAGTCTATTTTCGTGGCTACAGGAGTACCGGGGATTATTGCATCAAGATCATCACCGAATGACCTATACGATAGCGCATGGTAGGGTATGTGAGTACACGACAACTGTGCAGCGCGACAGAGGATGCTAGTGAACTGCGCGGATAATAACACATGGTTCAAGAGGTTGTGCCAGGGCCCAGACTGTTCGATCGATACAACGAGAGGGTAGCGAAAGCTGGTTATATGCGTGCTATGGCGCCGAATCGGTTCAGCCAGACCGGGTACTGGATGTCCGCCCACAGTGGGTGCGTGCTCTAACCAGTCCCTAGTGTCTCAATAAGTAGTGCTTGGCGAGAAAGGTGACAGAGAGACCTACTTGGACTGACAAATCTTGTTGCAGTATGCAACCCGCCAGCAACCTTCACAAATTCGGAGGCGATGGCTCGGCTTGTAGACACTACAGAGGCATTCTGACCAGTGACATCGCTTGAGCGCGGTAAATGGGCTACCGTCGGTATCTGGAGACTTCGGATCGAACCCGTCTTCCACGCGGTTAAGATACTCCCCAAGAGAGTCCAGGGATTGCAATATTGTGTTCCATTGGGAATGTATCTTTTGACCATGGGTACGAATAGCCTGTACGGCGGCTTGCTGGTATCTGCGACTGGAACCTCGGAAGAGTTTCAGTCGCCGACGGGTATTGGTAGATCCAGAGCTATTCCTGGAATGACTGCGCAAGACGTCGCGACACCGGCTGAGAAGCTCGCCTAGGATGGTACAGGTCACACGGACTGTCTCCACCTGTGTATCAGCACTGCCCTATAATGCGCTTGAGATTATGTGCTCACATCGTATCGCATCCTCGCTGACCAAACGGATGAGATAGTCACACACAACAGGAATAATTGCATGAGCACATGATTCGGGCAACATCGCCACGTTCGCGTTGTAATCCGGGACAGCATAGCTTATCCAGGTGCCAAGTGAGAATGGAAGGGCGGGCCAAGATTATTGCGACAGGAACTTACAACATATATGTAGTAGCAGTGTGGAGGTTATCGCGTGGCATCTCTCGCTCTTCCCCTCCAGTTCTACACAGCTCTCTACGGCAGGCCGCCAGTGCGTGCGCCAGAAGCACTCGAGCGTGTGAGGGAGATTCTTGCACGATGCTGTGTGGTCCCGGGGTAGAGTATACCAGCAGGGCATATAGAGTCTGGTTAAGGTTTTGGTCGATAAACGTTTCGTCTTCCAAGTCTCGATGTATAGCTGCCGCAATGGAGTCAGTTGCGATACCACCTCTAACGCCCGTCGCCACTTCCGCACGGAACGCGATGTATCCTTCCTCTCCCCGTGCTCTGAATTCGCTCATAACGATCCTACAAGCCAGGTCCCTCGCCATCGAGCGTATCTCTGCCTCGTCTCCATAAATCCAAATTGCGAGTTGAACATGCGCCAAGCGATCAGACTTAGCCACTCGTTTCGAGGCGCTTGGTCTGCAGTGCCACCGCATGAGCTCAAGCGGGAAGATGAACTAAAGTACGCCACCTGAGCAACTCGAGCTGCACTTGCCGAAGCCCCAAAAGTGCGAATTGTTTGTATAATGTAGTGCCGTACAGACCAGGGAAGTCAAGAAATGGTGTTTTAATGTCCCAGATCGCCTGCCACACACGCGGAAGTCTCTCCAGAATGAAAGCGGCGGATTGTTCGACCTTTGATGACCGAGCTGACCGGAGCAAGCGTGGATTCTCGAGTACAGCTTGGTGCGCGCGAACAATGACGTGCGTAAGCAACATCACAAAGCCAATATAAGGCTAGAATAATCCAGTGCGCAGTGAGCAATCGCTTCTAGGCTGTCAACCGAAGAGACTCACCATGGTTTGTAGGAAATCGAGTGGATTCTGGTGCCAGGATGTCAGCTCTTCTACGCTGTATCCACAGAGGTGCTTGTCAAGCAGAATGTGAATAATAGCGCGAGTGATGCTCGGGGTCTGTATGAGCTCAGTTGGGTCGCTTGGGTCCAGGAAGCCGTTCATCTGTAGGCTGCTTTCAACGTCGTGCACGACTTCTGCATCGCGGGCTCCCGTATGGTTTCGCAAAAGGGCGTTTGCCAGTTCATTGATTTGCTCTCTCCTCGCGTTTGAGTCGGTGTCTGTAGTCATTGCTGAATGAGAGGGAGAACACCTTCGCGGTGCCGGAGAGAGGCAGCGCTAGCTAGCGAACAATAACTCGGCGCCAAGTTTGACTGCTAAATTCACACGGTACGAGAAGACAAAGGTTCTGAGAGAGACGTACCACTAGGCGTACGCATTTTATTGCCACCCGCATAGATCCAACTTGAAGCTGCCAGTCAAACCTAGACTGCTTAGCCGATGTTAGCATCCTTACATAAGCCTCCGCAGGACTACCAAGGCCGTGGCGGTAAGGACAAGCTCACGCCACAAAGGCCTTGGCTGGCGCTGCATCACGAGACATGCGTGCGCCTCGGGCACATGAAGACAGCAATGTGGAACAAGAGACACGGAGTCTGGGACATCAGACCTCCGAGACCGCTCGTCAACACCTATTTTCAATGTAGCAGCGAGGGCTGTGGTAAAAGCGCACATGAAGGAGGTGCAGAGGTAGAGGACGTCAATGTTGACATGAAAGATGAGTTGGTAGGCAAGAGATACATCCAGGCAATAGCAGCGTACTAAGATACACGGGCCAAACAAAACATATATCCAGGTGTGCACAGCAATTAGTGGTTGCAGATACAGCGCATCACGGTGATCACGGAAGAGTCCGGCCCAGACCGTCGCAGACGTTGCAGGTCTCGTCAAAAATGAAGAAAGTGACGCTTCCCCTTCCACCACACCGCCAACAGAGCTTGCCGCCGATGCGCGGGTCGCCCGGCGGCACGACCGTCGCGCCCGGCGGCGGGCTACCCATGTACTGCGAGCTCGGTCCAGATAGGGGCGAGGAGCTGTGGAAGGGGCTCGCGTAGCCGTTCGTGGACAGGAACCCGCCATTCGCCATGGGAGCGCCTGTTGTGTGCGCTGCAACGCCCGGATAACCCGGCGCGCGCGACGTCGACGCTGAGCGTGCGAGGGAGCCGTGGGGCGGCGGAGGGAGCCGGTGGCTTGCGCTTGCGGGGCCCGCAGGGAGCGACGGGAGCGGCTGCTGGAAGTTGTTCCCGCTGGCGCTCGCGGCGCCCCAGGGCGCGTAGGTCAGCGGGCCTGCGAAGGGCTTTGCGTACTTGGACCAGCACCGCATGCATGGGTTCGACGGGTCCATTTGTTTGTAGCCGGTGTTGTTGCCTGATCAGAGATCAGTCCGGTCGTAATAATACGAGGGGATAAGCACGCACATTTGTTACACTCATAGCCCGCAGGATACACCAACACCCTCCCATTGCTCATTAGCGGATGCCCTGGTACAGGCTTCATCGTCGGCCGGCCTTCGTCAGGTGCGTCACTTTGGGGACCACCACGATTTGCAGGCCGTGGCGGCGTGGCAGGATGACCGTTGGGCGATTGGTCGGGCGGAGGCCCAGGCGGCGGGGCAAACTGCGATGGATTTAGGTTCACTAGTGGCGGGGCATACCGTGCAGCAGACCCTCCCAACAATCCTTCATTGCTTGCCCCGGCAGTATAGAAATCCCTCGCGAAGTCGGACACAGGCTGCGCCGCAGCGGGCGACGAGCCTGTGCGATTGTGAGATAGCGCGCGCGGGGGTTGCGGTGGGGCAGCTGGGGACGGGACAGCAACACGCCGATACGTCCCGTGCGACGGCCCTGTCGCTGATCTTGAGAGACCGCTTCCTGGGGACTGCGACCAGTTTGAAGGCGGCCATTGGGACTGCGGTCCGAACTGATTGCGCTGCCACGGCGGATTCATTGGCGGGACGAAGCGGCTTGGTGTGGGGGCCTGTTGGAAGGGCCTGCGGGGCCCTAGCTCTACAGTACTCTCGCCGCGACGGATATCGGGAGTAGGGGTGTACGGCGGGGGAGACTCTCCTCGCAGGATGTCGGATAGGTCGTCAGCAGAAAGCGGCGGTGGCGGCGGACTATCGTGAGGAGGCTCTGGAGGCGGCGATGAGCTGGTGTGTGGATGACGTGGTGGTAGCGATGCCTGGGTGCGTGGAGGCAGTGGAGGCAGTGGAGGCAGCGGTGAGTCACTGGGCGGAGGACGCTGGGCTGGACTCGAGCTCCTGCTCGAGCCAGAGTCAGATTCCGGTTCGTCCCGCTCTGTACCAGGTACGCCCGAGAAAGACATCGGCCTAGGTGGTATCGGAGGGGGTGGTCGTGCAAGCTCTACCATGCTGCTGGAGGATATCTCAGGATCGCGCGCAGGACTCATCTTGCGTCGGAATGGGTTGTTGTCAGTCATTGCTAAGGTCATGGCAGTGTGTGGTGCAGTGTCAAGAGAGCAGGTTGGTGGTGCAGGAGTACGTTTAGGCCATAGACTCGAGTTAGGAGAAGAGTTCGGCGAAATATAGCGCTGCAAAGAGCATATGCTGTGTCATCGGACAGCAGGCTCGAGGTGGTAGGCCGACAACGCTGGTCCGCCGCGCTGCCCGGGCCGACGCTTCGACAGAAAAGGGAAATGTTTAGATAACTACACGATTCCGAGATAAGATAACGGCAGCGAAGCGTCTCAAACGTTGTCGGGAGTCGCTGTCGTGGTCAGCAGCGACTGGTTCAAGCTATCCATAGACAGAAGACGGCGAGGTAACCGCTTGCATGTTATTCAGCTTAATTTATGAGCGACATAGGACAAGATGCGCGTATGTATAGGCGCAAGCTGCCGGGCAAGAACATTCTACACTCTCGGTCTAGCAGAGGACCACGACAGGTCAGACGGATACGCGGTATCGCTGGCTAGAGTGTGCCTACCACTATTTCTTGGAAATTTTCCGCCCGGGGCAGTCTTGGTGTCGAGTCGAGGAAGTGTGGGGGCTTGGCTCAGCCATGCGACTGCACAAATTCTGTCAAGAAATAGCTTTGCGCTATTTCTTGCGCAGAATATGCGCGGCCGCAGGGCAGATGCGGCAGTCTTGAGGTGGTTTTACGGCTGTACGTTGTGCAAGGTGTGCGCAGACTGGAGGCGGGATAGTTCATGGCGGTGATGAGGTGGTTCGGCAAGCTATCGTCGTCGATGGGAGGCGGAGCGACGGCGGTGCTGAGCGGGCGGGAAAGCTCGCGAACTCCAGGCAGAGACGTCTATGCGTTTGCGGACTGCGTTTTGGGACACAGAACCTATGCATTGGTCGGGGGGACTTGAGTGGGGTACGGGTGGTGAAGGTGGACCTTGGAGCTGGCTGACACTAGTTTCTGCCTAGACCTTATATACGCCCCGGAGCTCTATGGCATCAAAAAAACACACGCCGGTGCGTCTTCCATACACAACCGTTGAGAAACACTCACCCAAGCGTACTTCCAATTAGCGAGATCCCGCCCCGGCAAAAGTTCAGTGACATCCCTACACTGCGATCTTTTCGTCCGCTTTGATCGTCCAACCCTGGGCTCCTGTCTGCCCGCAAAGCGCACACACCGTGAAGCCGTCTTGCATCCACAGCAGTGGTGAATGATTGGTTGAGACTTTGCAACCGTTGCAGTGACGCCGTTGCCGCGCCTGTGGCTTACGTCTGGACAGCCAGATCAAATCGAATTCACCTCCATAGCCAGCATCTGGGGCGAGTACATCTCATATCTCACCATCGATGTGCTCTCGCGCGGGAGGGGGTTATCGACGCAGAGCTGCATGGAGGTGGAGGAAAGGGCAAAGGTGTATCTCGTTCAGGAGGAACATCGGCCCAAAAGCAGCCCAACGCACACGCGCTGCCTAAGCTTAGGCTGGCGATGCCCGGGCATGCGTTCCTGTCCCCGTGTGCATTGTCGTTCGCTCACGCGCCCAGACAATGCCAGCGGCCCCAACACACGTCCGACGGCCAGGCCAGGCCTCACTGCCCCTCGTTTCCGCTTCGCACAGCTGTCGAACACAGGGCGCGCCCCACTGGAGCCCCCGTTTCCATCGCTAGCGGCTGCAGAGCGTAACCTGCCGCCGCACAGCGGGCTCTAGAACGCCACTGACACGACAGACCCCGTCCCTCGCGCCCAGAGTGCGTGGCCCTGTAACCTAATCTCTAGCACATCCGAAGCGTAGCGATGGGCCATTAGCGCAGTTAGCCCCACGGGAATGCTTTCTGCGAGCGTGTCAGGCGAGGCGCATGTCAGAGCACAGGATAATGATTCCGTAAAAACGACTGCGACTCATGAACCCACCGTATAGGAACGCTCGGTTACGGTTCTGCCCATGTGCGAACCCGAAGCATGATATGACATTGCAGACAGGACGCCAGGCAAGACGCCGCAGGGAACACATAGACATTAGGTAAAGCCTCCTGCCATCTTCCAGAGTAGCAAAAACAGCACGCGAAGCTGAGTATTGGTAGCAGCGGTAGGCCATCGCAGTCAGACCAGAGCTCCGTGGCAGACTTCTTTTTGTATTGAACGAGAGAAATACATTCATGCTTCTTGAATTTTTTTACATTTTAAAAATAATGCGAGGCGAGCGGCGCCTTCCGTCAGCGTCGCGCGACCAAATCGCAGGTCTTCGGCGGCGCGGTGATCGCAGCAGCCATACCGATGATGAGATTAGAAAAAAACAGGCGCAGAGATGTGCTGCGCACGCCGAGAAGTTATGCGGCAAGGTGGGGTGAGCATAACGCCACCTGTCCTATCGAGACGGATCGGCGTACTTCGCGAGCAGGATGTGTCAGGAGGGACAAAAAGTTGAAGCGAGAGAGCAGAGCGGAGGACACGCCGACGTACGATACGTGAGCATGGAAGCCTCTGGCAGCTTCTCCATCGTCGTAGACAGAAAACGTTGCTGCAAGCACGACGAGGAAGGTTTATCTTCTCTCGCTGCTCTCCCGCGGTATCTCTCGCGTACTGAGGACCCGGCTTCGCGACGCAGCTTGTTGACGGCTATTGACGTCGCCCAGGTCCGTGGTTTTCGCACTTTCGCCTATCTTGGGTCGTTCTTGCCCTGCGTGCGCGCTATATCTTCCGCCACCCTGGGGACGCGAAGCACAGCGTCGAAGGACGCCTTACACATTTGTACGGCACATGTCCCCCGCGATTGCTGAGTCTTCTCATGTCGGGCAGGGGGACGACACGGCCGGGAGATCCTCGCTACTCTTGTGACCATGCTGCCCGACGCAATCGCGCCAACGTAAAGTCTGAGGGTGGCAAGGCAAGGCCTGCCGAGTGAGTTTACTACAAAGTGCGATGGGAAAGGACGTCGCTCGCCATGAGAAGGGCACGAGTTCTGCGAATGCTCGCTACATACCTCTGAGCAGTGCGAGGCTTGCGCCCGGGTGATTCAGCAGGAGAGACTACGACTTTCAGAGCCTTAAGAGCCTCGTAAAGGTTGGCTAATAATTACTATAGAAACGCCCCGCAGAGGAGCTATGATCAAAAGAATGAACCTGAATAACTTCCGCATATGGTATAAGCTCTCATGTTCGGCGTCCGCTGATCCCGATCTCCCGTCGTGGCGGCCCCGCGGCCCTGTGTGTCTCTCTCTTTCCGTCCGTTCGCCGCAGCTCGCCTACCCATCGGATGCACATGCAACACCGCAGAAAAGAGGCCAAAGCGAAGAAATCTTTTTTTCGTGGTCTGGCTTGGAGACCGGGGTTACGCCGAGTACGGGGACGGCGCTCGACGTGCAGCCGCGATGCGACGTCGCCGACCGTGCAGGCCCAGGGCCCAGGGCAGCGTGACCCTGCCTGCGCCGCCGTCGCGCGCACATCGGGCGGTGCAGAGTGAGGCCGGCGGCGTTGCGGTGCGCAGCGTCGACGGTCTCTTTTGTGAACTCCTGCGGTAGGTTCAGGGGGGTCTCACAGGTGGTGGGAACAAGTCCGCGCCCCTCGCACTTTCCATATAGCGCTGCCCGTCGCTCGTGGATCAAACAACTTCTCGCCGAGCAGTCTGCCGGCCGGGGCGCCGGGCACGCCTGGTCGTGCCTTTGCCCGCTTTTCGTCTCCGGAGCCCTGCGCCGGCAGCGGGCCGCCTTGGCTACGCCATGTTCTGGCAGCTGGCACGGACATCGACGGTTTGGCACACGGCGGAGGGTGCGGCTGGCCTCAGTGCGTGCGGACGGCTCGGCCACAGAGGATATACCGCCGGCGGGCTTTAGAGTTATTCGTGATCCGCACATGTGTTCCCTCTGCGAGAAAATCGGAGCCCCAGCTCAACTTTATGCGTCGAGCGTCGTCCCAATGATGCGGCTCCCTCGGCCCCTTCGCCTGTCTCGATGATCCATCGGCCTGACTTCCTGAGCCCCGTGCCACCCACCCACTTTCGCGTAGGACTTATAAGCACCCGGCCCTGAAATTAGCCTGTGTCTTACTTATATCCCCGCGTACCTGCCTGATAGGCGTAGACGTCCACATACCCACGATGCCACACCCACGACTGCGTGTTGCTGTCTGGTGAGTCTCCTGTCACTGTCACTATCGACATCGGGCTGACAATCTCCAGCGGAGGCGGCATAGGCGGACTCGTCCTCGCCGTCGCCTTATCGCAAGCCCAAGACATCGACATCGACGTGTATGAAGCGGCGCGCGAGTTCGCAGAAGTCGGAGCCGGCGTAGGGGTGTGGCCGCGTCCGTGGAAGATCCTGAAGGCCTTAGGCCTTGCGCAAGACCTGGCTCAAGTCACCTTCGTCCCGCCAGAAAACGAACTGGTGGTAGCATTAGACTTTCGCAAGGGCGACGAGCCTCACGGAGGCACCACGTTCGGGCAGATGCTTTCGCCTGGTGGGCCTGTAGTCTCTGGCCGCTGCCCGTCTTTTCTCAACTCGCTTTTCAGGTGGTTTGATCAGTTTTCATCGACCTGACTTCCAACGTATAGTCCTCCAACATCTCGCGAGATCCTGTCGTCCACACACATCGAAACGCCTCGTCTCTTACACACAGCCATCATCTGCCTCGGAGCCGATACAACTGTTCTTCCAGGACGGGACGACGGCCACCTGCGATCTTCTGGTTGGAGCGGACGGGGTCAAGTCAAGGGTACGGGCGTGCATGATCAAGGAGGTTGCGGACGACCTTCGGGCCCGGGGAGATTCGATCACTGCCTCCAAGGTAATGCAGAGTGCCGCGCCCGTGTGGAGCGGGATGATGTCCTACCGGACAACCGCGCCTTCTGAAGCGTTGCAGAAGCGATACCCAAATCACAGACTTTTGAAGGAGCCACATGTCGTACGTTGCCCGCTGCTCGCTCTCACGGTCACGACGTCGTTGACACTTGCTCTCCTGTCCCCGACAGTTTTTTGGCAAAAACACCCAGATGACCGCCTATCCCATCGCGCGGGGAACCCTCGTGAACGCCGCTGCCTTCACCGTACGGTGGGACCTCGAGAACACGTATCTGGATGCGCCGTGGGTCGTCGACGCACCCCGAAGCGAGTTTTCGCAGGAGTTCGCCGATTGGGAGCCGGAAGTGCAGGCGCTTTTTGACGTACGTATTGCCTTTTTTGTACATGCACCAACAAAGTCAATCGCCCAGCCTCTGTGGGCCTGACAGCGGCGCAGGACGCCTCTTTTCTGCGCTAGCTTATGCTCGGGGTTATGTTCATCCGTGTGCGACGGATCGCTCATCCTTCTTCCGTGCAGTGCGTCAAGTCGACCAGCCGCTGGGCCGTACACACGGTCATCCCCCTGCGTAGCTTCGTGCATCGGCGGGTGATCCTGATTGGCGACGCGGTACGTGTCTCGTGTTCTCCTCGCTAGCGCAGAGCTAACGGGGCGGCCTATCAGGCGAGCGCGATGCTGCCCTTCCAAGGCTCAGGCGCTGGGCAGGCCATCGAGGTGCGTCTCTCCCGAACAATGTGCAGGCAGCCTCTCAATCAATTTCTTCGGTTTATAGGACGCGTACATCCTGTCAGCCTTGCTTACTCACCCGTCAACGACCGTCCACTCCCTCGAGCGCGCCGCCAAGATATACGACGCCATCCGCCGGCCCGCCGCACAGCGCGTCGCGGTGCTCTCGCGTGAGGCCGCCCTGTTGTACACGTTCAACTATCCCGGCCTGACGCTCGACCGCGATGGCTGCCGAGAGGAGCAGCTGCAGAAGATCTACAAACGGATAGTGAACAACTGGGCATGGGCGTGGGAAACGACCGCGCAGCCTGATCTAGAGAGGGCGATCGCGATGTTAGAAGGCCGCATGCAGTAGACACGCGCACCGCCGCGAAGTTAGTGTTTGGTATAATGTCCGTCACGATCTCGGCCACGATCTCAGTCATGTTCTCTTCGTGTAGTAGCTTTGCCCTTTTTCCCCGGCCCTTACTTAGGCTTGTATACTTCAATGGATACCCCCGTCTTCCGCACGTGCAGGTTTTTCCTGCAGACAATATATCACCCACATGCAGCTCATAGCTTGCATTTTGTAGTCTAGCCGGCTGTCGAATATATCGAGCCGATTATTGTGGCGCTAAGCGAAGAGGGCCGCTCATTTCCTGAAAGGGTACTCAACGCCGACGTCATCGGACGCCAAGGGGCTTGGCCACACTGATACAGGTCAGACCGGACTTTGCAAACTCGTCGCATACGATTTGACGTAGAAACGCACGTCTCTCAAAGGTTCACTCGCTGGGCATCTACATAAGCGCTTTTCGTCGTGAGGTATAAAACCGAGGCAGGTGTCCCTCAGGATTCGATATTAATACGCTGAACGGGCTTGATTACCTATACAACTTCCCTTCTCATCCGCCTCTCATTCATCATCCCATCTTTTCTCTTAGGCACAACATGTCTTTTTCTCGCTTCTCCTACGAGCTGTTCTACCCCCCGCTCCGGCTTTGACCGTCTCTTCGACGAGGCGCTCCGAGCTAACTCCAGAACGGCAAGGGCAGCGGCAGACGGCGCCTCTGCCAAGTCTCTGAGGCCGAGGGTCCGTCCCTCATACCTCGTTCTTTTCTATGACGGGCACCGTTCTAACGAGAGATGCAGGACGGGTGTGCACAAGAATGAGAAGTTGAACACGGTGACGGCAACGTTTGATTTGCCGGGCTCACGAAGGAGGACGTGCACATCCTCATAGTGTATATCAATATTACAAATGGTTTTCCGTGCAAAGATCTCATAAATTCTAGACTAACAACGCTAAAGATCTTGTTCCAAACAAGATCTTTAGCGTACTGTTGGTTAATATGCTGACAGACATTTTATCTTTCCCTTGGCGATGTTCTCCAATGTAAGCGAGAGATCTGTGGGCTTTAGAGATTATTTGCTTACCATTATCACTAGACTGGCTTATTAGTTTACTGATCTGATCGCTCTTGAGATCCTGAGATCGCTGCGCGGCTAGATAATCTCGCGCCTTATATTGAGCGTCTAAAATATTTAACACACGGATACGTCCCACTGGCAGAGAATCCGCATTCACTGTGGCAGGCTACGCATATTGTAAACCTACAGGGTACCACGAGGTTTATGCACCAAACGGGAGAGGCACCGATGAGGATAGCCATGGGTATATATACTATACATAACCTAGAGCTACAAATAACCTATCAACGCATAGAGAGTTTGGTTAAGCTACAACATAACGAACGTGAGGGACAGGGAGGAGTGTCGCGCGCACAAGAAATTGTGAAAAAGTGAAGCCTGAATCAGGATATTGGAAGGCTGATCAACAGCCCATAACGACGCCGTCGTAAGGGCCGTCGTGGTCGCTCTCATCAGACTCAAAAACGTTGGGGACGGCGCCGACCTCACATTCTGTACTCGGATTGTCTTGACCTGTGCAAGCGAGTTCAAAAGGCACGAATGTGCGCCAGAGAAGGGAAAACACACCAGGACAAGCCATCCAATTGTTAGACTGGTCGACATGGATCTCCCCGGACGGATGACGGTAGCCCATGAACATGCCTGGCATTGTCGGAATGGGGTCCTTCTTGTTGTTGATGTGATTCATCGAGGTAACATGGGCATCGACGTAGTCCGCGAAGGCTTGATTGCCGACCTGAGTAATACGGATCAGAACTATACCACGATGTGCAGGTGGAGTGCAACTTACCCTAGGTAGTCCATAGAGGATGGCCTTGCACGTAACCTCCGGTAGGTGGAGCGGCAGGTACACAGCGTCTAGCAGAGCAATTGCTGCACCTAGAGAAGGAGAGAGGGTAAATGACAGGTCTTCAATCCAAGTATCAGGCGAAACTCACCCAAGGAATGCCCAACCATGGTCACCTGAGTAGCGCCATGTTGGCCCAAAGCCGACTGTACCGCGGACAGCACATCAGAAGCGGACCTGGCCGACGTAGGAAAGATGAGGCCTGGACATACTGATAAACGAAAGAGCCTTACATAGCTTGTGCGTCGCGGAAGCCGCTGTGGACCATCACATTCGGGCTGATGCTCGGGAACAGGGATGAACTAAGAGGCGCCGGCGCAAGGTCGGCGTCGGTGAGCAAAGGCAAGCTGCACCCGGGCATAGTTAGCACTGTATCCCGGGCATCAAAGTGTTTGTGGCGCACATTTCTTTCGGATTGGTGCCCTGGTGGCCGACAATTACTGTGTCGAGGGTGGGATCATACCCAACATACCCTGTTACGGCCGGTGAGACCAGTTGTAAGCCGGTTGATCGGACACACTCACACCACTGCTCGCTGTCCCCATTGCCTCCGGAGGCGACTGGGATGAAGGATGGGTTGGCACTGCAATCCTCTCCACACGTCCACGTGAGCGTCGAAGACGCGCTGCAGTAAGCGGCACTGGCATAACGGGCGAAGGGCCCGAAAGACGAGACCTGCACGCTGGAAAGCGAAGAGACGGACCCCTGGCGTCTGGTGGGCGTCGCGAACGCGAGATGGAAAACGAGGATCAGACAGAGCCAAAAGCGGTGCTGCTGTACAGTAATCATCTCCACTCAGCCCGCTCGGAGCCGACTGGGAGCTTGAGAATTTCGAAACGTCTTCTACGAAACGACCGGTTATGTACACTTGCAAGCGAGCGACGTTGAAGAATGAGTGGCAAGAGGTAAGGTATCGACCCGACCCGGTGCGTTGAGCACCGTGAGGGAAAAAACGAAGCTCGTGAAGATGGCCTGTCACTGGCGCGCTGCGCAAAGACAAAAACAAACACGCCCTTCGATAGCCCATAGTACAAGGAATCCGCCAACCGCGTTTGGCGCCAGGCTGGCGGGTCAGCCGCGCACCGCCGCGCCAAAGCGGCACGGGGCAGCTTTGATCGGATGTGACCGGGTGTGACACGTGACTTTAAGCGCCGTTAAGTGCTGTAAGTACCGACGCGGATAGGCAGGGAGCATCCATTCGCTTCACCACCCTACATTCTCCTGTGTTTCTCGTTCATGTAACACTATCTTGTCTGCATACCATAGGATATCTATGCTCAGTGATAGTATTAGTGAGTTTATCATTACAATTCCAGCTATCCCCCGCCGATGAGACTGATGTTGGTAAAAGTATGCGCGTAGTTCCGCCCATGGGGCCGGTGAAGAATGCAAGACAGCAAAACCATTAAGGTCTCTGGAACTCCGTACCCACTAAGGCAGAATTTATCGTGTTCACAGCCTCCAGCTGCAGCACTGCGAATCATCGTAAGCCAAAGGATCACCTCAGCCAAACGACAACCTACCCGTCAGCCTCGAGTCGCGGTTTACACGCCGCATAATCCCGATGGTCTCGTCAATGTGCGCCGCCATGATATGCGGATTCACGCAGAACATGTGTGGCCGCTTGTAAACGGTCACATTCGAGGCCACGACGCGGACGAGCTCTGTAGCGATAACTCGCGGCGGAGTCGTCAGGATTATCTAGGCGTAAAAAAAATTATACGAGTCCGGCGGCTACTGACTGAGACAGCGGATACGCACAGGAAGCAGCGGATCTACGTGCGCCAAGATGCTCGCCGGTACCGTCTCCGCCGCGACCACGATCGCCTTACACGCACTCATGATCTTGGCGGCGCTGTTGAGCTCGTCGTCGTAGAACGGCCAGTGCAGCTGCACGATAGCGAGACGGGCGAGGCAATGAGTAACAGCGAGGTGCCGGTGGACTTCTGGTGCGAGCTGCGAGCGCGCAGCTTCGAGGGACGGCAGGGAAAGAATAAACCTGTCGAGAAGATTTTCCGTCGTCTCGAAGCTCGTTGCGTGTCTTTCTCGCGCCGCTGGGTCTGTAGATCCGGACTAAATCAAGGCTGATTCTCAAGAATACAGGGCACCACGTACCAGTAGAAGAAACAGAAGCATACCACGACGCCCGATAGAGCAAAGCTGACGCTCGCGCGCGGAGGCCCAGCGGGGATGATCCTGATGAAGAGAGGACATCGTGCGCCGACAAGTAACTCTGAATCGTCTGGCCTGTGCTGCCATAATCTAGCGGAAGCGTGCCCTGCACGTGCCGTTTATATCAGTGAGTCCCTATCACATGTCTACCCGACTCACATCCCGGTACTGTTCAGTAGCAAGCGGCCAGGGCGTATCTATCTCCGCGCCTAGACTGTCGTCCGCGACCATCAGGCTTGGGCATCCAAGTACTACAGCCCACGTCTTGTCCAGAATGCAAACTTGCCAGAACGCGTGTATTCGCTCGCCTTCCTCTATCAGGTCAGCCGCAGGCCGCATCGCAAGCTCCTCGTCGGCGGCGTGTGCGAGCGACATCTTCGAGCGGTCATGTGGCGTTGGGCTCCTGATTTTGTGCAGCCGGTAGAGCACGACAAGCGAGACAGCGTCGGCGGTGTGTCTGCGCCCCTCGGCGAACTGGCCGGCGTTGTAGAAGTAGTTCGCGAGGAGAACGTGGGCCTGGATTATGTGCAGCACGTTCGGCTGCGCTGTGGGAGTGTTTATCGTGCGGACCTTGTTCGGGCCTAGCTCTGAGACTTGCCGTACGGCCTTCGCGAGATAGGCGCTTTGTTGCACTCTGAGGTCTTCGTCTGAGGTCAGTGCGGCACCCCACACGTAGACGGCGCTCAGCAGCGGGTCGGATTCGTTGATGGTATCGAATAACGAGTTTACGACAGAGGAGAGGCCAGATAGCTGTTGTGACACCTTGCTCAAGAACCGGGCCGTGTTGAGGAAGAAGCCGACTTCCTGCGCGTGCGGCAAGAAGGCGTCAAGGCTAACCCGGTGCATTGTCAGCGAGACCGCTACCGATTTAATCAATGAGATCTTCGTACAGGATCTGCGCCTCGGGATAGGTGGGGATTGAATGGCCTCTCCCGGTCAATTCTACAAGTGGTTCGAACATCCCGTAATGAGATACGTCGAGATTATGCCTACCAGGACTAGAACCATGACTGCCACCAGAGTGCCTCGCGTCATGAGACGTCCCCGCGAGGTCGGCAAAGTCGTCGTCATCCAAGAGACCGGGCCAAGAGGCAAATCCATCCGCGTGACTGACACCAGCGCCGCCATTGGCAGCGCCCTCGAGCTCGACGATCCGGGCTTTGAGCG